TCTGATTTTTTTTTCCTTCAAAAGTCAAACTTTAAGCTTTTTCTAGTGAGATGAAAAACTACCACAAAGTAGATAGCAAAAGCAGATGCCTAATTAGTAGGCGATCAACTGACAATGTAAGAAATCATACAAAATTAGCACCACTCAAAAAGAACAAACAATACACGTTAGAAAGTAAATTTGAGCAACCTTTATCATATTGCATGAAGTTCTCATCCTTAATAGTAAAACAACAGTACAATATGCTGCATGGATAGTCAGTCCTCTTGCAGTTGCAAGACCAGAAGAACCTTTGAATAATTTAAGCAGCTTTTATTGCCAGAAAGTTGCATACACCAAGGTACAAAAGATAAAATTTGATGCTGTTTCAAGTCGTCTTGCTACCTTTAGCTGGTGTGTTGGCCAACTTCCACGAACAGTGATGGAAATTGTCACTTGTTCTATCCCCAGCCACGGCATCAATAGGTACCAAATCAGAAATTTCTTCTAGATCTTCTTTTCCAAGCTTCACTTTTAAAGAACCAATATTGTCATCAAGATTTTTAATCTTAGTTGTCCCTGTAAAAATGAATGTACAAAGCATTAATTGCATTAGTCATACATATCTAAGCAGTACAAATTCAATGTCAGAGGTAACATGTAACAGAGAACAATATGTAGAGTTTATTGTAATGCAGTGGAAATTGACTGATAAGTTGGCATTTCTTGCCAATGAACCTTAATTTTGATATGAAAATGAATCTCATGTTGATGGTTAATCAATTCATAATAGCATAAACGTCAACAAAGCATAAGACAGCTTCACCAACTCGCTATCAGATTTTGAAGATTATACAAAATCTCAATATCTATGTGGCTGAATGGGAACCAAAAGCTGACTGACCAGGGATAGGTACTACATCGTTGCCTTGATGAAGAACCCAGGCAAGTGCAAGTTGTGCAGGGCTACATCCATGTTTTCGAGCCAACTTCTCCACTTGAGTATACAAGGCCTTGTTTCTCTCAAAGTTCTCTCCTTGAAACCTAGGTTGTGAATTCTTCAGGAAAAATTGAGCATCAGTAAACTGAACTTACTCACTCGAGAAACAAGAGAATATTCATAAAATGCAAAAGATAACAGTAATTCACAAACCCATGAAAGTGCAAAATTATTGAGTTCCATACCAGAAAACTATCTGGATGTAAACTTTCCACAACTGCTTTCCCACCAAAGAAACCTCTACCTAGAGGGCTGTATGGAACTATCCCAATATCAAGTTCCCTGTACATATTTAGAATTCACAACGAAAATCATTTAACTGTGGTTTATAGAAGAATAGATGTAAGGTATATATATGCAGAATCAAAAATTTAAAAATCGAAAGATTCGGTTTTCATTTGACATGAACATACTGGATGGAAACATGTCCACATAATATCTGAAGGAGACGTGTTTAACTCAATTGACAAAGAATTTCGGATGAGATGTGGAGAAACCTGCAAAGTGGGATAATTTCTTCTTCAATATCACGAGTCCATAGGGACCATTCCATTTGTACAGCAGTGATTGGATGAACTGCATGTGCTCTTCTTATTGTGTCTGCACTAGCTTCAGATAGTCCTATGTACTTTATCTTTCCCTCTTCCACCAACTTCTTAAGCTCCTCCATCTAGGCAAAAAGAAGAATTTCAAGTTCAAAGAGTAGTTATCGTGGTCAGGGAAAATTTAAGAGTTAACAAACAATTTCTGGTGGCAAGGGATGCCTTGAAACTTATATAGAACAAAAATGAATTTGGAAATGTGGCGCTCACAGTATCTTCTATTGGTACTTTTGAGTCAATTCGGTGCACATAGTAGAGATCTATGTATTCCAAATCAAGGCGTTTCAAGCTAGCCTCACAACAGGAGCGAACGTATTCAGGTGTTCCATCTACCACAAGATGGTCTGCTCCAATCTCAATTATGCCAAATTTTGTGGCTAACTGGACCTTCTCTCGAGGCAACAGCTTCAATGCCTGAAATAATCATATTTACTTCCTCATGAGCGTCTCAGAGAAGCCTAGCAATTAGTAAAACAAAGAGATGCTCTAGAATAGTGTTCTATGCAAGATATTGTAATCCAAATTGGTGGCAAATTTAAAGCTGTCGAGTCATTACTGAGTTCATTTACCTTTCCAAGCAGAATTTCGTTAGTGTTGGGTCCATAATAATCTGACGTATCAAAAAATGTAATTCCTTTACTGAATGCATGTTTGATGATTGATATGCCAACTTCTTCAGGTACTGGAGCATTGTAGCCTCCGGTAAGAGTCATGCAGCCAAACCCCAATTTTGAAACCTGTGAAATAGAAAACAATCACGAAAGTAATCGACAACACCTCTGTTAATAATTTGAAGAAACATAGATTAATGGATTGTATAAATAAATGAATAGACGAAGCTAAGTTCTCTAGTGGTATTATTCAGTACAAACTTTGGATCAGATCATCAAGGCTACTAGAATTCTTAAAGAAAACAGCACAAAGCAAGATGTTCAGGTAAAGAAAGGAATGGATAGAAATGATATATGGGTTAGGCCTCGAGTCCTTGAATCCAAAATTTGATTCCTAATTTTGCCTTGGTTTTTTCATAAATAAACCAAACATACAAATGATTGGTAGTTAGAATGGTGAATTAAGAAGAGTTCAGACGCCAATGTTGCTTTTAAATGTACTAATTGATCAGTGAACCAGTCCATAATGATTTTTCCCCATTGCCTTATCCTTAATTATTGCTCATTAACTCAAACTATACCTATTTATTAATCATAAAGATTAGAAACAAACAAGTACTATTTAATTAATTACAGAGAAGAAGAATATCATATTTCACACATTACCATATAAGTCATAAAGATTGTATAGTTTCACAAGACATGCTTTTATCTAATAGAGAAGCAGATAATTATACAGAGAAAGAGAGGTGAGATGGGTTTTACCTCTAATCCTTGGTTACCCAATTTCACTCTTGGGATTACAACTTTTTGCTCCTCAGCCATCGTTTTGAATTCTTCTTCTTGTGCGTTCTTGCTATAAAGGTTAGGCAGAGTGGAAAGTGAAGCAGTAAGGGGAGAGAGAGAGCAGGGGAGGGGAGGGTGTGTTTTTCTCTCAAGAGCTTTCACTGACCCTTATAGTGTGGCGGCATGCTAGATTGCTGCTAATACGTTCAACTATAAAGGGCAAGTTTGATGTTTGGTGGACCTTGAAACTGACGTATGATCTTATGTATGGATAATGGAACTGACGTATGATGTTAGGTATGGATATAGCTACTTAGTTGTCTTAGTTGTCCCTGTAAAAATGAATATAGCTACTTAGTTGTCTTAGTTGCGACTGACGTATGATCTTATGTATGGATAATTCAGCCGACGCGTGATTATACGTCACCAAGACAACAACCAATTCTTCTTTGCATCTGGACAACTCTTTATATGCTTTTACATATTCTTGAGGAATTTTTTTTTTTTTAAGTAAATAATATCTCCATCATTTTCAAATAATACCACCCATCAGTATATGAGTCTCATGCCCTGTCCTTTCCATCATACTACTTGCCAAAGTTTCACCTGTATCAAAATCCTAACTATCATGGATTCTAGATCCTAACTATCATGGATTCTAGATTCTCAATTCTTCACAATTCTATATACATTGAAAAAGCATCATTATTCACTTTTTTGTGGTACACACAAAAATACTTTATAAAAATTTAACCAGGTCATTCTCCTCCTCTTTGATTACTAACTAGATCATCAAAAAGTCCTTCAATCCACAAAAAAAAGACTTTAGTTAAACAAGTTTTCAAAAATCATAAAAAATAATACCTAAATATCTTTAGTTACTGTCATCCAATTGATGGGAATGCACTATTGTGAGCTCCCTTCAAGAGCTTGTTCGGTCAAATTTTTATGTCTAGCTGTGAAGAGATATTCAGAGGGCGCACATGCACCTCCTTTGGTATCCATCCGATCATGTGTTTAAAACTAAGAGGGTGAGTTTGACAAGTAAACTAAATTGAGAACTAAACTATAAGGCAGCGTGAAGTTCAGGGACTAAAACAAAAGAGGACAAAGTTATGTCGGCCACAACATCATGTCATGTTGGGTAGTTGATTATGTGATTTCAACTTTAAGCCAGATTTTATTATTTTCACTCGGGCCCAATGCACAAAAATTGTATTGCAGCTGTTTCTATTTTCAGAAATGCACTTCCAAATATCTATCATTCCTATCCAAGACATCTTTCGCTACAAAAAAACAAAAAAAATAATGACAGAACTCAACAACGGATATAAATCTGTCAATAAACAATAACAAATTAATAAATGAGTAATGATTGTTTTAAATTTTTAGACATTTTAGTTTAATAGTGATGAAGTAGAGATAATTTACAATGAAAATTTAACAACGGAATACTACCGACGTTAAATTACTTGTTGAATTATGTAGTAATTTTTTATGGTTAAATAAACGATGGATTACCGATTGATTTACAACAATAATTGGCGACGGATGATACTAGTCATTACTAGATACTAAAATTAGGGTTTTTTTTTTTTTTTTGTGACGGATTATATTGGTTGTCACTAAATATCAGTTATAGGTTTTTTCTATGACCGATTATATTGGGTGTCGCTAAATATCAGATTTAGGTTTTTTTTTTAGTGATGGATGATATTGGTCATCGCTAAATATAGTTATATGTTTTTGTAGCAATAGATGATATTAGTCGTCGATAAATATTAGATTTAAGTTTTTTTTTTTAGCAACATATTATATTTGTCATTGTTAAATTCTATCACCAATAAAAAAAATGCACAATTGGATAAATTCAAATAACATCAGACACTTAGTAGCGACGAAATCGCTTATGTCATTAAAATAAAACCTAAATCTTGCAGTAACCCCTTCATCCTCCATTTTCTTCTCCTCCCTCACTCAAAAACCATTGTCGCCCTTTAACTCTTCCTCTGACAACCAAGCATGGCTGACGACGACACCTCCTCCTCTTTCACCTTTTGTTTTACGATGCCTTTCCTCTTCTCCGATAAGCGTTTGTTTTCTTTCTTCTTATTTTTAATTTATTCACTATATATATATATATATATATATATTCAGTTAATAATTTTTATTATTTTTTTATTTGTTATTATTTGTAGTTAATTTAATGTATGTTATTTGATGTTAATTAGTTCTAAATCTAATTATTATTAAAATTAGTTTTAATTAGTTGTTATTTATCATATACTTATTTATGTCAATTAATAGTAAATAGAATAATTTAATTGTAATTATTATTCTTATTAGTTGTTAATTAGTTGTGATTATTAATTTTATTACTGATGACTACTGGTGACCCAATTTCTATGGTCCCCCACCCACCCACCCACAAAAAAATAATACGAAGATAGTAAAGTTCCAACAAGAACGAAAGTGTATTAATCACAACATATCATATTTGTCTACCAAATCTATAAAAGAAAATGACCCAGTAGAGGTTGCCTATGAAGTATTCGAGGAAATGAAGAAAAGGGGATTTGTCATAGAACAGAGCACCTATGCCTTAGTGATTCAAGCTCTTTGTGTGGCAAATAAAGCTGAATGTGCTTTTATCAATTTGCAACAGATGGTTAGTTCAGGATATATTCCAAGAGTAATCACCATTAACATTGTTTTGGTTGGAACGAAGAAGAGAAAGAAACGAGTTGGGGGAGAGAGAGAGACTGTTAATTTGACTTGGGTACTGATAACGAGAGGGGGGCAGTTTCATCTTTCATTTATTTTAATATATTAATAGTTAGTTTAATTAAAAAAAATCTTGAATTTTTTTTTTAACGAAACACTATGATATTTGAAATCTGTTATGCCACATGCTTATTTATATTTTAGTTATCGTTAATTTTAACGCATTAAGTTAGATAAATACATAACTATGATCTAAATTAATAAATTTTTGAAATATAATTTGTCAAGTCAGATAACTATATAACTATGATTTAAATTAACAAATTTCTAAAATAAAAGGTTATAATCAACTGGTAAAAGAATAAAAAATTTTAAACACTACAAAAACTAGATATGGGATAAAACCCCAATTAAAACATTTGGACTGCCCGGGAATCAAACTCAGGTCTGTACCGTACCACTACTCTACCACTAGACCACTGGAGCCATGCATTGGACTTTCAAAGTATTCATATATTAACACAGAATGTGATACAAAGCTAGCTACTAGCAGAACTTTTGGCATAGTTTACCGAAAATGTGTTTTTTCATCTCAGTTCCATTGCACTGTGTATTTTCAGCCATAAAGTTAGTTATCGCGTGGCAATCATAAAGCTGTCTAGAGACAAACAATTCTGGAAATCATTTTTTTTTCCTCCAAAATTCAACTTTTAGCCTTTTCAGTGAGATGAAACACTACCACAAAGTAGATAGCAAAAGCAGATGACTAATTAGTAGGCGATCAACTGACAATGTAAGAAATCATACAAATTTGTACCCTCAAAAAGAACAAACAATAAACGTCAAAAAGTGAATTTGAGCAACCTTTATAATATTACATGAAGTTTCTCATTCTTAACACTAGTTCTACAAGACTTCAACATGCTGCATGGGTAGTCAGTCCCCTTGGTTGCAAGACCACAGCAACCTTTAATGACTTTAAGCAGCTTTTATTGCCAGAAAGTTGCATACACCAAGGCACAAAAGATAAAATTTGATGCTGTTTCACGTTGTCTTGCTACCTTTAGCTGGTGTGTTGGCCAACTTCCATGAACGTTGATGGAAATTGTCACTTGTTCTATCCCCAGCCACGGCATCAATAGGTACCAAATCAGAAATTTCTTTTAGATCTTCTTTTCCAAGCTTCACTTTTAAAGAACCAATATTGTCATCAAGATTTTTAATCTTAGTTGTCCCTGTAAAAATGAATGTACAAAGCATTAATTGCATTAGTCATTCATATCTAAGCAGTACAAATTCAATGTCAGAGGTAACATGTAATAGAGAACAATACGTAGGGTTTATTGAAATGCAGTGGAAATTGACCGATAAGTTGGCATTTCTTGCCAATGAACCTTAATTTTGATATGAAAATGAATCTCATGTTGATGGTTAATCAATTCATGATAGCATAAACGTCAACAAAGCATAAGACAGCTTCACCAACTCGCTATCAGATTTTGAAGATTATACAAAATCTCAATATCTATGTGGCTGAATGGGAACCAAAAGCTGACTGACCAGGGATAGGTACTACATCGTTGCCTTGATGAAGAACCCAGGCAAGTGCAAGTTGTGCAGGGCTACATCCATGTTTTCGAGCCAACTTCTCCACTTGAGTATACAAGGCCTTGTTTCTCTCAAAGTTCTCTCCTTGAAACCTAGGTTGTGAATTCTTCAGGAAAAATTGAGCATCAGTAAACTGAACTTACTCACTCGAGATAAAATGCAAAAGATAAACAGTAATTCACAAACCCATGAGAGTGCAAAATTATTGAGTTCCATACCAGAAAACTATCTGGATGTAAACTTTCCACAACTGCTTTCCCACCAAAGAAACCTCTACCTAGAGGGCTGTATGGAACTATCCCAATACCAAGTTCCCTGTACATATTTAGAATTCACAACGAAAATCATTTAACTGTGGTTTATAGAAGAATAGATATAAGGTATATATATGCAGAATCAGAAATTTAAAAATCGAAAGACTCGGTTTTCATTTGACATGAACATACTGGATGGAAACATGTCCACATAATATCTGAAGGAGACGTGTTTAACTCAATTGGAAAAGAATTTCGGATGAGATGTGGAGAAACCTGCAAAGTGGGATAATTTCTTCTTCAATATCACGAGTCCATATGGACCATTCCATTTGTACAGCAGTGATGGGATGAACTGCATGTGCTCTTCTTATTGTGTCTGCACTAGCTTCAGATAGTCCTATGTACCTTATCTTTCCCTCTTGCACCAACTTCTTAAGTTCCTCCATCTAGGAAAAAAGAAGAATTTCAAGTTCAACAAGCAGTTATCGTGGTCAGGGAAAATTTAAGAGTTAACCAACAATTTCTGGCGGTAAGGAATGCCTTGAAACATATATAGAACAAAAATGAATTTGGAAATGTGGCGCTCACAGTATCTTCTATTGGTACTTTTGTGTCAATTCGGTGCACATAGTAGAGATCAATGTATTCCAAATTAAGGCGTTTCAAGCTAGCCTCACAACAGGAGCGGACGTATTCAGGTGTTCCATTTACCACAAGCTGGTCTGCTCCAATCTTAACTATACCAAATTTTGTGGCTAACTGGACCTTCTCTCGAGGCAACAGCTTCAATGCCTGAAATAATCATATTTTACTTCATCATGAGCGTCTCGGAGAAGCCTGAAATAGTCTTCTATGCTGGATACTGAAATTCAAATTGGTGGCAAATTTAAAGCTGTCAAGTCATTACTAAGTTCATTTACCTTTCCAAGCAGAATTTCGTTAGTGTAGGGTCCACAAACATCTGATGTATCAAAAAATGTAATTCCTTTATTGAATGCATGTTTGATGATTGATATGCCAACTTCTTCAGGTATAGGAGCATTGTAGGCTCCGGTAAGAGTCATGCAGCCAAACCCTAATTTTGAAACCTGTGAAATAGAAAACAATCACGAAAGAAATCAACAACACCTCTGTTAATAATTTGAAGAAACATAGATTAATGGATTGTATAGATAAATGAATAGAAAGAAGCTAAGTTCTCTAGTGGTATTATGAAGTACAAACTTTTGGATCAGATCATCAAAGAGTACTATAATACTTAAGAGTAAACAGCACAAAGCAAAATGTTCAGGTACAGAAAGGAATGGATTGAAATGATATATGGGTTATGCCTCGGGTCCTTGAATCCAAAATTTGATCCCTAATTTTGCCTTATTTTTTCCATAAGTATACCAAATCTATAAATGATTTGTTGATGGAATGGTGAATTAAGAAGAGTACATGCGCCAATGTTGCTTTTAAATGTACCAATTGATCAATGAACTGGTTCAGAATGATATTTCCCCATATCCTTAGTCTTGATTATTGCTCATTAGATCAAATGATAACTATTTATTAATCATAAAGATTAGAAGCAAACAAGTATTTAATTAATTGCAAAGAAGAAGAATATCATATTTCATACATGTAAGTCATAAAGATTTTATAGTTTCACAAGACATGCATCTATCTAACCAAGAAATAGATAATTACAGAGAGAGCGAGAGAGAGAGAGAAAGATGAAATGGGTTATACCTCTAATCCTTGGTTACCTAATTTCACTCTTGGAATTATAACCTTTTGCTCCTCAGCCATCGTTTTGAATTCTTCTTCTTGTGTGTTCTTGCAGTAAAAGGGAGGCAGAGTGATACGTGAAGCAGTAAAGGCGAGAGAGCAGGTGAGCGCGCTTTTCTCTCAAGAGCTTTCACTGACTCCTTATATAGAGTGGTGGGATGCTAGATTCCTAGTACTTGCTGCCTCAAGTTGACTAAAAAGGGCCAGTTTGATGTTTGATGGACATTACAACTGACGTATGATCTTATGTATGGATACGGGAACTGACGTTTGATCTTAGGTATGGATGATGGAACTGACGTATGATCTTGTGTCTGCAAGACAACAGTCAACTCTCCTTTGCATTTGGACAAAATTTTATTTGCTTTTACATATTCTTAAGTAATTTTTTTTAAGAGAATAATATCTCCCTCGTTTCCAAATAATATAGTGGCGTAGCCAATTTTATTATTATTTTTGTTCAATAGGATTTGTTGAGAATCTCTGGCTATCCATGATATATATATACACACACACATGTGTGTGTATGTGTATATATATGTATGCGTAAAAAATCAAAATCATACAATTAGCACAATTGCACAAACATAAATGATAATAAACTAAAGTATATATTAAATTAAAATATAGTTATCTAAAGTTAAATTCCTTAAGTTTGTATCTAAGGTTGCATTATTCTACAAGTTTGAAGATTAAAACTTTAAAAAATTTAATCCCAAAAAAAATACTTGAAAGAGTAAAAATAAGATGGAAAAAATCGGGTCTCTTTGATTAGTTAAGTTGTGATGTTTTTCTTTTTTTAACTTATAAATAGAAAACATTGTATTTTCTTAACAAAAGGCCTGGATGTATTTTGCAAACAGGACACAATTTAAGAGTTTGAATTAGCAAACGCTTGAACGTATTTGGTAGATGGAATATAGTTTTTTTTTTCCTTAAGTGGCTCAATTTGTCTTTATTTATTAATACAAGTCTTCAATCTGTTTTTACATTTTTTATTATATTTATTATGTTTTTTAAAATTATTTAAGTTTTTTATTTATCTTTTTGATCAATTTTTTCGACCATTAGTATTTTTTTTTACTACGATGTAAAAAAAATAAAGACTCAATTATAACATACAAATCATGTGACTTTAAGTGATTTTTTTTTTTTTTTTTCAATCTAGGGCATTTTTATCAAAAATAAATTACTCATTATTGAAAAAATTGGTTGAAATGATAGATTAAAAACTTAAATATTATTTAGAAATATAATAAATACAATTAAAAATGTAAAACAGATTTGAGATTCAAGTTATTATATAAGAACAAATTCAGTTATTTATCCTTTTTCATTTAAAAAATTGTGGTTGATTTTATGTTTTCTATGCAAGCTTAAGAAGGGAAAAAATCTAAAGTCATTGTCAACTAGTAGTATTTTGTTAAGATCTTAGCATAAATATTAAAAGTTGATAGTGAGTTGGTGCAGCAATAAATGAGTTCTTCGTAAAAAGCTTACTTACGAGATTGAGAGTTTGAATCTCATCTACTCCAATAGGTAGTTTGCTGCATATTCACGTTCTAACACAACATCGTTATTATTCTTAAAAAAAAAATACAAAACTTCGACCTCAACACAGATGCGATTTGAGTTTGATATCTCATCTATTGTAATTTGTAGTTTGTGATATATCTATTTTCCACATATGATCTTAACTATTCTCGAAAAAATTTAAAGTTTAAATCTCGACATAAATGCAATGAGGATTTTTTCGAATAAGAAGCTAATGTGATATGAATATAATGTTTTCTATTGAAAAGTATGGAATAATTTACCTATCTTCCAATTTTTTGCACCCAAAAAACAATCAGCAAAACTGCTAAAATACCTCATACAACTTAGTTTTGTAATATTTTTTATACATCACCTTCAAAAACCTTGATTGTCAATATACAAGGAAATGTATCTTTGACAATTTTTCTAAACGACAGCCCCTGTTATAAGTTTGCCTCGACATTGCTTTATACCATACAAGAGCAATTCTAACTTTATTCAAAGTTTTCTTTGTGGAACTCTCTTTTTTAAAAAAAAAATTGTCTGTTAAATTTATGGAATTCATTAGCAAATTCTATGAATGAGATTTCTTTAAAAATATTTTGTGCCGTGGATATTGATGAAAACAATCAAGTACGTAGTTGATATGTTTTCTTTTTTTTTTTTTGAAAAAAAAAGAGTACTTAGCTAATATCTCAAGGAATTAGTCTGGTGGTTAAACAGGTTTGCTTCTTCTTTTTTCTTTTTTCCTTTTTAACTTTTTGAATTTAAACCTTATAACCAATATCCAAGAAAGTTTATTAATTTTTTCTAAAGTGTTATTTGATTATCAAAAATAAAAAATTCGAAATGAAAATATAGGAATTCAAATGAAAATTAAAGAATTAAAATGACGTTTGCATTCTCATTATACTGCATTTGAAATAGTAATAAATAATCATTATGAATTTATATATATATATATATATATATATATATATATATATATATATATATATATATATATATATATATATATATATATATATATATATGTATGTATATTTGATTTTTAATATGAATAAAAATATTGATTTAAAAAACAATTTCTTCGATTATAACGAGTAATAAAAATGATAGAGGTGATTGTGGTGGCGATAGTAAAATAAGAAAAGGACAAGGAGAAGGAAGAGGTAACAATAACGAGTATAATAATAGCAATAATATATTTTAAAAATAATTAATATCATTACCTTAGGAGATGACGAGTGAAAGAAGAGTAGTGACGGTAGTAGTGATAATGGTGGTGATATAATTAAAATGATGATGACGGTGGAATAGTAGGAGAATGAGAAGAAAGTGATGGTAACAATAACATAGTAGTAAGAATAATATATTTTTTAAAAAAAATTGATATCACCACCCTAGGAGACAGCAATGAAAAAAAAGCAATGGCGGTGGTAGTATTACAATAAAAATGATGACGGTGGAGGAGAAGGAATGGTAACAAATAATAATAACAATAATGTTTTGTTATCATAATAGTCAATAATAGGGTGGTAAAAGTATAATAAAAGCAACGATGATAGTTGAAAAAAAGTGACAGCACAACATCAACAACAATAATAATAGCTTTTTTACAATTTTTTTATCACCACCACCAATAGAGGTGGTGGTTATGATGATGGTGGTTGTGGAGATAATATAAGTAATTGATATGTAACAAATAAAAATAATATATTATTATTTTGAAGAACAAAAATTATTCTCACCTCTCACATAAGAATACCCCTATGTTTAACTTTTATTATCATTTTCACTTTTTATTCTTATTCTCACTTTATTTTTTTCAACCAAACAATTATAATATAAAAATAAAATTTTCATTTATATTTTCATCACTTCATTTCTTGTAACCAAACAACATCCAATATATACCAAGGCAGTATGATGAGGAGTGCTTTTATAATCGCTCAGAGAGGAACTTGGTTTTTATTAATCCACAAACTAACCAGAAATACACAAACTAACCAGGAAATGTTTTTATCATTGAATATAAAAGAATAGAAAACTCATTGGAATGAATATCTATTTCCTTTTTTTAATGTGTGTGTATATATATATGACGAGAAAAAAACACCAAGAATACAAATGGATCGTTAAATCATAATTTTAAAATGGCATATACTTGCAAGTCCTTCCGTCTTTATGCAAATCTTCATGTTTTTTCTTATATATATTAGCATTACTATTTTTTTTAAAGGCCCATTAAATAATGAACGAGATAGTCCATTTCTTCTCTCATAAAATTGTTGCGGGCTAGGCTTAGGCCATATTTATTAAGCCTCAGCCATGAGCCCATGACTATTCAAAATGTAATGACATTAAAACCCAAACCCATCTGATGAACGCTGGCAGGCGCGGGAGACAGAGAAGTAATCCCCCGGTTCCACCCCTAAGAAGTCATAGAACACCTTTGTCGTTCAGTAATTTTTTATTTTATTTAAGTAGATAGCATCCACAAGCCCAAAGCCAATCACAAAGCATATGATATTTTTAAGTGCATATGGAAATTAAAAAAAGTCGCCCCCAGCTCATTCGTGACCAAAATACACTACCATCATCTTATTTCAAATAGATTAATGAACTGATAAAATTAAGGATAACGTTAGAGATATTTAATTCTTTTACTAATTTTTTATTAAATGACATGGTATCCTGCAATTAGTGTTTTATCAATTATTTAATTTTATAATTATAATTATTTCATTAAATATGATAAGATCTAAATAAAACAATCACATGACAAGTTTATTCAACTTGAGTTTTTTGTACCATCACTATCGTTAAATAAAACCTTGATTAAATTCTCCAAGGTTAGTGACTTAGCATGGCTTGGAATAACTAGTCTCTAGTAATGGATATCCCCCTAGCTACTTTAGAATGTCAAAAGAAAAAAAAACAAAACAAAAAGAAATTTGAAAGTATGATTCGCAGAAGCAAAGTTACATAGATTCATAACAGCAGACGCCGTAAGCATAGGAGAAATACAAATATTTATGTCCAGAGGTATGAACATCTTTAATATATTCTTCGGATTCAGAGCAGACTTTTCTTGTCCTGAAATTAAGGTGCATTTATTTTCTTTTTCCTTTTCTTGTCCTGAAATTACTATATATATATATATATATATATATATATATATAGAAGCCAAGATTGGAACCTGAGTCCTAATCTAAGGAAGGAATGTTTTAATTATCAGCCTTGCCAATGTAGATAGTTAGCTAATGGATGTTACTTTGATTTTTCTAGTTTCAGAGTCTTGGCCTCATAGCATCAACTAAGTTGGATCTAGCAGGCAGTTGAAGGGATTCCCAGTCATCTTCATCAACTCTGGAGAAATATCGGTTCACCATTTCATCAGTCACTAGCTCTAATTTTGCCGGCTTCCACTGTTAAAACAAGAGAACAAAATTACGTTGTGTCATAAATAACAAAAAATACCGAATATAGTAGAACTCCATGAATACATGTACCTTGGGATTTTTGTCTTTGTCCAATAACATGGCCCTCATTCCCTGCAGCGAAGCATATATATATATAATTAATTAGAGACTGATAGACATTGCATTAAAGAAAGAAAATGAGAGAAGTTGGATTCTAAATATTTATGTTCTTATCATCATTTCAGTTACCTCATAAAAATCATTGCTCACTGTTCTTCTCTTAATGTGGCAAAAAATGTTATATTCGCGGGCAAGGCATTGATCAAGTTCTTGCGTGCGGCCCTCTCTGATCTGATCAACACAGGAAAAATTATAGATTTCTTGATATAAACAAACTTAGTTAAGAGATGAGATTAATGACTTCAAATCACTTGTGCTATACCGATCTGAGAGATATTTTAAGGCTTATCGGACAGGCTGACTTCATCGATTTGATTGCCTCAAGAATCCACTTTTCTCTTCTATTTTCTGCCTCACTCTCCTAATAATACAATTCAAGCAGCATCATGTTGCTAGCATTCTGCATTCCTAATATTTGACGCTTTCTATGCTAAGATATATAGAAAAATAGTTCTGAAATAAGCTTACTAGTGATGACAGTATTTCTTCCACTGTTTTTCTTGAGAAACATTTGTTAATAATCTCCAATCTGTATAATGATTGAATATTCTTAGCTGACAGTAGTAGGTATCGGGTCAAGCTCAGGTAAATTTTTCAAAGAACCTGATCATTACCTACTATAAACACCATCCTGTTTGACATTTGGTCTGTGCTCAAATCTGCTGATGATCTTAGAGATTGTGTTGGTATCAGAAGAAGTTACTTTATCTAGTTCACTTTCCAACAAATGGAGATTCTATGCCAAAAAGAAAAGTTTTCAATTATGTAAACTTAATATCAAAACATGTACATAGAATCATATAAATCATCAAAATTCTAAGCCATTACCTTTGAGAGGACGAAATGAGTAACAAGGCCACACCCAACCATATCTGCCCCTCTTATCTTAGTTCCAGTAAGTCCCAAATATTCACCTAAATAAAATTGAGAAAAATGAGAAAGTACGAAAATTCGTACAAATATTGTTAAAATAGATAGTGTTTCAAGTAGTTACCAAAAAATCCAGGAAGCCTGGAAAGGAAATATGATGCCCCAACATCAACAAAATGTCCTATTGATGTTTCTGGCATAGAAAACACCTATACATGCAAGTTCATGTATCAAAAGAGTTGATGCACACATGAAAACGAGTTACGGGAAGGTCTCAACTCTCTAAACTGTCAAAGGAATCAAAATGTAGCAGAAGCATACAGTATTTTCAGTGACAATCTTGAACCTTCCATGCATTGATAGCCCAGCACCACCCCCCATCACGATTCCATCAATAAGTGCAACCTTCAAATATGGAATTGCATGCATGAAAAATAACAAGTCTGAAGAATTATTATACCACTATATCTAGTGATGCCAAATAACTTGTTTACATACCACAGGCTTTCCATATGTAGCAACTAAATAGTCCAGCATGATTTGCTTCTTGTAAGAAATTGCAGCATAACTCCAATGCCCTGCTTCATACAAGAAGATAGACGTCTGTAATAAATGGCATCAAACATTTTCCTATCACTTAAAAAAATTTCCTTGAAGATTTTTTTCACCTGCAACCAAACAAATATATGATGACACAACATCACCACCTACACAAAATGCCTTTCCATTTCCCTGCAGGACATGTAGCTGAGCATGATTAGATAATTATAATGGCATTGGCAGTAACACATGAATGAATCATCCAGATTATAATCATGTACTCTTCAGTTAAGTAATATATGATTAAATTTTATCAGATTTTACCTTCAGTATCACAACTTTGACTTTAGGATCAACCTCGTAAGCTTTCAACTCCTTCGTCGTTTGAGAGATCTGCCAACAAAATAAATTGATGATTATAAAAGAGTCATTGAAAGTGAAAGGGAAAACGTATAATATTACGCATGATGGGAATTTTTAGACTTGAAGGAAAAAAGGATTAATCTACCATGCGATGGCTGAGGCAATTTAATTTCTGTGGTCTGTTCAATGTCACCTTCTTCACACATGAATTCCCTTCAAATAGCACCTGGAGAATACAAATAATCACATGAAGAAATTCATTAATTTTTGCTTTCTGTTGCAATTTTTTTCTTGGTTTTGCACCACGGGTTTAAAACAGCAAAGAAAATGTTGCTACAAAGAGAAAAGAAAATGGAAATTGCATATACATGGTTAACATCTTTGTCGAAGGAATGACGGATCGTAGTCATTTGAAATACGATGAATTATGCAAGATATCCAGAGAACTGTACTCGCTTTCTTGGTTCCAGTTTGGCAAACTAGCCTTCTTCTAGCTAGTTCTTCTTTTTTTTTACCCAAGAAAGTGTTCTAAAATATGGAAACTAGTCTTCTTATAAGGACTATAGGTCGGCGAGCCGATTAAAAAAAAAACCAAGACTTGTCAATTTTGTGTGCAGCCGTGCATGCACCTTGACCCAATAAATGGAATTTCTTGTACATATAATTTATAAATGAGTTCTGAATTAATCTGCCTTAAAATAACATATGAGTTTATTAAAATAATATAAAAGTTTAAAATTTTAGATGAAAATGTTCTATTAATATAGTATTAGAGTTTTAAAAAAATTTAATAACCCAATAAAAATTTTAAATTATATATATATAAGTCAATTATTACATCAATTGAAATTAAATTTATTATTTTTTAAATTAAGACAACACTATAATATATTTGAAAGGCAAAACTAAAGTATTTTTATAAAACTTCAAAATAATTTTATATCACACTTTAATATCATGTAAAGTTAGATGATCATCAAATTTCACGCTTTAAAGAAAAATACAGCACAAGGCTTTATAAATTTTAATTTTTCAAGCTTTTCTCCAAGCACAATTCAATTAACAAGTTGCTAGGATCACATTACAAGTAATACAGAATAAAAGTCTTTTTTTTTTTTAAGTGCAGCTTATACTGATCGTACACGTGTTGCATAGTTATGCAGATGTGGGTCCCACCTGACGGCGATCAAGATAGATTTTCTAGTTGGGATAGGATTGCTTGATCAAAGGAATATATATTTCCCATCTGGTCAAAAATGACAATGGAATTTCCTTGTCTGTAGCCCGGCCACCATTTTTTTTTTCTTCTTCTTTCCCTAATTTCAAGGGATTATCCCGGTGTTAATGGAATTGCGCTTTCTTGACTTTTTGAACTCGAAAATTTGACTAGTATTCAAAAACATTTAAATAAATATAATTTTTTTAAAATATATCACAGACAGATATAAAAAGTATATTTTTAAAAACACTCTAAAAATAAATTTTGATTTTAATTGACAGTAAATTTACTTAATAACATATGAATTAATTTTATTTTATTGCGTTGAGTGAATGGATTTCATCAATTTCTACTCAAGTATTTGTTCTCTATCCTCTAATTAATATTACAGTCATTTATGATTCTTCTGTCCATCTCTATTAGCAAAACTAACAAAAACTAAATTTATATGGTGTAAAGTTCATTTTTTCTTATAAAAATAAAAATATAATTAGTTTATCAATTAACCTTTTCTAATTTTCTTTTTATTTTATTTTTTTATCTAACACCACGTTCTCCATGCAGTCCGATGAGATTTTGGTAGAAAATCTTGGATGTTTCAAGTTTTTTGTGGTTTGTTAGTCCATTTATTGTTATTTTATTTTTATTAAGTTTGAAACTGATGTCCGTATTGACTGTTAAAGGCGGACGCCGCTATTGATTTACGTGAAAGAATATAAAGCATGCTGTGACAAAGCTCAGAATCAACCGTTGGATGTGGAGGATTAATCTCAGCCCTCCAGCTCTCCTCGTATTAGTTGTCTCTGTGACAAGTTCAGAGATGTGATGGTTTGTTTTTTATGATGTCTGGAGAGCAGTGGCTGTCAATTATCAAGTGCTTCCAGTTTTATGTGGGAGAAAGAGAACAACATATTCTTTATCTGTTTTGTGGAACAGAGACAGAGGGCTGCCGAACTTGCCAAACATAGAAAGAGAAAGAAGAACAAGAAAAACAAAAACAAAGGCATGAAAGAAAGGTCAAAGGTGTATCGTGCGGAAGGGGTTTGGCTGAACGGGAGAAGAAAGGAAATAGAATACGCCAAAATGGCGTTTGGTTAAATGGGAGAGAAAGTTTAGATAGATACCTTTATTTATCCGCATTATCTATTTCAGTCCTTAGCCGTTTTTGTTTTTTCTTTTATTTTCTTTCATTTATTTCGGTTCCCACCTACTTTTAACTCCTCTAAATTGTGCTCCTAATCAGCTTCTTCTCCTTTTTTTTTTTTTGCTGTCCTTTTTTTTTTAATAGTTGGAGAGGGTTCTCTACGTTTTCTTTTCCCCTCTTGATCACGTCCTTCAGTTTTTTATCTTAAATTCACGCATTTAAATTTATTTTTATATTAATCTCATCTCTCGTTAACTTTTAGTGTTTTTTACATTTTTTTCAGCTTAATCTCATCTCTTTACTCTTATTTTTCAATATTAATTTTATTTTTTATTGAATTTAAATAAATAAATTTTGAAAAATAACAAAAATAAATAAAGGAACTATCATAAAGAAAAGATATCCATCATTATTTTACCATAACTTAAATTTTTGAATAAAATAAGAAACTATCATTCATTTTATGTTGTGATTGATTTTTTAAACCGAAACAGATAATTATTAATCGAGTGCAGACAAATTAAAAAATTCAGAAATGATGAAAGTTTGAGACATTTTGATATCCGTTTAATATATATATATATATAAAAGCAATGATTTATCTCTTGTTTTTTCACAACATAAGCTTTTAAGTATTGAAGCCAACGATCATTCCCTTTCAAACCAATATAATCAAACACGATCCTTTCCATTTCTTTCTTACTGGTATTCCCATTACACCATTTAAAAAAAAATTGCGAGGACAAAAAAAGCTTGAATCTAATTATATTCCCGTTGCATCGATCTTTTATTAAAATTGTTTTGCTTATTCCAAATGTAAAAACTTATTTCATGTTCACTGGGTCCACGTATTAAATAAAATAGTTTTTGATAGGTACAAATCTAAAAAGAGAAAAAAAAAAAAAAGAGAAGAAGAAAATCTAGATCGTTCGTTTCTAATAGCGTCCACACCCCCCCCCCCTTTCTCTCTCTTTCATTCCTTATTAATGTGTTTTCCTTTTTATAACGATCTTAATTTTTTTCCTTTTGAAAAATCTAATTTTCCGAATTAACTTTATGCAAAGTTCCTAATTAATCTGCTTTCCTTTTTTTTTTATGGTCCGAATTTTCTTTCCATAAAAAAAAAAAAATCGGATTCTTCTTCACAATATTATATAGCGATCAATCTAACATTACTTGGTGTTTTTCTTGAACTATTATTAAAATTCTATAGTATATATCACATATTAATACTACCAAATTAATCATGGCAATACAATAAAAAAAAAGTGAATGATTTTTAATAAAAAATAGGGATAATTAATAGAAAAACCTTATAAAAAAATCTTCTATAAAAAACCCACAAATTTATTTTTAAATCTCTCAAATCCAAAATAATATTTTTCTTATCAAAAACACATAATAATTAACATTAGTGTTAACTATTAGTTGTTTTGGTAAGAAAAATATTGTTTTAGGTTTGTGAGATTTAAAAATATTATTTTGTGTCTAGGAAATGTAAAAATAAAATAACGAATTTTTTAAATTGAAGATTTTCTAAAAGGTATTTTGGTAATTATCTCTGATTTAAATAAAATCATTATCTTTCAAGATATGTATTTCTATCATGGATGATCGTGTTCTATTTAATTAATGCACTAAAATATGTTATACATTCATCTTGTAATTTAATTTAATTGTTTGATAAAAAATATTGAGTTTTAATTATTTAAAAACTAGTATTACTAATTATGTTTTTTTTTCTATCAATATATTAGGATTTAAAAACTCACTAATGTTCATAATCATACATATTTTATTTTTCTTATTTGTATGATAACCCTTTGATTAAATTATAAAAGAATGACAAGATTCTCATTTCATCAACATTAATTAGTTAAATTGCTTCGATTGCTATAGTTACTAGATAGTAAAATTAATCTTGTAATTAATGAAACAAACGATCGATAAAAAAAAACTCTAATATAAGAAATTTTTTAGTATAATAATAAAAAAAAGTAGTCGAATGCTGGTGTTTAAAAGTCAAGGAACATCAAAAACTGTTTTTTTCTTTCGAATGCAATAAAAAAGAACTTGACTTGATCATGAAAAAACAAAAAAAACAATAAATATCAAACTCATTAAAAACTATGAAATGAGTTTATTATTAGATAAAAACTATAAAAAAAAAACTCTAAAAAAATTCTATCTAAAAAATTCATTAATTTATTTTTTAAATCTCTTAAACCTAAAAATAAAATAAAAAATTCTTACCAAAAGATCATAGTTAACTAGTGTTAAGTTAGCGGTTACCTATTGAGTGTTTTGATAAGAAAAATATTATTTTAGACTTGAGAAATTTAAGAATAAATTGATAGGTTTCTTAGATATAAGATTTTTTTAGAGGATTTTTTCTAGTAATTATCTCTGAAAAATATTCACTTTTAATAAGTTATAAATGATAATCAATACTGCAGATTATTGAAAAAATAAAATTTTATTTCATGTAAAAAAAAATGATTTTTTTGTTAATATATATATATATATATATATATATATAAGGGCAAGTGTTCACCAGAGTTATTTCTGTTAAAAATATTCTATTCAACTTTTGGTTGACACAGGAGGAGGGAAGTTATTAGTAGATCAAAAGGAAAGAAAGTTATTTTTTCATATAAGAATTATGAAATTATAAAATAGGATATCCTACTCTTTCGCTACATAACACAATATTTTGGAGAAGGAGAAATTTTAAGGCAAAATTTAATTAATCTTTAGGATGTTTATGCCGTACAATACAATATATGTACTTATTAATTGATTCTTTTTAAAAACAAAGATTAAATCAGAGATCGAAGGTTACAAAGACGGCCACTGAAATCTTGATTCCCTCAATTTATGCGTTTATCCAAAAAAAAAAAAAAAAACGAACAAAAGGGGTGGGGAACACAACTATCCTCCAATTATTATGTAATTCTCAATAGGGTCCCAAGAAAACAAAAAAAAATATATATATATATAAATCAATAAGATCCACCATGTATCATAGAATTTATTTATTTTATGATTTTAAATGAAGAATTTAAAGGCAAGGATTAATTAGGTGACTTGTCATATGGGGATCTCAGGAAATTTGTTTGGTTTGGGGACTCAATTGAGAATTGGGTGATACTTAGGGAATAAATATGTTCTTTGCCCTAAGAAGTAAACAACCCAACTTTAATCGGGTCGGGCAGATTTCTCCTGGTACAGGAATCCACAAGACTCTAGCAAGCGTAGGTACTCCTTTTGCAAATAATAAAAAAATAATTTAATAAGACCCTATTATCTAGGTTCAAACTAGCAGTCCTGGTGGTTTTGATGGCGCAGGGGTGCTACACTATTCGAATTCCCCTGCACCAGTTAATGGTCCTATACCGGGAGGTCCGGATCCATCTGATCTGGATTCTTCTGTCAATCAAGCTCGATCTATCAGGTAAATTTGGAAAACGTTGCAATTCATCGAAGATTTATATTCAATCTTTAAGTTAGGCTTGAACCTTCATCAACTTAGGTTGTTGCTTGTCAAGTAATTTTCATTACTTATTCACCTATAATCATACTCCTCCTTTCTGCATACTAGGTGGAACCTGACAGCAGGTGCTGCAAGGCTTAACCGGCAAGGAGCTTTCAATGTAACAAACATCACCTTGTCTCAAACCTTCATCATAGACAGATCAATGGCAGAAATTGAAGGTTCACAACGCTATGCTGTCAACAATGTGTCATACTACACCTTAAACACCCCATTAAAACTGGCAGATCACGTCGTCAACGGCTCCGGTGTCTACCAACTGGATTGGTTTCCAGTTGATTCTGTCAATGCTGAGGCTGCTTATGGAGTTTCTGTAGTTACTGGAATTCACAAAGCGTGGATAGAACTTGTCTTTGTAAATAGTTTGAACACTATAGATGCTTGGCAATTAGATGGTTTCGGCTTCTATGTTGTTGGGTAAATTTTCTAAATCATCACCACGTCTACAATTCCTTTCCAAAGCTAAGATGATTGACTCATAATTTATGTGAAATTGTTTCTCAATCCCAGATTTGGCAATGGATTTTGGGGACCTGAAGCTCGCAAAGATTACAACATTTTCGATCCAGTTGTTCGGTCAACCGTGCACGGGTACCCCAACAGATGGACTGCTGTTTATGCATTCCTTGACAATCCTGGAATGCGGAACCGCAGGTCACAAAGCTTGAAAAACTCGTACTTGGCCAAGAACTATACATTCGAGTCTTCGACCCTGATCCTAACCCTGCCAAGGAGCGTCCACCAGCTAGTAACCTGCTTCTATGTGGTCAGTGCAATTTTCATGAACTTTTAGCATAATTTCCTTTTATTTAATTTGATATTGGTAATGTTAACTTGGGTTGCTTGTAACAGGTATTTTTGCTCCGGACCTGACTCTGAATCTCCAGCCAGCGAACCCGTTCCTGTTCCATCTGCATGATGGTGATTTGGTGACTGAAAAACTTGATGGATCAAGTGATAATCTTCACAAAGTTTTGAAGGGTTTTCTTTCCTGTATACAATCATTCTATTCCTATATTGAATTTGTCTACAGTTCATCAAACAATTATCTCCTGTGGTGACTTGACTTGTAACAATTAAGGAAAATATTTGCTAATGGGTTGTATGATCTAGGCTTTATGATGTATTGAGTTGTTGCTTGTCAGAGAATTACTGTATCAATAACAATATTTTTATTTTTATTTTTTTAATACCAAAACTGCAGTTATTAAATTTCACATGAGATGTAATGCTACTATGATTGAACTTATAAAAAATATATTTAAAACAGTTTACATTTCAATCAAGATTAATTTTTTTCTTTACACTTCCATAATTATATGTATTTTTACGAATAATTAGTTTAACATCAAATTTTGAATAATTTGACCTAAAAACAATTTAATAATCGATTAAAAAGTGCATATTCTTGCTATATATATATATATATATATATTATTTCATGATTTTGATTTTCTTTGTTATTTCTTTAATGCTACTCTAAATTATTTATATTTCACTTTTTGTTTTCAAGAATTAAAATGTGAAGCGTGGGTTTGTATGTTCTTTGTTTTTCCTTTTATAATTTTTTTCTTTTTCATATGTTATGTTGTGTGTTTTTACGATATATATAACCCAATTTATTATTATTATTATTATTTGGTGATTGGAATTTTCCTTAATTTTCTTTTTTAAGTTATATTACTTCTTTTTAAATTATTATTTTATTTTGATTTAATTTCTTGATTATTTCTTGTATGCTGCTCTAAATAATTTATATTTCACTTTTTGTTTTCAAGAATTAAACTGAAAAGTGTGTGTTTGTATGTTCTTGATTTTTCCTTTATATATAAATTTTTTAATATGTTATGCGGTTGCTTTTATATATATATACATATATATTTCTCTTTTTAAAAATTATTTCTTGATTTCTCTTTTTTAATTATTTCTTCAATGCTATTCTAAATCATTTATATTTCACCTTTTTTTTTAAGAACTAAAGTATGAAGAGTGGGTTTGTATCTTCTTGATTTTTCCTTTATATTTTTTTCCCTTTTTATATGTTATGTTATGTTGTTGCTTTGTTTTTATATGACCCAATTTATTTATTTTTTATTAGAATTTACCTTCTTTTTCTTTTTTTGTGATCTATATTGCTTTTTTTAATTCATATTATTTCTTGATTTTCTTTATTATATCTTTAATATTGTATGTTTGTCAAAATCTTTTTTTTTAACACATGTTCTATGTTCCTAATATCGATTGTGTGCAATTCACTTTGATCCGGAGAAAGAAGATGAAAGCTCTTCTATTTGTTGGCAACTTCGAGTTTGGTAGTCATAGAGTTTGTTAAACTAGAAGAGTCGGCTAAATTGTAATAATCAAAATTTAGAAAAAAAATATGGGTGATATAAATAAGAGCGATAAGCCAATAACTCGCTCCTATTTCTAGAATTTTCCCTCCTCTCTCTCTCTCTCTCTCTCTCTCTCTCTCTCTCTCTCTCTCTCTTTCCATTTTCACTTCGATTCCTAAGCTAATTCATTGTTAAATTAGCTTAGAGGAAACATAAATTAGAGGATTTAAGTGGAGTTTAGTTAGCTTGGAGCTTGGAAAGCTATAAAGAAATTGGGATTTGAGGAGCATTATGTAAAGGTAAGAATTTTGATCGATTGATCTTTGAATTGTGATGTTTGTAAGTAGTTAACAATGATATTGAATTAAAATTGCTTTGGGTTGTTAATTGCTTGAGGAATTTATTAGATTAAGGTTATGGTTTTGAGATCCATTTGGAAAAAAGTTTGATTAAGTGATTCTAAGTATTTAATTGATGTTTAGTTATCTTGGACAAGTGAATTAAGGATTTAATTAGAAGTGTAATTGAATGAATTTGAGAAATTGAGAGGTTGGAGATGATGAATAGTGATAAATTCGAATTTAGGTTTTATTGGAAAGAATTATGGGAAAAAGACGAATTAAGTTATAAAAGTATAATTAAAGATGAATGGAGTGATTATTGGATGAATTAGAATAAAATTGGTCATTTAATCGAATTAAGGTTTAGTTGATTGTTTAAGGATGGATTGAAAATTGGTAAAGGAATATGATTAAGAGATTACTTAGAATTGATTGAGGGATCATAGAATCTAATTAGGTTTTTGGTTTGAGTCTTTCCAATCACTTCCATTTTATTCGATAATCTTATATGCTTACTTTCGTCGTTTTAAATTATTCCTTAAGATACAATATTGATGGATGCCCTATCATTTATGATACTAGATTCTTCGGAGTGGACGACTCCATCACAACATTGATTACGTTCGGTTCTATAAATTATACTATGAGTAGATATTATGTAGTATACTCTGTTTTACATTTCTTGGTTATGCTCATTCATGCATCATTATTTAATAATGATTTAGAAGTAATTCTATTAGAACCTAGATGGAAACCGGACATCATGAATATTTGAAATGATTTTATGTGAATTGGAAAGAGATTTGGTTCGTGTTTTCGGATTAGAACATGTACATATTATGCTTGTTGTTTTGAATATATTTGTATTTTCTAAAGATGCATGCATGGTATTTGAAATACTGATTTGAAAATATATAAGTGTGTTTGATTTTCAAAGCTGTTTTTGAGACCTTAGAGAACCTAGCTACTGGGGGTAGCCTTTGAGCTTAATGATATGAGACTCCATCTAGCGGGAGAGATATAGTGCTTAGACCATATATTAACCAACATTGGTAGGCATGACCTTTGGGTATTTGCACCCAATAATATGTTATTACCCTACTCATGGAAGGCATGACCTTTAGGTGTTTGCACCTAATGATACGTTATTACTCTACGAGTATATAAAAACCTATATATGTGTGTTTTCGTATGAATATAATATATGTATGATATCTTTTTCGATGAATTAATACAAAATGGTTTTAAACCATTTGATTTGTAATATGAAATATGTGTTTGATATGTATGAGTTTAAGAAATGCGCATTGAATATTGACATGAATTTGATAATGTCATCCTTAGTTCATTTTTCTTTTCTAATATATTATATAATGTTTACTCACCGAGCTATGGTTTGCTCACCCCTCATTATTTTAGTCTTGTAGGATATTGAGGGATCGTTCATTATTTTCTCTTAGCTTGTTTGATTTGAAGTTGACACCTTGACCATACGACTTATTTCTTTGTAATTTTCTTAGAATTTATGTTTATTTTAAATTATAATCTTAGATACTATGCATTTATAGTTGTGGGTAGAATATTAGAATTTTATTAAGAATGTTGATCTTGGATATTCAAATGAGAATAACATGGAATTATGAGATGTATTAATGTTGAAGAAATGTCTATTAAGTTAATATTAATGTGAAATGAAAATGATATTTGATGTTGGTGATGATTTGAGGACTATAGTATAAGTCCGATCATGATTTGAGGTTTAGTTTAGTATCCAACGCTTGTTTGGGTCAAGGTATACCTCACGATTTTCTCAATCTTCGCATCGATCATGGCTCACTTCCGGGGTCATGACATAAATACTATGCCATTTATTGGTGGATAATTGGGATTCTTGATGGATTTGCTTGAGTATATTTGAATTGTGAAATACAAAAGGATTATGATAATAAAGAGAAGTGATGTTACTTGTTGTTGTGAAGATGGTGAAGAGAATGTCCATTTCTAGCTGTAAAAGGTTATGAAGATCAAACTGTCTATGAAGGTATTAAATATATAATCGGTATTCTCAAAAATCTTAGGTTGCATAACCGAAAGTGAAATGAAGGCGAGTGATCGCACTCGTAAGAAAACAAATATTTATGGTCTTCCGTACTAAATTACTCAGCAAGGTTCAATATGGTTGCTAAATTACAAAAAAAATTAAAATTAAAATTTGATTGCACTAATGATGATCATCAGATAAATTTGAGCCACTTAATGCTAATGATTCGTAATTTAGAAATTAGAGATAGGGGCAATCATGACGACTTTCCTCTTAATCTAATAGGATAAGGTGACTTTATCTTTAAGGCAATGGTGTTTGTTTACTACTTGCAGCAACTATATTATAACATATACTTTTGACTTGGCAAGGCAAAAATACTTCGTTCATGAATTAATGAACACCTTCTACGTTAAGGATTGGTGACTTATGTTCATGAATTAATCAACATCTTCTGTGTTAAGGAATTGGTGACTTATTCATAATCGGTAATGATTCATGTGATTAATCAATTTCTTCTACACCAAGAGCTGATTGAAATTTATCATGATATGATATTAATCGTATACAATATTTACAAAAACAAGCAAGAAAAATGATGAGTTGCCAATGGAAAAATGTGTTTACTCTTCCTTGAACAATGAAAATCCTTATCTGCAGCGTAGCGTGAGAGACAAAACTAGTAACTACAAAAAACCACATATAACTTAGTTTTGTAATATTTTTGATACATCACCTTTAAAAAGCTTGATTATCAATGTTGCTATCCGACATTAATAGGACTTTCAAAAAAAAAATTACCAAGAAAAAAGAATTAAGTCTGGTTATGCATTTGAAAAGATAAAAATCACCTAAAAACATTATTTTCAAGAAAAAGATGCCGAGATTAGTCTAATCCTAAAACTATCTTAAAAAAATTAAATTTGTGAAATTATTTCTAAATCTATTTCCAAACTTATTTATCATTTAAATTAAATTGATTTTTAAATTTTTTTTTATTGTGAAATCATGTTAAATTGACTTTGAGCTCCAATATTGGGAGTCTCTTTAATTTAGTATCGGATCCAATTACAATCGGACATGATTGATATGTCTATGAACGACCTAATTGACAAAGGTTGTTAAATCGACTTGTACTTATCCTAACTAATTATCTTCCTTTTGTTTTTTTTTTTCAATTTTTTTATTAAGATGTCGAGACCAATGTTTGTCCCAATTAAATAGAAGACTCGTTATCTCGATTTAATTTTCCTAATTGACCTAAAATAGAAAACCTTCTATTAATTATAATCAAGATCTTATATGAAATCGTCGTTGGTCCCTAAAATCTAGAAGAATCAACAATTTCATATCCTATATGATAAACACATTAATAACTAAAATAAATTTCAATAAAATGCCAACACATATCTTAAAATTCTAAAATTTTGAACATAAATCAAGGACATGTAAAGATTCTCATATGATAGAAAAAAGAATAAAAAAAACATTTGAGGACATGTCAAACATGTAAAATACTATAGAAACCAGTTTTAGTTTGACAAATGATTGATTCCTTAACCGACTTGGATGATTTAAAAGGACAATTATTCCATGTTCTAAAAATCTAAAATTTCACATAGAAATTAAAGACAAATAAATGATATCATATAGTAAAATCAGAAGATAAAAATATATAAACTACCTCAAACATGATAGAAATTATTTTTACTTAAGAAATCATCATTGTCATAACTAACAAGGTGATTTAAATATTTAAATGAGAACCCATTAGAAATTATAAAGTTCTGAAATTCATAAATGGATTAAAAAAAATAGATAATGTTAATTAAACAAAATCAAGAAGTAAAAACGTCTAAGACTCGTACCAAACATGCAACACAAAATAGTAGTTGATTTCGGTTTGACAAATCAACCGTGTAGTGGCCAACAAAACAACTTAAATGAAAAACCATCTTATATCATAAATATCTAAAACTTCTCAAATAGATTGAAGACAAGTAGATGGTATTCTCGGAAAATAAAAACACCTAGGGCCATACTAAATTTTCAAAACATGACAATGGATATTTTGAATTGAATGATTGTCGCTTCGGTAACCACCAAAATAATTTAACTAAGAACCCATCCTAAATTCCAAACATATTAAATTTCATATAGATATTTGAGACAAGCGAGATGGTGTTTATAGAAAAAAAATCTAGCGAGAAAAAACGCTCGGGAGTGTACCAAACACGTAAAATACGATCGGTATTACCTTTTGAAGTTCAAAAATGGTTAATAAGATTGGAGTCGATGGGTTAGCTTGTTTCCAAACTTGTTAGAAGCTTGAATGGTGTTTTCTCTTTTACTTTTCATTTGTTCTTTCTTTTTCTCTCTCTAAGCTCTTCTCTCTCTCTCTCTCTCTCTCTCTCTCTCTCTCTCTCTCTCTCTCTCTCTCTCTCTCTCTCTCTCGTTCCCACTCTTTTCTCTTTAAAAAAAACCAAGCCACCCTTAAAAAATGCTACCCCCTCTTTTTTCTTTTCTTTCCGTTGGTTTTTATCTTACCCTAGCTTCATTCTTCACCCTTAGATTTTCCTTTTTTAATCTCATTTCTTCCCTTTTGATGAGTATAGAACACTATACATAGTCTCCTTCTTCTCTTTCATTTGCATGCTCTTTTGTGTGATGTTCTTACAAAGTTAGGAGTGGAGAGAATCAAGGGATGTTAAGGACAAATTTTATAATCTTGTATTTTTGTTTTGGGTGTTGGGAAGATAAAATTGATGCATGGGATTTACATATGGATAAGAATGCCAACAAGGTTAGGGGAGGGAGAATAGGTATGGTTTTTGGGAAGCTTTGGTGGGTTGAAAATGGTTCCCATATCCGTACTCTTCTTCTATTTTAGTCTTGTCAATCTCTAATTTTATTTTGCAATTAAGTCACTTTATTTAGAGCATTTTGGTTTCTTTCGTTCTAATTTCTATGAATTGGCCCCTTATTGCTTTCAATTGTTTCTCCAACATTTTTAGTACTCCTGAATTGACTCTATAATTTTTAAATTATTTTTCAATTGGGCCATTTAACCAAGCTGAAATTGATCTTTTTTTCTTTGTTTTAATTTTTTTTTGTGCTTTCATTTTCTCTTTTTTTTTTCCTTTTTTTTTTTTTTGTATTCATGAAAAAATAAAAAAATATGATTAAACAAACTAATAATAACAATAAAAAAAAATTAATGGGAAACTTACACTATGTATATAAAAATAAATTTGTAAAAAGATCTAAAACAATTGAGGAGGTGAAAATTACGTTATGATAGTCAATATATAAGAAAATATATCTTTGAAAATATTTTTAACCGACACCCCCCATTATATGTTTGCCTTAACATTATTTTATGCCAGACAAGATCAATTCTAATTTTGTTCAAAGTTTTTTTTTCTTTTTTCTTTTTTTTTTTTTTTTTGAATTCTTTGTAAAAAAAAAAAACCATTAAATTTATAAAATTCAATAACAAATTCTATGAATGAGGTTAAGGGTATTTGTTCGGTTTCGAAATTTTTTAGACGGTTTTGTGATTCACCGAATTTTTAAAAAATATAACTCAAACCAAACCGAATTATTATTTGATTTTTTTATTTGATTTTGAAATATACCGATTTTGGTATTCGGTAATTCGATTTTTATCTATAGTTATCTATGCTTTTGATTTTTGAAAGTACTATACACTTTGGAATTAATAAGTTTAGTACTTGTATTATTGCATTTGCATAAATATGAAACCAAAGCCGAAGGTCCAAAGGCCAGTGGCCACTGCCACTACCCACTGGGCAGTGGCTATCGAGAGCCCATGGGTTGAATGTAACTGGATCCTTGAACGTATCAAGATTTAATTGAACAACATGGGTAACAAGCATTAGTGTCCAACCAGCTGGAACAGTGTATCCTGGAAGTTTCATAAACAGTCAATTAAATCGATCACATTTTTCAAAAAGAAAGCATATATAGAAATTTTAAATTACGATAGGGTAGTATACCTTTGACTTGGAAATCGCTCAATGCCTTTCGGAACAAACCAAGTGGGACGTTGGAAATTCCAAGAGTTTCATTGACAACCTATGCATCATAATTAAAATCAGGTCATTAAGAATGTCAGATCATCTTATGAAAAGCATGATTTGTAACTTAAGTTTAGAACAAGAAGACCATTTTTGAGAACACGGAACTAACCATCTGCGTAAAAGTCATTGATTGGTACTCCTCCCAGGTGAGATCGGAGTTTGGATTCTCTCTTTTCTTCATCATTGCCTCATGCTCAGCCTGATCAAACAATTAGCTTAAGAAATGGTGTGAATAGAGTGGCATCTTCAATTTACAATCTTAAAAATTTGATAATAGGTGTGAATACATACCGTTAATTTCTCGACTACGTTAGGGTTCTCTCTTCTCTGAAAGAAACTTGAATGTAAGAGTTAGAATGTTTGACGCAGATTCGAAGCTGGCAAATAAAATCCCGAACATGAGTCAAGGGATGAAATCTTCTGTTAAGAACTTCTCTGTCTTCATATCATCAATGGCTTGATTAAGAAAATCTCCCCGATGCTTTGATGGATCGGCGAGTCTCTTCATCAGGGTATCCTTTAACATTTTCAACATCTTCTCTCGGTCCTGAATCAATAGAAAAAAGAGTCAAGACTAAAGAGGGGATGAGTGGATGACTGGATGATTGATTGCAATTTGGAATTGAGGGAGATTTTAGGTTTAGAGTTCTGGAGACTGGAATTTGATTTGGTGTGACTGCGCATCGTCGTGTGAGGGAAAACTAAAGGAGGGATGACTGGATGAGTCAGCTGGATATATATATATATATAATTTTGGTTATTCGATTTAACCCACATTTAAAAAAAAAAACCGAACTCAAAACCAAAAACCGAAGATATGTCTGTACAATTCGGTTTTGTTATTCAGTTTTCATTGAATAATGAACACCCCTTAATAATGTTTTTAGAAAAATATTTTGTTTCGTGGATATGGATAAAAACAATATCAAGCACGTAGTTAATATTTTTTCTTTAAAAGAAAAATAGTACTTAGCTAATATTATTAGGAAAAAGATTTCAAGAAATTGGTTCAGTGGTTAAACATGTTTGCATTTTTCTTTTTTTAAAAAAAAACTTATAACCAACATCCAAGAGAATTTATTAGATTCCTCTAAATTTACTAAGGCAATGACGAGGAGTACTTTTATAATCCCTCGGAAAAGACACAAATTGATGTGAAAATAAATTTTTCATTGAATATAAAAATAAATAAATAAAAACTCATTGGAATGGATATCTACTTTTTTTTCTGTGTTAAACATAGAAAAAAAATACGGTAAAATTATAATCCCTCGGAAAAGACACAAATTGATTTGAAAATAGTTTTTTCATTGAATCTAAAAATAAATAAATAAAAACTCATTGGAATGGATATCTACTTTTTTTCTGTGTTAAACATAGAAAAAAAATACGGTAAAAAAAAAATCAAGAATACAAATGAATCATTAAATCATAGTTTGAAAATAGAATATACTTGTAAGTCCAACCGTCTATATGTAATCTTGATGTTTTTAATTTTTATATGTACACAAGAAAAAACCCACTAAATCATGAAGAAGATAGTCCATCTCTTCTCTCATACACTTGTTGCGGGCTAGGCTTAGGCCACATTTATTAAGCCTCAGCCACGAGCCCATGACTATTCAAAATGTAATGTTCAAAACCCAAACCCATATGATGAACGCTAGCAGGCCCGGGAGACAGAGAAGCAATCTCCCCTGCTCCACCACTAAGAAGTCATAGAACACCTTTGTCGTTCAGCAATTTTTTTTTTAAATTTAAGTAGATAGCATCCACAAGCCCACAGCCAATCATAAACCATATGTTATTTTTAAGTGCATATAGAAATTTAAAAATGTCGCCCCGGCCTATCCACGACCAAAATACACTTTCAATTGAATTAATGAACTGATAAAATTAAAGATAATGTTAGAGATATTTATATTTTTTATCATTTTTTTATTTAATGATGTGGCATCATGCAATTAGTGTTTTGTCAATTATTTAATTTTATAATTATAATTGTTTCATTAAATATGATAAAATCATTTCATGATTTGAAATTTTTTCCCAGCAATAGATGTGATATTTAGTAATCAAAACTTGGTAAACAAAATTAACACCTCTCACATTATCCATTAGTATACATAATACAAGTGCCAACAGTGCTTATCTTGTATTTAATTCTATAATGAATGACATGTAAATATTTGATAAGTGTCAAATTTAAAATTAAAAGTGGCCGATAACAATCATGTAATGAGTCTTTTCGACTTAAGTTTAATTAGCTAAAAGCATGAAATGTATTTGAATCATTTTCATCTTCAAATAAAGTTTTTTTTCCCCCAACAGCACTGTGAGGAGTGTATTAACATATAGATTAAATGTCAAATTATGAAATCTTTTAAAAAAAGGATGAATCAAAATATAGTTGCCCCATCAAAACCAGACCTAAAAAATCAATGAAATTGGTCAAATGGATATATTGAAAACAGAAAATTATAATGTCACAATTGCGCAAATCTAATAAATTAAAATTGACCTAGCACATTGCTATATAAATAAACTAACTAAATAATGATATATATATATATATATATATATATATATATATATATATATATATATATATATATATATATATATATATATTTATTTGTTTATTTATTTATTTTTTGAGAAATGGTGATGTCGTATTACTTAAGTGTATAATTTACTAACAAAGATACGGGTATCAACTAGTATTATTCTGATGTATAACACGACACGAGCATGAAATAAAACTATTCAAGAAATCTTGATTCCGACATAGCTCGAAATCTTTTTTACACAGAAATAACGAAATGTAACTTGTTTTAAGGATAAATTAATCATTGCAAATTCTAAATTAAAAAGTATTTAACAGTAATAAAATCGTCAGCACTTACATGACTCGGGATCCCAATTTTACGACTCCTCTGTCCCATTTCCACTTGTTTATCGATAGAAACGTGTTTTCTAGGTTCTTTTAAGAGGCCCAACAAGCTGGGCTTGATGGCCATACTTCACTGAATTTATTAAGACTTGACAATTATTATTATTATTATTATTATTTTCAGTAGGAGTTAGGATAGTCAGAACATCTGAATTGTTAATTTATACTTTCGTTTGAGTTTAATATGTTGTTTGCCTTCATTTTTCTTATTTATGAATATAATGATATTATAGTCATTGAAGAAAAATTAATCCAATAGTCAGACGTAGGGTCAGAATCTTTTTGATATAGTTAATGAATCTTTAAAGTTTCGGGAAGAGTAAAATTCTGAAAGTGATTTTCTTCCAGAAAACATGATGAAACATCAACGGTCTGTATGCATAAAATTAAGCAAGCAAATAGATTTAATAAAAAAGAAAGGGAGAATAATTATATTATTGGTACATCAATTTTGAACCTCTTCTCAATCAAGTATATTAATTTTTATTCTTTTCATTTGAGTATATCAATTTTTTTAAGAATGTTAGTTAATTTTTTCGGTCTAATGCTGATGTGGTAGTTAACATAGAAGACTAAATAATTATATTGTCATTTTTTTATTTTTTCCTCCTAGATTATTATTATGATTTAACTTTCAAAAAACAATTGACCATATACATAAATTGACAAGTGTGCGTGCCAGCTGAAAATTTGTTTTCTTTAATAAATAATTAAATAATTATAATTGTAACTTGGGAGGTGAAAAAAATGACAACTTAGTGATTTAGTCTTCCGAGTTAACTAACACATCATCATTGAACGAAAAATTTGATAAAAAAACTTAATTGACATTTTCAAAAAAGTTAATATAATCAAATGAAAAAAATAAAAATTGATTTACTTAATTGAAAACAGAGTTTAAAGTTGGTGTACTTATAATGTAGTTTTCTCATAAATAAACTAAAGAGCTTCTTAACTAATTTAACCCTTTATTGTAACTTTGGATGAAATTACAAAAGTGATTGGGATATGTTTGAATTTAAAATAAATTTTGTAGGAGAAATTTTAAAATACTTAAATAATAACTACTGTAAATACACAATAGTTACTTAATGAGTCCAATTTTTTTAAAAGAGATAGACAAAGAAAAAAATAGAATTAAATATGGACACGTTAAAAGTGATAAGAAAATTTCTATTTGAACTCAAATTTTTTTCCCTTTTTGTGGAGTAAATTATAAATTGGTCATTCTCATTTTAAAAACTAATTATTTAATTTTCATATTTTACAATTTACTTGTAATTTAGTCATTCTTGCTCCTTTTTTTTTTTTTTTTTACGATATGGAAAAATGGGAAAAAAAAGAGAGAAAAGACTCGATGAGAAAATAAGAGATTTTATGGAATAATAATAATAATAAATTAAGCATAACCAATACTAATTAAAGGACTACATAATAGTTTTTTAAACGAAATGAACTAATTAATTTATTTTTTGAAACCGGAGGAACTAATTTATAATTTATTTTTATTTTTTTGTCTATCTTTCTTTTATGAAATAATTTACATTAATTACTCTACAAATAATATAAACTTCCTCGTTTTGTAGAGTCTATTTGATATAAAAAATGTAAAATCTATGCAATTTGCTACACATGGACCGTTGTAATTTGAAGGTTATAAAAGTTCAATTGACCACATTTATCTACATGAGTACGTGGTTAAGGTTTGACAATTTAGGTCTCAAGTTTAAAATCTAGAAATGATATGAAGTGCCCATTAAACTTTTTGGAGGGAAAAAAAAATAGAAAACTTTGTACTATCCTTTTTAAAAAAATTAAATTGACCTCTTGTTAATAATAAAATCATAGATGTCACAGGCATCTTATTAATTTAATTTGTAAGCTCTAATATCATATTTGATGGTGTTGTTTGTACTGGACACAACTAAGAATGCATTAATTCATGGACTCATATATGATCGGTAGATATATTTTTGATGTCTTCATTTCAGATTTGTTCTTTGTAGGACTTTAAAACTGAAAAAAAAATCTCATAATTAAACGCATTAATGTAAAATAAATTGATCATCAAATTGTCCATTTCACGGAACCAAATTGATGAAAATATCAATTTTAATTTTAAATTAAATTATTATCAGATATATCAAAATATTTACATATTGGATCAATTCAATAAACAAATTAACGAATTCGAATCGTAATAAAAAATCGAATAAAAATATATTATTTATTAGATTTATTTAATTAATCTATTTATAGTCTAGGTCCAGGTCCTGTCGTCCTGCTATCTATGGTGCAGGCTAAACCTGATTGGGCCAGGTCAACTCAGGTCCAATCCAATTCTTCCAGCCTACAGGGTGTTGCATTGAGGTTATAAACTCACATGCTTTCACTCGTGCACTAATGATTCAAGCTAAGAGGAAGAAAAGCCGGCCCATATGTGTAGTATTCCTGCTTACTTTTCTGAAGATTTTTTCTCGTATTCCTTACGATAAATGAGAATCCGATACCTTCCCTTCAAGGCAAACAAATTCGATAAATTTTATAATACACAAAGAATAATTAGTGAGATGTATAGTAGTTATTTTTTGGATCCATTTTGAGAAGAGAGATAGACACGTAAAAAGAGATAAAGAAAAATAGGAGAGAGAAAATAAAAAAATTTGAGCGAACGTGGAAATCTTCTTATCACTTTTGATGAATATAGATGTAATTTCTCTTTTTTATGTGTACTATCTCTTCCTTCAAAATGAATCCAAAGAATAACTAATATACATATCACTTTATATTAGTTGTGTATTATAAAATTTTTCAACAAATTGAAAAAAAAAAAAAAATCCATTTAGGAAGACCGAAACAGCATTCGTCAATCCATAGCCTTCTCCCTCAGACAGAAAAACGGAAGGAAAGAGTAAAGATGGTGGCTCGCCAATTCTTCGTCAACCACAACGACTCCACCTTCGACGTCGTTTACGACACCGCTGACGGCCTCGAAGTCAGTCTCTCTCTTCAAAACACAATTCTCCTTGTTTATTAACACTGTTTGTTTAATTATTTAATTATTATCATTAATTTTGCAGGTTTTTAAGTACCAGCTTTTCTCTCTCACTTCAATCCCTCCTCATCACCAACAGGTTTGGTTCATTGTTTTTTTTCCACTATCCTCGCGTCATCAATACTTGCGTTTACTCGACGTTTTTTTTATTTTATCGATGATTTTGCAGATCTTTGGAGAAGACGATGATCGAGTCGTATCAGACGATTCTGATCTCACTGACATTTCCAACAAACTCAAATTGATAAAAATCAACGAGGAGGATGAAATCGAGCTACTAGATTCGAGTAGTACTGTTGTGCAGGATAGCGAGGAATCAGTGCGGAATGTGCAGGTCGTTTTCTTTTATAATTTTCTTTATCGAAGGATTGAAAAATTGTGGATTTTTTATTTTTATTTTTATTGTGTATTAAAACGGTTTGTAGATTCTCGGAGGAGACGATTCGGATAGTTCTGATGTCGTTCATGTTTCAAATGAACTCAAAGAATCAAGTAGTGCTGTTGTACATGATAAGGACAGTGCTGATGATTTGTTGAAATCGGATGAGGAATTTGCGCGAATGTTACAGGTTTTTTTTTTTTTTTTTTTTGCGTTTCGGTTTTTGGTTTTTGAGAAAGATTTTTTTATGGTTTTTTAATGGGAATAATTTTGCGTTTGGTCATGATTAGGCGGAGGAGGAGGCGCTTATGTTGCAGGAGTTTGCAGTTAGTCAACAAAGTGAAGAGATTGAGCAGAGAATTCGGCCGTATATCCAGCAAGTTCTAACAGTAATTTGAGAAACTTGGGGGTTCTATTTGTTGTTACTGCTGTTGTTTTTGCTTGTTTTGTTTGGTTATTGAGTAAAATTGTAGGCGAAGAAATAGGGAAGTTAAAAGATATTGAGTTTCAAAATGTATCATTTTTTTGTTCCCAAGAAAATAGAAGGTTTTTATTTGAATTGTTCGTTCAACAGAAGAGCAAATCTTTTTTTTTTTCCTCCTTTTTTGGTTTATGATGGATTTTCAAAATCATTTAGACACTAGATAGAGGTAATTTCGAAGAGGTTATATTTTATTTAGTACTTGGCCTATTGCTGATGTAGTATGAAGACCCGGTGAGGCAGGAGGCAGCACGGAAGACGGTTCCTAGAGAAGAGCTTGAGGAGAAAGCTCTGGTTTCTTTGGCAAAGGTATTGGTTTTTTTTTTTTTTTTAATCATCATCATCATTATTATTATAGTGATGAAGAAACTAAACGTTTTAGTCAAGGACTGTATAATGAATGCAAATTGCAACTTAATTTTTTGCGTAGTAAAATAATGAGCAATAAGAAGTCACCTGGGAAAAAGTCTCTATGCTACTGGAATTCGATAGATGTGTTGCAATGACTGTTGAGATTTCTTTTTTTGTGCTCTGCTCTCTCTCTCTCTCTCTCTCTCTCTCTCCTTAATTGGTCTTGTAAATGCTCAACCTTCTCTATTGTAATAATCAGGCAGTTAAAGTCCCACTTGTGCTTTATATGCCCTTTTTTTTTTTTAATTTATAGAAGATGGTCTATAGAACTGAACATAGATTCAACCTGTTGCTTCAACTTGTTAATCTTTATTATATTTAAATTAACTTAAGTTGACACAAAAGCCTTCATGGTTTGATTAAACCACTAAAATGCCCTTGGACAGCTTATACCATAATAAAATTCCGACCATGTAGTGTGTCTCGCACTTGTTATTCTATAGTCTCTAAACTAGAGTGAGTAAGTAATTTTTGTATTAAAAATTTTAGACAAGCCATTTGGCTTCTGTTGAAGTATAGTTGAATTGATCAAATTAAGTTTGACAAAAGTTCGTTATAGATATATATGTAAACAACTTTTCTCATGCGCATCACTTACGGTATTAGACTAGAATGGAATTTGTTGTGGTTAACCTGTTGGTCAATAGAATTATTGGCAGCAGTTTTTTTTTTTTTCTTTTGTACAATTGCTGGAAGCAGTGTTCAGGTTGTAGCTTCTTAATTTACAAATTTGTTGTTCAAGGTTGTTGGATGGAAATCTTGGAGACCTTGGCTACTTGTATGATTGTCATGCAATGCTGAATCATGTTTTATCCTCATTAAAAAATTTCGTTTGCAACTGGAATTTTTCTACTCTTGTGTTTCAATGAATCGCAGCCACATCATAATTGGAATAAATAAAAAAGGTGGTTCGTGTTGATCAAACTGGTTTAAGCTGTTAAAATCATTTCACCTCTAGAGTTTGTTCTGCTAATATGCCATGGGTAATTGGTAATTTTGTTAATTATGTTTTAGGAGGGGAACTTTAAACCATCAAAAATCGAACAAGACCATGCTTTCCTGCAGCAGCTGCTTTTCTGGTTCAAACAATCATTCAGGTGTTTTTCATTCCTTTACTGTTTTTACGTTGGAATTCCCCTTAAATTGAACAAAATACTGCTTAACAAATAGCCACATATCCCAACAATAAATACTTGCACAACTTATAAGCGCTCCTCATAAAGAACTATACTCTCTTTGTCAATAGACTATTATTTTCTAGGTTATACTTATAACATGCTAGCATTTTCATAGGAGGATCGTTCTTAGGATTAGATATCTATTGTAATAAGCAGCTTCAAAGGATGGTGCCTTGTTGATGTAATAAACTCTTGTGCAAACAAGGAATTTGCATACATATATATATTGCTTATTCTATAAAGATGTCAGGGAAATGCATGATTAAATTGATAGGACCTTAATTTGTTGGACATGGCCTTTATTTGCTAGAAGTTTAAGATCTGATCTATTTGGAAAGAAGGAAATAAGTTTCAATGATTCCTACATCTGAAGTTTTTGGAAGTGCTTGGTGGTTACACTTTGTAGTTTGTAACAAAGTTTATTGCTTATTAAAAGACAGGGCTTCAGCATTAAGAAAGCAGTGAATGGTTGCTGTTCTTGCTCGACATTTTTATGTTTATTTTTCAAGGAAAGCTCTATTTTTATTTTCTAAAATGGTTGGCATCTTTTACATTCTCAAGTTTGGTGGCGCTTCTGCCTATGGCTTTATATGTCCAGAAATGTCGATTCTCTCTCGTAGTTTTCCAGAATGGTTTTGAATCACACTAAAGTATGAGAGATGCTTTCCTCAACTAAAGATTTAAAAATGTTTCCATGTAATAGCTTTGGCTTTTATGTGAGTGAATTTGTTTTCCATCCACAAGAAGAAGAATTGTTCCTTTATTTTCAGTCAAAGATTTTTTTTTCTTGTTTCTTACAATGTATTGCCAACAGTAAAAATGTTGCCCATGTATTATTGCCATCTTCTGATTGTGTAGGTGGGTTAATGCCCCTCCTTGCGATAGTTGTGGCAATGATACTGTTATCCAAGGAATGGGTGCTGCACTTCCTTCGGAAACCCAATATGGAGCAGCTCGAGTTGAACTTTACCGGTATGCACCATGTCTGTATTTTTGCTTACTTTTGGAATTTTATTTTAATCTTATTTATTGTTTCTTCATGGTTTATTTAGAATTCCTTTTTTTTTTTTTCCAATCACTTGTACTCCTAGCCCTTAACAAATACTCCCCAATTCCAAATCTTGTATTCGATACCTTTTGTTTGTAAACTTGAATATATAATTCATTCTTAGCAAATGATCTCATGAAAAGTTCCAACTTTTATAGCCTTTTGTTACTTGATCAGCATATAATTGTATGTATTGATAACAGTTTATATGATAATCATCCATAGATGGGAATTTCGAAATCATTAAACTGTACAGCTCTCGAGATTGATTTGTGTATCGAAGTGAAATTCTGCTCCTTGGCTAGACATTGTTTCTCCTATTTCCCCCCTTGCCCATTGTTTATCATGAACCTGAAGAATTAAACTCAGTCCTGTCCCTACCTGTTTCAATATGGTCACCCGATGCTTGCTTTTTTAGTCTCTTGAGTTTTTTTATTTGAAAAGCTCCCCCCTTCTTACTCATAATTAGTAAATGGTGTTCGAATGAGGATTTTTTGATACAATCTACTTTGTTGCATCTGGAATAAAATTGAAAATAAATAACTAGCTCATAGGTGTGTTGATGCTAAGTGGAGAAGGGTGTGTAACACACATCTTAGTGCTGTTAATGAAACGCATTCATAGGTAGATAAGGTAATTAGTTTTGTATGTTCTGTTTTTATGCTTATTTTCCCCCATTATTATGCAGGTAGTTGGTTTGTCATGATTGGTACATGGTTTACCAAATTAAGTAATTAATTTTTTTTTGGTGTTTCCTCCTCTTCACAGAAGCATATGTTCTCATGTTCATTGCCTCTCACGTTTTTTTTTCTGTCTCTGGAATATCTCAGCTGCAATTCTTGTAGAAGAATTACCCGTTTCCCACGCTACAATGATCCATTAAAGGTATTTTGTCTTATGCCAATTGACAAGTTTATATTTCATAATCCCCTTCTCTGTTGTCTTATTCTTCTTTCTTCCCTTTCACCATTCAGCTCGTGGAAACTCGAAGGGGTCGCTGTGGAGAATGGGCCAATTGCTTTACCTTTTATTGCTGTGCTTTTGGCTATGAATCTCGTCTGGTGAGTCTGTTTCTTAAATTCAAACACAACACCAAATTAAAATCTTGTTTTGGACAGACTTTGCTCCAATAAATCAATATTTTCCAAGTAAAGACTGGACACAACGATATGAGTATTAGGCTCTGAATTTTATATATTATTAAAGTAGCTTAAAATATGGCTATTGCCTTTATAAGTTTTCAAGGTGCGATGTGAATGTAGTAAAGTACTGGTGAAAACTTAGCCTATTTTCAATGGCCTATAAAGTAGGGAAATTAATTTTTGTGTGAAAGCAGTTGGGCTCATAATTATGGCTTTCTATACAATACCCTGTGAAATGTAAACTAAAATGAAATATAGTGAAAAGGTGGTTCCCCTTTATTGAGGAATCTCTTGTTTTGTGTAAGTACACACACGGGCTTGTTTGTGTTCATGCACTGTAATATGTGGAAGGGCACGAGGGGACTTAAAATATTTTTATATGAAAGAAGTTGGCCATGATAGAAGTTAGTATGACCTTTTCTACTTTGTGTTTGATGTCCAGGTCATAGATTTCACGGATCATGTTTGGACTGAGTGCTTTTCGCAATTTCTAGGCAGGTAAGCTTCATTAAAAAAATTGATGCCTTCTATTTTCTTCAGAAGCATCTCAGAAGAGTAATAATTAAGCTAAACCATGCTTTTCAGGATGGTAACCGTCATTTACATGTTCTCTGACATTATTATGCAGATGGGTGCATCTTGACGCTTGTGACGGAGTTTTTGACAAACCATTATTATATGAGAAGGGGTAATGTATCTACTTTATTCTATTTGATCTATATACACACATGCAGACACATACTGAATTATTTCTTCTATCCTCTTTCTGGATCTTGAGTAGTCTATGTTGGCCCTAGGCATACTTTGTATAAATTTTGAATCCTTCTTTTCTTGTAGGTGGAATAAGAAATTGGACTACATAATTGCTATTGCAAAAGATGGTGTTTATGATGTCACTAAGCGTTACACAAGGAAGTGGCTTGAGGTAATTATAACTATTGAAATGGCATTCTTTCATATGGATTTTTCCATTTCTTCATGCACAAGGGTATGCACTCTTATATTGAGTTGTAGATCAAAAGAATTTCTAAATTTGCAGGTTCTATCCCGACGAAACATTACCAGAGAGCCATTTTTGTCGGCTACTCTTCATAGCATGACCCAAGAATGTCGAAGAAGCTTCACATCTCAAATTGTTTCTGTACTTGAAGACCGTGATAAGAGTGAATCAGAAGAGCTTGAGAGATTTTTATATTCTACAGATGATTCTTCAGTCTCGTTGCCTGGTAGACAAAGTGGGGACAAGGAATGGCGCATTGCAAGATCAGAAATTGGTTCCGATGAACATTGCTCTTTGAGCTGTACTTCATGTCCTGTTCGTGTATGCGTAGATGAGCACGTGACAAAGATTTACAATGCATTTTCTCCTCTCCTTTCTCGTTGTGTTAACCATTCTCTTTCCAAATCAAGAATTATTGAAATACTGAAGATGTTCAAAGGAATTTTGGTGGAACTTAGGAATTCGCCCTATAAAACCAGGCGAGCTTCCATAAACCCTTTTATGCTTCATTTGCTGCCATATTTTGATGAGTTACTAAATGCTCTATCATTGAAGAGTGAGATTGACACTGATGGAAAAGTGGATATCGGTTTGGCTGGATACCCTGTCAACACCGCCTTAGCACTGCCTGTCGTGTTGGATGCTTTGGATGATTTGATCCAGGGTCTTAACAATCATTACAACGTAAGCAGAGATTCTCTGTCCTGGCCACTTATAAAGTTGAATAGAATCCATTCTGGTTCTGTTCTTGCAAGTGGCGAGGAACTTCCTTTTGGAATTGTGAGTAGCATCTGTCTCCTCTAATTGTCGTACATCAGTTTACTAATTTGCACATGCATAGGGTTTTTCCTCAAAAGTTCCTTTATTATTCCACTTTAAACACAATTGCAGGCCACATCAGCATTTGATGGTCTCCGCATGGCTAAATGGGAAGAGCCAAATGGAGCAAAAGGTAATGTATGTACATCATATAAGAAGAGCTTGTGATGTTGAAATATTAATGTTTGGTACAGAATCTCCTTGCTTCCAGTCTGTATTCTCTATGGTATTGTGCTTGATGTTGTCTTGTTGAATTAGCAAATAGCGCATTTTTTGTTGGTGATCGTAGACTTTATGCCCAAGTAGCTATGATTGCAGATTTGGTATTTGAACACACTTGCAAAATCAAGTTTGGAATATAAATGTCTAAGTTAAATTTCCATGCATTTCTCTGTTGATTCTATGCAATTGGGATGAAACAAAGATTGAATTTTGTAGACGATCCTGTTGAACATTTTTGTGTATGACTCCCATTTATGTATTCTGTATTTTAACATTGCCTCTTGTAGGTTGCTGGATTGTGTATAAACTACCAGACAACCAGATGCACAAGTTAGTGGCATATGAATTAATGTCGGCCAATGATGCCCCAGAGAGGGATCCTATGGATTGGTATGAGTTTTAGAAGACATAGCCATGGATTTAATTATGTATTGAGAACCATCTGGTGCTAACTGAATGATTTCTCTGGGCATTTATTTTGTAGTTGTCACATCTTCTTTCTAGTACATTTTCGACGCAAATTTATATGTTATTTTCTTTCATGACCTTGTTTTTTTCTAAACAGGGTTGTTGAGGGAAGTCATGATGGTGGTTCTAGCTGGCATCTTTTGGATAAACAAACTTCTCAGATGTTTGAAAATCGTTTTCATCGTAAATCCTTTATGATTGATTCAAACAGTGTCCCATGCGATACTTTCAGGTAAATCTTGTTGATCTAAATTAATTTACGTGCACTCTACTTGATTTAACAAAGTTATAACATGACAGATTCCGGTTCCTGGCTGTCAAAGACGTTCAATCAAATTCACGCCTACAATTGGGTAGCATTGATCTGTATGCAAGCAGCAATTGAGTTCTTTGGTTGCTGGCACACTATTCTAGACTTTGATGCTACTGTATAATTATTAATTACCCCATGGAAAATAAATATTTCTCCACTGAAGCAAATGATCACAATGATTTCCCATATGGGTATCGTATTTAATCTGGCTGTGTTCATAATCGCCATTTACTAGTCACTGTAGATGAGATGCGTTAATTTCTTGGCAGTGATGGTTCTATTTCAACAATTTTCTTCATCTTGTGCAGACAAGACTTGTTTGTGTGCTGTTTCTATAATATGGCTGCCACCTGTTCTGAAACATGACGGCAGGAGAACATGTCTTTTGTATATTATCCACACCAAGAGAGCGGAACTTATCAGAAAACCACTTTTAGTCCTTGCAGGCTCCACGCAGCAATTTAATGTTATTACTTGCAATATTAACTTTTATATATTTTTGTTCAGCAATTAATCAAGAACTTTTAGTCAAATTCAACTAATGTCCTCCTGATTTTGGAATTGTCCACTTTTGTTTTTCTGATGACGTTATTAACAAGTAAAAATCACTCATTATGCCTGCTGATGTGTTGTACCATGCTGACAGTGGACGCCAACCAATACCTAGTTTATGTTCAAACCAACCAGAGCTAGTTCCCACCCTCAAAAATGGAGTACGCTAATCTGAGCTATTTATGAAACCAGGAAAATGAAAGAAAGAAACAGCTTAAGAAGCCAAGCATCACAACGTGATTCAACATGGGCTTTGTGCAGAACATAACATTCGATGCATTTGTGCAGAAAATAACATCTGCCGATCTTAGTTTTGTCGGATTTCCAGGACACCAAAGACACCATGAACTTTCATGTGCCAAAGAGTTTTGCATTGGATAAACAGGGAAAATAGAAATAGATTTTAGCAATACTTAAAAGCAACTTCATTCCTTTTCCCTCACATTTGGGATTAGTGATCCTCAATCTTCTTCAGGCTCTTCATGTCCGTTGTTTCCACCCTGAAACAAAAACAAAGCTCACCAAATTCATGTGGGACCCCAGACCAGAGCATGTAACATTCATAACAGACGAAAGCATGAAAGCTACAGATGAGATGTCGGAAGTTAGATGAGTAGATGCTGAATGAGTGAAATTTAAAGGTTGTCTTTACTTTAGGAGAAGAGTTTTTAAATTTTCATAATCCCTTCTCATCTTTATTCTAAAATTATATCTCCAACAAAGCATGTTTAGTTTACTAAATAGCACTTTTCTAAAATGGAAAAAAAGAACCATGGCTGGATCGTTTTCTAAAATTCGTCATTCCAGTTTTCCAGAAAATTGAAAAAAAATTAGAGAACATAACAATGATTAGCAAATATGCTTTCTGTTTCCTAAAACATGTTTTTAGAGAACTGGAATATTGTCCACTAGTAAACACAACCAAAGTGTTTCCTTCATTGCTACACACATCATTCCATGGCCCGTGGCCTTTTATAAGAAATAGTTGATGAAAGAAGACATGCACCCTTCTCATTAACTTGTCAAGACCTACATTTGCAGACAGGAATTGAGCTATGAAAGCGAAGAGAATAGTAGGTAAAGGGCACGTGCAACTGATATAATTGAACAAGCTAACACACCTTCCAGAAGCTGAATGCTAATATTATCAGATGGAACAAGCGAGTAAAATAATGTACCTCATTCTTTCTAACACTCAGAGAATAAACTCAGAAGTAGCATCCAATTAAGAAGAAATAACTAAGATGGTAATGGTTATCTATACTCTAAATAACTCGCGGTTGATAAAAAATCTCACATTAACATAAATTCAATCTAAAGAACAGAAAATTCCAAGCAGGAGTAAATGACATGACCCACTATTCTCTATGTGTTTGAAGTGCTTGAGATGTAATGTGAACAGACCTTCACTGCATCTAGAAAACATGAATCCACAGCCTATCAGTCATAAAATTAAAAGAAATGCATAAAGATAAGCTGTGTTATTTGAGTATCACATCATAATTCAAAATTCATAATTTTGGCAGTTCTACTAGCCACTAGATTATTTCAATGTTATGGTTTTTGCAAAAGGCAGTGTAGAATAGAGGTGTACGCTGAGCAGTCAACACTCAATATAATAATGGTGCTTCCAATGCATCCAAGACACAAGGAAAGAATATGGTAATGGCTAATTCACTAGATCAGAGCTGAAGCAAGTTACTGGCAAAGGTACTTCATAGATGTAGAGATAGAAACTTACGTTGTTCCGAAAAGAGCAATCTTTTGAACTTTTGTGATCTCAGAATCTGATTGATTATCCTCGATAAATATTGTCAAGCTGACCAAAATTTATAAGTAAGAATTACTGCTGCAACATATTATGACAAGAAAGAAAAGAAGTGCATAAATGCAAGAACTTTTAGCATACCTACGAACATTCTGAAACTTGACATACTTTAAGACCACAGGTTTTCCCTAAAAAAAGCATAAACAAAACGTAATGGTAATGTAAGAGATTATATCAACATTTTTCAGCAATTATTTCCTTATCGCGAACTTCAACATCATAGTAGCAGGAGAGGAAACTATTATGTACCTTGAGAGTATCTGGGGATAAAACTATAGTGTCACTTGGAGGGTAGTCGTTAACATTGCTGCCATAATCAAACCGTGCAATTATTGTAACATTAGGAACATTGCACTTCTTTCAAAACTGAAATCAATCAATCGTAACTCATAATACCTAAATCCCATATGCTCCTTGTTTGAGAAAAGTTTTACTGTCTTTGGACCTGGAGAAACAAACCTTCAGATTAGAATGATGGATAAGCACATCAAATCTGTCTCATAGGACTGTTTTAATGTAACGCAAAATGTAGCTAGCAGGTGAAACCTTAGAGGAATAAAATTAACAATAAAAGTTTAAATTTAAACAACTGATACCTTCTTCTTCAGGTCCTTTGATGATAATAGAATGAAGTTTAACAACTTGATTGAAAGGTATATAAATCAATAACTGCTCATCTGCATCACTCTCTAGATTCAAACCATCATCATCTCTATAACCCTAAAATTCAAAAGAGCGCATAAATTATAATTCAATGAACATCATGTTCAAAGAAATAAAAGGCCAGTATTTTGTAAAAAAAATAATAATAATCTTAGCAAAACCTAACATAACAATAACAGCACTTATAAGACTCCAAACTTCAGTGGCAAGAAACCCGAATGCTTTAAGGAGGAAGAAAAAGTACTCGTGGTCCAAATCTAATTCGCTTTACATTACTTCAATTAAATTAGCATACATGAAGAGGGTAATTACTAACTACACAATCCCTAATTGCTTGGATGCAAAACCAAGACCATAAAAACATAAAAAAGGCAAACTCTGTCATGGCACAATACTTAACAAAATCATTAAAGAGGTTGCATTCAAATATTGTTTAAAAGAAGAAACAAAAAAATTAAAAATACCTGCTTAATAGCATTGGAAAGAGAGTGGCTTGTGCTTTGGTTAAGACATTCAACTCCAGAAAAATCAACGAAGTCCAATAAATCAACCTGATTCATTCACAAAAAGATTCAAACTTTAATCCCCATATCAACAAATCTCAATAAACCCAGTTCCCAGATTCCAATAATCCATTAATTTTCTTGAAAATCAAACTGAAGAAACAAAAAAAAAGTACTTGGGCTCTTGGAATTGCAGTGGCTGATTCTGCAGACATGTTTTTCTTTTTTCCCCTTTATTTTCTACAGCTTCTGTATTCGGCAGACAAAAAGGAGAGAGTGCTTACAGAGCAAACGCGCACAGAATAACTTTTTAGTTTTTTAAGACACGGATTTATATGCGTCACCAAGAATCAGGAATCGAAAAGGAAGACTGAATAAAACGACACTGTTTGATGTGTGTTTGTGTTTTAGGTCGGTTTGGGCTCTTAAGCTCAAGTACTTGCCTTAAAGATCCAAACTTTATGTTGTGTTTGCCCTAAGAAAAACGAAAGTTGAAGGTCCAAATCTGCACCCTGGGCCTTCTCAGTAAAAAGAAAATTACTGTTCGCAAATAACGAAAATATTCACATGATCAGAATATGTGATATTGTGATAAGCTCTTCCTGAGAAAAAAAAAAAAAAAAAAAAGGTTCTTATTGGTATAAGTTTAGTTCTGTAAAAAGAAAGAATATTTTTTTTTTTTTACTGAATGCTAACATGCAAACTGGACTACTAGAGTGATAGTAATGTGATGCTATGTTGAATATTTTAATTTATGTTAAATTACTGAATATCCTTATATTTTACATGGATTTCAGTATAGATATTTTACTCACTTTATGGTTCAAATCTTATAAAATATCTTTAAAACCGTATATATATATGCTTGTTTAATATATAATTGGAGATGAATTGGTTTTTGACACGTGAAATATAGTTAAAGATATCTTTATTGTTAAAAAAACATGAGGATTCTGAAAATTTTATGTTATGGTTAAAAAAAAAAGGAAAAGAAAGAGGTAGGAAGAGATAGGAAAGCCATTAGTTAATTTTGTTAACAAAAAGAAAACAAATGTCAATTTACACAAATAAACTACTTTTAATCCATTCTATGAAATATAACAAATACTATTACTAGGTGATGATTCTACGTAGAATATGTGATAAGAAGTCCTTGCATGGCATTATAGAATCATCGTCAAAGCAGTTTCATGGGCCCTTCCAACTGTGTAGATTTAACCGAGCCTGTACCTAGCCCACTATAGAAAAAGGCTAATCAACTTTACTAGGAGATGTGTCTCTCTCTCTCTCTTATGGTAAATTATAAATTAGTCTCTATCGTTTTGAGAAATAAATCAATTAATTTATTTAATTTTAAAAATTAATTACTTAGTATTATTTATTTATTTTATTTTAAAAAAAATAAGTAAAAATATGAAAAATTGATGAGAAAAAAAATAAATTAATTATGGTTAATTTTAAAAACTAAAGGACTAATTAATTTATTTTTTAAAACAAGAGGGAGAAATTTATATTTCCTCTCTCTTTTTTAGGTTGATTTTTTAACAAATTTTTGCATGGATTGATATTAAGTTTACATTTTCTTGACCGGACAATATATATCATTGATTGAATAACTTTCAACTAGGCAACTTTCTTGTCAAATCGGTTAGAACCTATTGATTTCCACCGATCAGAAAATATCGCAACGTTCTTGCCTAACCAGTTAGAATTTATTGGCTCACATGAACAAAAAAATAAATAATACATATATTAAATGCTCGTACATGTTTAGGACATGTGTTTCAATTAGAATAAACCCTAAACATCTCTTGTAAATAACCGAAAGAGATCCATCACATTACATTTTCTTAGGCCTATCTATCACTAGACAAATGGTTGGACCAAAGATTATTCTACCCCTCGCCAAGGGCTAAAGGTTATAAATACGAGTAATGAGCTACAAAGTAAATGATTATACATTTTTTACTTCACCGGCAACATCTTCTTCCTAACTCTCTCAAGATAACACCCTTCAAATACAGACTTCTTTATAACTATTATACTTCCACTCCTTGCTTGGGTTGAGTCCCACCTCAAATGAGGCGTAACACCATACAAAATAAGAAAACAAAAAAACAAGTCATATATATAACATTATAAAAGACACTTTGACCTTTTTAATTCGAGCATCAAAATTAGACGGCAACAATCAAAGTAAGGTAGCAACGGCGACCACTAAAAAATGTGTTCTTCACCTTTTACTTGTCTTAATCGGATGGTGATTTTAATTTCAATTAAGATGAACTTTTGATATGTTATTCTTGAAGATGAGATCTTTAACTTTGAAGGTATTGATTGTTGAGAAACTCTCACTTTTGGATATTTCTTAAAACTTATTTGATAAGATCTAACCTTTTTTTTCTTATTGTCGAAATGTATTTTTGTGATGATGACATTGATGCTTTGATATTTATCTTCTAGTTGAGTTTAGAAAAAAATTATGTATCCTTTAGTTGAGTATAAAGAAGAATTGTGTATCATATTATTTGATATATATAGTAAAAGATTTGAGTGGACTATAGCCCCATAATTTTTCTCTACATTGAGATTTCCACATAAAATTCATGTATTGATTGTGATTGTGTTTATTTATTCTGTTTTAATTATTATTGATTTGTTGATTTTAATTTTAATTGTATAAAAAAGAAGAAAAATAAGGACTTGTGGTTTTGTGATTTTCATTTAGACTAGTGTCTTTTCTCAACAAAGTAGTATTAGAGCTTTGTATTGTGTATACTCGGTTTTTATTGTGTTGTTAAGTAGAGAAGAAGTTTGTGCATGATAAAACTCACTTTCTATAATTATTTTCTAGGAAAGACATTGATGGAGGATTAACTTTACTATAACAATTTAGCTATGTCAATTGAGTGCAAAGCAAAATAGTATGCTATATGGAGCGAGCAAAATGAAAGTCGATAGACATAACGACCACAACTATTGTCCGAAAATAAGTATATTCTAAGTCCATCAACCATATTTCTCAAAAACACGACTATTATAAAGTTTGGCCGATAGTTAAGAGACTTTGGGAGTGTCATTTAGTTTGATGGTGTCACTTAGTAAAGGATAGTATTCTAAATAAAGAGAAACGAAAAAAAAATAACCAAACACCTTAAAATCCTATGTACTTGTTACAAAAACCAAGAGAAAAGTCAAAGTAGATTTTCTCAAGGTTGGCGGGATAGAGAATCCGATGATAAATGAGGCAAATCGAAGTCTACGGAAAGATCTTACTCATGAAAAGGAATAAATAGGTATTATTATGATAAGCCCGAACATATCCAAAAAAAATACAAAAAGAACGAGAAAATATCGAAAGGTAAAGTTGAAAATAAAAATATAAAGAATGGTACAACCATAATTGTTTACAAAGGTGATGTTGCCATTGTTTGTGATGATAGTCGTATAATTTTTTTTTGTCAAGATATCATATAGATTGCAGATTCAACTATTTCTTACCATGTTACATCTTGATGACTTTTTTTCACATCCCATTCTAGTGGAGACTTTGGTCAAGTTAGGATGGAAAATAAAAAAAATAGCTAGTGTTGCATGTATCAAAGATATTTGGTTAGAAACTAGCATTGAGTGCAAGTTATTGCTTAAAGATGCTAGAAATATGTTCGATGTATGTCTAATTTAATCTTATAGAAACATTTGATAAATAAGGTTGTCATAATTTTATTAGAGATGATAAATGAAAGCTCTCTTAAAGTTCTTTGATTATTACTAAGGACAAGAAGATGGATCCGTATATGTCACAAACCAAGATGATTAAAAGAAAAATGAATGTAAATGAAGATGTTTCCACTTATTTATGGCACGAGTAGTTTGAACACTTAAATAATAAAAAGCCTTAGTATTCTTGCCAAAAAGAACCTCATTTTTTTAAAGGTATAAACTTGAATACTTTCACCGATAGTTTAACTGGTAAATAATATAAAACGACATTTCATAGATCACCTTTATATAAAAGATCTCACATTTTAACTTGTTCATGTTTATGTTTACTTTATGATTGACAAGTCTCTTAAGTGTCTTTGTATTTTGTTAGTTTTATTGATTATTATTTTTAAAAAAATTAGGTCACTTATTTAAAATCCAAAGATCGAGTATTTGATGCTTTAACGATTCCATGCCAAAGTTCAAAGAGAAAATAGTGAAAAGATAAAATGTGTTTGAGTGGATAATAGAGGGTGAATAAAAGGGTCTATTTGAGAAGTATTGCGAGAAAACATGACATTAAACATGAGAAGATAGTTTGAAAACTCCACGAGTAAAATAGAGTGGTATAAAAAATAAACAAAACTATTGTTGAAAGAATCGAGTGTATGTTCTCTCATATAAAGTCGTCTAAATCCTTTTGTGGCGAGGCAATAATGAATGCAATTGCTATAATCAATCTTTCCCTATTAGTTCCTTTTGAACTTGATGTGCTAGGGAGAATATGAAAAGGAAAAGATTTTTTTTCTACACACTTATAAGTGTTTAGTTGCAAGACATTTATACATATTCCTATAAATGAAAAGTCTAAACTTGACATCATGACAAAACAATGGTTATGAAGATGTTGAGTTTAGCTACAAGTTATGGGCTTTAAATGAGAAAAATCCTATAAAAATTAGAGATAAGTTATCTTATTTAAAGATCAAACTATTGAAAATTTTAAACATAAAAAGAAAGTAGAGTCTTCTAGTTTTATTCTTGTTAGTTTGGACTACTCCATAATTACCTTTGATGTCTTTTAATCATTAGAAGATTTAAAGAATGATTGTGGTAGCAGCTTTTCCCTTTAAGCCATCATTTGATGATCTTGAGCCAACTAGTAATGATAACGACATTATAGACCTTGAACAACTTGTTCGGAAAGCATCAATAAGTCAGCAGTTGAGAAGGTCCACTAGACCTAGTTAAAATTCCATCAAATATCCTCATCATGCGTTTGTGTTGGTTACTAATGTAGGAGAGCTAGGATACTTTGATGAAGCTATGTCACGTTAAAAAAAAAAAAAGAAGGTTAAAAGTCATGCAAGATAAGATAGAATCCTTATATGAGAACCATATTTTCGAGTTGGTAAAGCCTCATAAGGGTAAGAAGGCATTTGAGAACAAATGGGTGTTTAGATTGCAAACTAAAAAAAAAAAATACTTACGACCAAGACATAACATAAGATTGGTTATGAAGGATTTCAACTAGAAGAAAGATATTGATTTTGAAAAAACCTTTTTACTCATGGTCAAAATGTCTTTAATCGGAGTTGTGATTGGTTTAGTTACTTGTTTAAGTATTGAAGTTGAACAACTTGATGTAAAAACTGTCTTTCTCTATGGTGACTTAGATGAAGAGATCTACATAAAACAAACTAAAAGATTTGAAATGAAAGGAAAAAAGCATCTAGTTTACAAGCTAAAAAAATCCATATGAATTAAAGCAAGATCCAAGATGATGGCATAAGAAGTTTGATTCTTTCATGATAAAGCATAGTGATGGTAGAACCACTTTTGATCATTGTGTGTTTATGAATAAATTTATTGATGGTGACTTCATTATTCCCTTACTATATATAAATGATAAGTTGATTGTTGACCATGATACTAAGAAGATTCATAGTCTAAAAAGATTGAACAAGTCTTTTATAATGGAAGACTTGAGACCAATAAAATAGATTCTTTGTATGAAGATTAGTCGTAACAAAAAGAATGAGAAATTTTAGCTATCTTAGGAGATATATGTTAAAAAATTACTTGAAATTTTCAATACGGATAAGTATATACTTGTTTGGTCTCCACTTATAAGCCACTATAATCTAAATTCTAAATAGTATCCTTCAAGTGAAAAAAAAAAAGAGATAAGAAGGTTCTTTATGCATCCACAAGTTGGTAGTTTGATGTATGTTTATATGGTGAGGCGGTTCCTTACCAATCTTAGTAGAAAACACTAGTGAATAGTGAAATAGATATTCATGTATCTCGGAGGCACTTCTAGTTGCAACTTATACTTTAGTAATGATAAACTTGTGTTAGACAAATACAAAAAATACAAATATAGCTGGTGATGTTAATTCTTGAAAGTTTACATCAATATACTTGATAATTTTTGTAGGAAGAGCAATTTTATAGTAGTTAAGATTGTAGAAATGTGTTACCCTATCCATTATAAAGACCGGATATATTACCATTATTGAAGGAGGTAAATAATTGTTATGGATAAAAAAGCTATTACATGAACTTAGCCTAAAGCAAGAACTTTGTGTAGTATTATGCTTGATTAGAGTGCAATCCATCTCAACAAGCATCTTGCTTTTTATTCTCGATCGAAGCACATTGAGATTAGATAATAATAGATATGAGATGCTATAAAAATGAAGTCCTTTATTATTGAGAAGATTTATACTAATGAAAAATGGGTTAGATATGATGATTAAACCTTTATTGAAATAGAAATTAAGTTTTGCAGAAGACAAAAAAGTTTGGTGAAGCCTCCTAAATGAGTCGAGAGGAGAGAAATAAAAGGTTAGATCCCTCCTCTTGTGGTTCCTAACACCATATAAGATAAGGAAAAAAATAATAAAAAAGAAGAAAAAAATGAAATAGGAAAGGAAAAAAAAAACAAGTCATGTAAATGACATTTAAAAAGGTTAATTGATTTTAAAGTATCCTAAACTTTCGATCAAACAAAGACTAGTATTCAGCTTTTAATTTTTTTTTTTAATTTAAGTATCAAACCTTTTTTCTTTTTTTGTCAAGCAATCGAGTCCATTTTTTCCATTGATCGATCTCTCGACAACATTTTTAGCACGGTAGAGTCACTTAAAAGTGAAATGAAAAAAAAAAAAAAAAAAACCAAACTCAAATTAAATACCCAAAACTCTTTTATTTTTTTTCCTTTCTCTCTTCTCTTCCTCTATTATTTCTCTTCTTTTTTTCCTTCTTTGTTTTTCTTAACTCACCCAAGGCTTCTAGCAAAACCGAGTTTACTAGGATTTGAACACATGACCTCTTATTGCAAGAGACCGCTACAACTAGACTACAAGCTCTTTGGTTTTTTTCCCCCTTCTCTTTCCTTCCTTCTCCATTTTTCTTTCTATTCACTTTCCCGTGAATCTATATTCTTACTTTTTTTTTCTTTTATGTTATTTTTTTTCATTTTTCTTTCTCCTTTTTTTTTTCCTTCTCTTTTCTTTCTTTCTTTCTTTCTTTTTTTGTGAATTTGCCTTCTTTTCACTTTTATTATTTCTCTTCTCTTTCCCGTGTTCATGTCTTCGTTTTTTCTTTTTTTTCCTTCTCTTTTCTTTCTTTTTTCCTCTTTTTTTTCCCCAAATCTATCTTATTTTCTTTGTTTTTTTCTCTCTTCTCTTTCTTGTATTTATATCTTCTTTCTTTTTGTTTTTTTCTTTTCTTTTCCATTATTTTTTGCCTTCTCTTTCCTTTCCTCTCTATTTGTCTTCCTCTTATTGTTATATTATTATATATTATATTTGTTTCTTTTCACCAAATTTAATTTTATTTAATTCAATTCAATTGCTTGTTTTGCTTTTACTTTTATTGTGTTGTTGTTCATTTTAAGAATTATGAAAGATTTTTTAATTTTGATGTTTCTCTTATGTTATGTTAATCTTTAGTCTTTATTAGTTGGAAACCAAAATAATAAGAATTATAGGAACTAAACAAAGATTAGACTTGAAGAATCCGATACTAGGTTATTTTGAGTATTTGAGGGGATAAATGCTAAATTTTTAGGTTTGTGTTTTTCTTATTTTAAAATGATTAGGGATTTTTCTCATTCTAATCTAGAAATGAATCGATGGGAGCTTTGTAGTTATTTTTTTTAAAAAAAATCCACTTTATTTTTTCAGTTCACATGCCCGAGTGTTTTTCTCTAGACGTATGTCATTATTTTATTGGATCACATATGAAAATATAGTCGAGTTTGGTCAATGAGAAAACTACGCTCACTTGCCGACAAAAAAAAAAAAAAAAAAAGGAGTTTGGTACTTAAATTGAAAAAAATTAAAAATTTGTTGCTAGTCTTAGTTTGCCTAAAAGTTCAATATGCTTTAGAACCAATTACCCTTATTAAAAATCAGTTTGACTTTTTTAATTCGGATCAAAATAAGACAAGAACAATCAAAGCAAGGTAGCAACAACAACTAGTAGAAGAGAGAGCTTTTGGTGTTCTTCGACTTTTCTTGCTTTATTTGGATGATAATTTTAAATCGATTAAGATAGAAATTTTGATATGTTATTTTCAACGAAGAACTCCTTAACTTGATCGATGTTGATTATTAAGAGGTTTTCACATTTTGGTATTTTCTCGAAAATCTATTTGGTGATATCTAGTTCTTTTTTTGTTAGAATTTATCTTCGTGGCTATAAATTCGATGTTTTGATGTGTATCTCTGGTTGAGTCCGGAAAAAAATTATGGATCTCATTATTTGTTATATAGTAGAAGAGTTTAAATGGATTACGGTTATGTGATTTTTTTCCCATTCGGGATTCTCATGTAAAAATTCATTTGTTAATTATGATTGTGTTTATTTATTGATTGATTTTAATTTTTTTAAAAAAGAACATGTGGTTTGTGATTTTAGGTCGAAATTGCTTTTTCCATCCCTTATATGTTAACTTAGCCATAAAAAATTAAGAGTCTACGAAGGGGAGTTCTTTGTTTTGCAAGCTAAAACCACCGTTTAAATCAATCAAGGTAAAAATGCCTCAACGAGTAAAGATTTCATACCTCATCACTATAGTTGTTATTATTTTCGCAATCTTCAATTAGATTATAATTCTTTAAATTTTGGCTTTAAGTTGTGGCAAGAGATATCTAATCATATTATTATCCCGATTTCAAATTCAAGGGAAGGCTACCAACAATCTCTTATGAATGCATTTGGACAAAACATCCAAATGCGGACGGCTTGCAATGGGCCAATGACTTTTACAAAAAGTTAAATTCAAATCTTGTACTTATGATTTTTTCAATTATAAATAAATACAAGCCCTTCAAATAATTTAGTTGTTTTATTATAGAAAAAAGAATTTAGTTATTTTACTATAACCTTATATTTTTACTTTATATTTATGTTCGTCTTCTTACCTTTTTCACGTGACCCTAAACAAATTTAGTTTTCCTCCTCTTATTTTGCTATAGCTATATCTTTGGATTAAGTTTTGATGACATGTCCAAGTCTTAAATCTGAATGGACTTAATTTGACCTCTAAGCATCCTAGAGTTGAAAGTTAAAAAAGAACAACAAATAATTAAATTGTAACAAAAATGGTTAATTTAATTTTAGAATGTCATCAAACAAAAGGTAAAGATAGAAAGCAACCACCAAACCAAAAAAAAGAAGAAGATAGATTTTCATTTCCTCCACGATAGAGTAAATTATAAATTAGGCTATTTCGTTTCAAGAAACGAATGAATTAAGTAGCCTATTTAAAAAAACTAATTCTTTAATTCTTTATGTTTTAATTTTGTTAATAATTTATTTTTATTAGTTTTTATTAGATTAGTAATTTTTTTTAAATTGCATTTTTAATGTTTTATTATTTTTTTACCAACTCTTTTACTCTCTCCTTAATAAAAAAAAATAAAATATTTTGAAAATAAAAATTACTAATCTAAAGAAAAATCAATGAAAAACTAATCATTGGTAAAATTAAAATATAAAATAATTAGTTTTTAAAATAAAAAATAATAATTAATTTGTTTCTCTAAACAAGAACGACTAATGTATAATTTACTCCCCACGATCTCATCCAACAACCTCAAACATTTAAAAAAAAACAACAACAACTATCCTAAAGTCTTTTGTCTTCCATCCTCTCTTTCTCCCAAGTCCAAACAAACTTATAACAACCACTCCACTTTGAACTTAGATTGAACAAGATCCCAGACCTCAAAAACACACACCTCTCATTTCCCTCCGCCACCACCCACCATGGCCTCCTTATCTTTCCTCTCCCCTCCTTCCTCCTCCTCCTCCTCCTCCCTTTCCTCCCTCCACCACACCACCCCTTCCTCCTCCCGCCTTTTTCTACGGACCCCTTCACTTAACCTCCGCACCCCCACCAAAATCTCCTCCATCAAAGCCCAATCTGCCCCAGTCCTCACCCAAGACGACCTTAAAAAAGTCGCTGCCGAAAAAGCCGTCGAGTATGTCAAATCCGGCATGGTCCTCGGCCTTGGCACCGGCTCCACCGCCGCCTTTGTGGTAGCCAAACTCGGCGAGCTCTTAAAAACCGGCGAACTGACTGATATCGTTGGCGTCCCAACTTCAAAACGCACGGAAGAGCAAGCTCGTTCTCTTAACATTCCTCTTTCAATCCTCGATGACCATCCTGACATTGATCTTGCCATCGATGGGGCTGATGAGGTAGACCCGCTACTTAATTTAGTGAAGGGTCGCGGTGGAGCCCTTTTAAGAGAGAAAATGGTTGAAGCTGCATCAGATAAGTTTGTTGTTGTTGCTGATGAGACTAAGCTTGTTGATGGTCTTGGTGGAAGTAAACTGGCAATGCCAGTTGAAGTAGTGCAATTTTGTTGGAAGTATAATTTGGTGAGGTTACAAGAGTTGTTTAAAGAGGAAGGAGTTGAGGCTAAATTGAGAGTTGGTGAAGATGGGAAGCCATATGTGACTGATAATTTTAATTATATTGTCGATTTGTATTTTGAGAATCCGATTAAAGATGGGTATGCGGCAGGGAAGGAGATTTCGGGTCTTGAAGGTGTAGTGGAACATGGGTTGTTTTTGGATATGGCGACAGCGGTTATTATTGCTGGGAAGAAAGGAGTTGAGGTTAAAAGCAAGTGAGAATTTCGAATCTTTATGATGTTTGATGCTTTTGTTATATTCACACTGTTGTTGTTCATTATTTTTGTTGTGGTGAATTTGAGCTCATGGGATTCTTAGTTGGATAATTTTGTGACTTCGCTCATTGGTTTAGGAATGGAAATTTGAAATAATGGGAAATGATCAAAATGAATGACTTGTTTAATGGTTACTGCCACCTTGTTTTGATATTGGGATGAATAAATGGATGGCTTATATGTTGTTTCTTTGGTTCTGGTTAACTATAATAAATAGGGATTAATTTATGCAGATGCATTCCCTTGTATGTCTATAATCAACAATGCCACCTTTTTTTTCTTTCTTTTCCTGTGTTGTCTATGTGAGGAAATGGGAAATTCAATTTCATTGAAACCTCAATTTCTGTAGTGTTCTACTGGTAATTTGGCAATCTTAAGTGCATTGGTGAGGACAGCTGGAGTAGAAGTGCCCAGGTATATGCATATGAGTTGCTCTCTCTTGTTGTTCTGTAGGGAAGTTTTATGTTTGTTGAAGGAAAGTACCCAAGCATCATCTTAGAGTGTTTCCATCATTTCTTTTACCTTTTTAATGATGCTAATCTACCATGCTGAAAAGGAATCCACTAGATTAGTCTCTCAATTGCATGATTAATGGTATGTCTGTCAAATATAATTTCTTAGGTGATAGAAAAAGTTTATTTAGTTTCTCTAGTAATGGCAGTTTTCAGGGGAGCAGACGATTTATTTTGGCTTTCAAGTGATTGTTTGTATTTTGTGTTCTAGTCTGCGGAAAAAAAAAGGGATTGATGGTGCATCAAACAGGAAAACAGCATAGGTCTAATTCTATTAATGAGTTATAAGACTGAAGAGGCTGGAAAGGAGGACGTTTAGATGCTTGAGTAAAAAGATTTTGGGAGACAAATCTGAAAAGGCAAAATGGGTGCATTTGAAATCCCTAACTTCTATCAGTTGCCCAGAGGGATTTTGACATAGCGTGGGAAGAGGAAAACAGTAGGAGACAGAAATCACAGCAGAATAGAGGCTAAAATTAGGATAAAATTGAAAGTTGGAACAAGATAATATATGCTGGTTATCAGGGCTGAACAGCCACAAAAAGAGAACAAACTCTTTTTATAAAATTGGGATATAGCTTAATCTATTCTTTTATAATAGCTTGAGTTTTTAATATGTCCCTACATTTCTAATTGCATCTTTTATATTTTTAAATAATGTTTAAGTGTCTAATTTATCCTTTTGATCAATTTTTTCAATCATAGACAATTATTTTGATCAAAATGCTCGGCGGATATGCAAAATAAATAAATAAATAAAAATCTAAGGTATCATTTGGTTATCGGTAATGAAATATTTGAAATAAAAATACAAGAATTGAAATGAAAATTAGGCAGTTGGAATGTCATTTGGATTTTTATACTGTGTTGGAATAGAAATAGAAAATCGAAATGAAATTTAAATTTTTTTATACGTGGTTTTTAAGACTACTAGAAATAGTAATTAAAAAAATAATTTCACTAATTATAATGATAGTAAAAATGATAAAAGTGATTGTAGTAGCGGTGGTGGTGACGGTGGTGGAGGAGCGAGGAGCAATAAGAGGAGAAGAGGCGGTGATAGTAATAGTATTATAGTAATAACAATAATATATTTTTAAAAAATTGATAATAATAAAAATAATGGTGGTGATGGAAGAATAGCCGTGGCGAGTAATAATAATATTTTTTTTATTTTGAATTTTTCTTATTACCACCATCAATGGTGGTGGTGGAGGATATTATATCGTTATTTTAAAGAAAAAAATTATTTTTATTTTTATTCTCACCTCGTGCCACGAGACTATCATCATCTTAAAGAGAAAAAATTCATTTTTATTACTTATTTTTATTTTTGCTTTTTATAAGAATGAAACTATGTTTGATTTTCAGTTATATTCTTATTTCGTTTCTTTCAACTGAACATATATAAAGGAAGAATTAAATTTTTTATTTTTATTCTCACTAATTCATTTTTGGTTTACTAAACAATACTTAAAAACTTCAAAAATAGAACATATAGGTCATTTGACTTTAAGTGTTTTTTTTTTTTTTAACATTTCAATCGGGAGAATTTCAATCAATTTTTTTTTGGCATTGTTTAAAAAATTTATTGGAATGATAGATAGAAGACATAAAAATCATTCAAGGACATAATAGATGTAATTACAAATGTAGAAATAGATTGGAGACTCGGGCATTATATAAAAACAGATTAAGCTATTTACCCCCACAAAATCATAAAAAATATCAAAGTTGTTTTTTTCAATGACAATAATAGCAGCCCTTAAATACTAAGCAAAACCTTAAAGTAAAAGAAATCATAGTCCTTAAAAATAAAGAAATCTGAGCCGTCCAAACTATCACAATAATAATCCGTAAATAAATTTTAAAAGAAAAACCCTAATTATACGAAAGCTACTTGTAGCTCCTGCAGCAGATTTAGGAACGATAGTGAGATGATTATGGTTTCATCAGAAGAGCATGAACAATATTCAAAAGGTCTCTGTAGTTCAATCGTTTCCAGAGGTTTGAATATGTTCTATCTGTATATTCCTGCATTCAGAATCTTTAGAGAAAGGAAAAGAGTAAGTATGTGAGTCGTAGGAGTCAGAGGAAGCAAGACCACAGTGAAGTGACTATCCTATGCCTTGTTGGCTTCTCCTGCGTGGAATGTGATGCATATTCAGTGCTAAATGTTTTGCCCAGGTAGATAGATATTAGAGGGACTATAATACAGCTCATTGTACTGCTTATGCTTCAGTAACTGTTACGTGCTGTTATTGCGAGGTATTTAGTGCTTTTGTAAAGTGGGAATTCCTAGCAAAAGTTAATTCAAGTGTAGTTTGTAGATCTGGGATCAATTATGAATCTTTAGCATCTTTGAACTTAATTTATTGTGTTGAACAGGTGATGGGAAAGCTTAGCAAAATCGATTGTGTTATTAGCAGATTGTTAATCAACAATGATCGAATTTTGGAGTGAAAGTATGATAAGATTATTGGAGTTGATTGTTCGATCACTAACTTCATAGACATAGCGTGTTATTGGGTTGACATTTTGGAATATGTTTATCCTTCATTCGGAGAGGCATCTTGAGTGATTCCAAAAGGCAGTTTTTTTCCCACTTGAATCAGAGGTGAACGAACAGGGATTAGAAATGAGCAGCTTGAAGTCGTATATTGTTTTTCTCAGCCAGCCTTAGATTTAATGCTTTAGTGGTGTTGTGCTTTAAGGCTGTGAGTCAGGACGTTATCTCTATGTTGATTAGTTTCGTAACTTATCCTTTCAGGTGACACAAGTTTAGTTTTCCGGCTAAATTAAATAGACCACATCTTTCTTCTCAATACTTATATTGTCAGATTATTTGAATTATCAATCATCAATGTAGATGGCCATTTCACAATTAACATTTGTCCCAGAAGCTACCTGGATCTCGTTGGTTAACTTGAATTCAAAGAGAAAACTTGTCCCAGAAGCTACCTGGATCGTGTTGATTAACTTGAATTCAAAGAGAAAAATAGATAACTTATATCACAAGCTCAATAATTTATAAATAAATAAACAAAACAATACATAAAAACATAATGGATCCTATAGTGTTTTATACACAACACTCATTCTCTACATATGTGTTCTGACTTTTATTCGCATACAAGCTGAATTGCTACATAAGAATCCGGTGAATAATCGAACAAATGATGCACCAAACGAAATTTATTAGTGAGTATAATCAAGTATTTCATATCGCTAAACTGAAATGCTGGCTAGCCAGGATCCTCCTCCGTCAATTTCCCGTCTTACTTCAGAGCTACGAGCATAGAGATGAGCAATATAATCATCCATTGGAACTTTCCTGGCAGCATGGTGCTAGCTGGATAACAAAAATAAATGAGAGAGCATCAAAATCTGAAATGACATCTTTTATGCTATCAGAAATGATGTGATTTCTTTTATGTAAATCAAGATTATGTAATACATCAGAATGACATGTTCTTCCACCAGAATTTAGGACTTGAAAATACATCTCACCAGGATTTCCAGGGGTTCCAGCTCCGGTTCCAGTTCCACCTGATGTTGACTTTGCGACCTTAATGATATCGGCACAATCAGATCCAAGCGTACCTTAACAACCAAAACCATAGCTCAGATCAGTTTTCAAAGTTTTGTTGCTTTGATATACTATTAGTATTCATTGGAATCATTGCTAAAGCATCATGTAAATGTTCTTACATTCACTATAGCAAGGGTAGTAGGAGACGTTGAGAAGATTAGAGAAACCAGGATTGCATGTACAAATGTGTCTGTATGTTCCATTTTTGGTGCATGTACCTTCTCCACAGTACATCCAATAGCAAGCTACATGATCATCAGGACGTTAAATTAGTGAAACGAAAGGGAGACTATTGGGGAGAACTGCAGTAATTTTAGAATCTGATTATGAAAAAAAGAGCTGTTTGGCTATGGTGATTACGATCGAAGAAGGAGCTGTTGTTGGGAGCTTCTTTTTCTGGAACTGGTGGTGGGGCTGGCTGGCAGCTGCCATAGTTAAGAGTACCTGCAAAAAACAAGAAATTGAAGCAAGTTAATTAATATAACAAAATCTGTGTCTTTAATTTATCAGAATGTTTCTTTTCCGCTACTTTCTTGTACCATGTTCATGAGTGAATAGTCAGAAAAGAAGAAGCAAAAAGAAAAGGAGGTTACAGTTTGGAATCACGCAAGGGAGGAACCTATGATCATCATCAACATCATCATCATATTGTGTTTGCTTCCATCCAGGTTCACATTGGCACTCGAAGCTCAATGGGTACGAATTGTTTCCTACGCATTTTCCTTTTCCACAATCCACTTCTTTACACAACCTGTCTGTAATTTTCAAAGAACAAATCATATATACATGATTAATTTCTCTGTTTTTGTCTGTGTATGAAAGAGAGAGGGTGTTGTGTACCATAGAAAGCAGTCCAGTTGCCGTCAACATCTGCCATAGCAACCATAGGTAGCACCACAAGAAGCATAGCCACAAAAGGAAGAGCTTTAGAGGAAGCCATCTTCAATTCTGAAAGAACAAGTTATTTTTTGTAGTAAAGACTAAAAGGAGGTGTTTTTTTGTGCTTAATAAGGTTGTGTATTTATAAGATCTCAAAGACTTGGAAGTTTTCTTGGAATCCGAGCAAATAGATTTAGAATAAAGACATTCAGATTGTGATGGTTATTCTAGTTTTTTTCTTTAATTACTAGAAGAAGAAAGTTTACTTGATAGAAGCTTCTGCGTAGGCAGCAAAGATCAATTATGCAGATTTTTTCTTCTCTTTGAATTTTGTCAATTTTTTATGGTCTATTTATTACAGTTGAATCAATCAAACAATTTAGAAGCATTATATTATATTTTCTCACTTCTAGATTGTTTTGTAATCAAAGATATATACAATGTATTATATTATAAAGAGTCAATTATAAATCAGCCCCTTTAGTTTTGAAAAGTATATTAATTAGTCCTCTTTGTTTTAAAAAAACTAATTATTAAAATTTTTTTTATTTAGTGTTGGCAATACTTAATTTATTATTATTTTATTTTTTAAAAAAATATATTTGTTTCTCATCAAACTTTTCATAATATCCATTTTTTTCTTTTTCTATTTATAAAAACAAAAACCAAACAAATTAGGAAAAAAAACATAAACTGGACAAAAGGCCAAATAATTAGTTTTTAAAACTAAAGGGACTAACTTATAATTTACTCATACTATAGATTGAACAAGCCTGAAATTTGCTGGGTTTCTTTATTTTATGACAACATTAACCTCGACCAAGTTTAAGCTTGGTCGTGCTTGAGGAAGGGAAGATTAGCTTGTCAAGTCGACCAAAAAAAAAATAATCATAAGAGAGACATCATAGTCCAAGTCTGCATGTCATCGAAGCTACTTCAACCCTAAAATCAAAACATTAAGAATTATGGGATGTGGGTCCAACACGTCATCTTGATTTTCTTTGGAAATGAATTGAAGAGATGGACCAAAAATTTTTTAAACATGAACGCTAATGCTGCAGTAAGAGAATAATCATAATCACAATTTCTTAAATAACCAAAATACTGAGTCATAAGCTCTAAAACTTTATTGTTATTCTAGCCATTCAAATTACTTGACAATGACAGTAACTCTTCATGACCGAGGTCCTCTCGCAATTGTTTTGGCTCTGATTTCAAGTCTTGACCAAATATTTTTGCTTTGCATTTGCAGCTCTAGAAGATCACAGACGAGAATCCTACAGTGATAGACCTGCTTGGACTCGACTTTCGAAATCAGAAGAGGATATATGGAGACAACTATGAAGCCCTTAAGCTACACGGCAACTTCCCAACAGAAATTTTGTCCATCCAACATAAGCCAAAATTTTAGAACAAAATGGCAATTAGGTTGAGGTTCTCTAGAAGTCAGCCATGAAAGCAATGGCCACCTAATAAAACCCAAATTCATTGAGCCTACAAAGTCAAAACTTAACCAAAAAGAGGGAGATAATAGAACTAAAGAATAGTTGCCAAATGCCACCAAGCAAGAACTAACCAATTATAATTTCGAACTGGTTTCTTGGTTGTTAAAGAAAATGTCAAGATTAATTTACACATATACAAAACATTAATTGGGAAGATTAGTTACAAACGTTGGAAACGTTCTCTGTGTCTAATCAGCAATAAAAAAATTAATATCTTGTGTTTGCAGTCAATTTGCTGCATTTGATGAACTTTGACTTTTGGAAACATATGAGAAAAAGAAATGTATCTGTCCATTGTCAAAGACTCAAAAGTCCTTCTAACAATTTTGCTGAAACTTGTTACCTAATCTCCAGTTAACATTAGCAATATTTGAATCTGACTGCTATCAATTATGTGTTTCTTTATTGTACTTGTTCATCACATGCAACACAGCTGAATAGGTAAATTCTAGGATGGCTACTTTTTTAGTCTTTGTTAATGAATATAATAGATTCTGGTTCTTCTCGTCATGACCATTTTAATGAAATAAAAAAATTTCCAAGCCAAGGATAGTAAAGGTCACAGAGGATAGCAGCCAAAACAAGTCCCGGTGCCACTCCTGAAAACTTCTCCAAACCAAATCAATACAGAACCTGCAAGAGTTCAATTTGTTTGTCTAGGTAGAGGGAAATTATTACAGGATCAGTGGACCACAGCAGACAGCCACCATCAACGCAAAGAAGCTGAAAGCAGCCGTTCACAAGCTTCCAGTAGCTGAAAAGAAGAAACCTTCTGAAAGGGAACACATTAATTCAGAGCTTGGAGAAGCAAGAGCAAAAAAGAAACATTGTAAAAATCTTAAGAAAACTGGACACAAAGAAGTGAACGAGATGTTGCCATTATGAATAAATTCAAACAAGTTCCCAGTGCTTTAAACATACAAGAATGCAAACTAATGATTACAGCAAAAAATTTCTTGGAAACACTGATTATATATGGTTTAAAATCATAACCAACTAGGATTAAATTTGAAACAGATAGTTATACTAATGAGGTCGGTCAAAATACAATCAGCAATTAGATCTCTTAAGAAACATTTGGAATGTTAATCGTAGCAGCGTATGAAAAAAGTAGAGTCAGAACTTGAGTCACTCCCCTTCCCTGCTTTCGATTACTATAAAGTCGATACCTCCCCGAGTGACTGGCATGAACCTAATAAGACAAACCTGGAGGTGGTCTCAGGTCCTGCCATATTTACTGCGATTCAACTTCTTGTGTCTAGAAGGAAATTTCATTTTTAAATTCATATAGAGATTGTCAGGTCCATATGCGTCCCCTGCCGGAATTATTATTCTTATTATTTTATTTTTTTTGGGTCAGAATTAATTTGGAGGCCATAATAATTTACAACCATCTTGATGTTGCAGGGTGAGTGGTAACTGGTGTAGATATCACATCCAAAATCCAAGGTAGTGCCGTTCCAATTTATCACCACACTTGCAGGATCTCTCTGTGCAAGTGGCAAGCGAGTTTAGTGAGCGAAAGACTCTTGTTCACTTGGCATTTGTTCCCAGGAAAGCATCATTTCTAAGCTGCACATAAACTAAGGCTGGTCACTTGGGTCACAATACAGCAATTCCAAAGCGAATTGAATTAACCAAGGAGGGGAGGAGAGAAGGGGCGAGATAGAGGTGAAATGGTTAATATTAAACAACGTACGAAGCTGCACTAAACTACGATGATTGAAAGAAAATTGTCAGCAAACTATGATCTTTCTATGTTTTCAATTCCAATAAGGATCACCGAAAATGAAAACTTCACCAAGTAAAACTCCAGGAGCCTCCTAAATTCTGCAACCCTAAGGCCCATAAAAATCAGAAGAAGAGGGTAAAACCAAGCCCACTAAAGAAAGATGATGCACCATCAGTAACTTCGAAAAACGAAGTTCATCCATCTTGCTACACGACAATACTTCCAAAATTTGAACACAACGTACCAGCATAGCTACAATGAAAGAGGTATCAAGAGGACACCAACGACAAGAACCCAAATAGATGTGTATGTTTAGACTCCAGAATGACATGAGACTGAAACTGCCACCCATGTCATGAGTGGATCTGTCACAACAACCTTAATATTTTTCTTTAATCAGCTTCTTACCTTTCATCCCCAACGCAATTCTACAATATAGATTTCATAAAGAAACTGACCTTAGCTTAGTAACGCATAACACAAAGTCCATAATCTTTGATCCTATTCCATGCATCAACACACTAAAATTTACTTGAATTTAAGTTCGATAAGACAGATTTGACCAAGGTGAACATCTCCAAGCATTCTATCTTTCACGAAAATAATTCTGATTTGTCTTCCAAGCAAATTTTGACAGCAATATCCATGACTCATAAAAAAAGACTTGACATGGTCCCAAAGCCAAGTACAAGCAGGCAACAGACTTCTTAAACTCCTATCTAACCACCCTAAGACTCAAAAAACAATCGAAAAACTGGTTGGTAGAAACATAAGCATAAGAAGCATCATAGATGCACAATTGCATACATGAAAGGCGTAGAAATTAGGCACAGGGAAAATTGAAAACAAAAAGTTCCCACTTGGTACCAGTTCAAGCGAACATAATGCTCGGGAAGATGAGAAGGAAAGAGAGAGAGAGATTCAAAAGAAATTAATAATTCAGTGAAGGATTTACCGCTTAATCACATTAGAGGAAGGAAGCCTTTTGGTTAAAAAATGTAGGATTCAAAATACATGATGACTTTTTTTTTCTTTTTTTTGCAGAAAGAAGCTGAAGTCGTACTGTCGGTTCTCTGGATAGTAGATATTGGCAAATTGCCACTACTTCTGCTACCCATTTGAACATTCTAGGTATGGTAATCAACTTCAGGAAGAGAGTGCTTCAGAACTCAAAATCCTCACGAAACAACAACCATAAATACAACCATTAAAGGCAATGTGATATCTAGGAATACCAGTTGCAACTTCCCTTAACAACATTGACACCCTTCTTCTTCTTCTTCTTTTTTGGATACAGAGTGCAACAACAGAATTCTAGACCCCACGCCATCCTCTTTCCCTAAAAAAGGTCAAGGCATAGGAGTTAGGGGCATATCGTGCAAAGAGAAAAGGCCCTGATCTTAAAAGGAATAAAGATATCATGTAATTTTATGCTAGATGCAAAGCCATAAAAGGCCAAGATCTACTACCATCCGTTTTAGTCCTATAGAATAATGGTTGAGGAGGAGAAGATCAAATATATTGCTAACAGGTTCTAAAGAGTGTTTTGAGCACCAAATGATCAACAATCTTTAAGCTTAAACTCCAGAAAATTTTATAGCCAAAGAGAGATTTCCCAGCTACATGTTGCTAAACAATATCAAATAAAGAACTCTGTTGCACACTAACTGATCAGTGTTCGTCAAACTTTGGAGAAACATTATCTACTACTCCGCTTACTTCCAAATCTTTTCTTCCTGCTAACTCCTAGATTTTCATCCAATTCCCCACTGAAAACACCAGCTGATCCCAACCAAAATTAACTGGACGCCAAAATAAACCTATAACAGATGCAAGTATTGTAAAATAGCAAGTTTACATGGAAAACTAGAACCGTAGAGAAAGCCAATGTCCTAACAGGCAAGCTACAATGAATACTACATTATATCACAAATTGTGTCAGGAATTATCAAACAGAACAAGCCTAAAAAGGATACAATAGCATCACACAGCGAAATCATTTCATAGGACAAAAACTTGAATAGCCACACATAGCTTCATAGGTTCAAAAAACCCACAAACAGAAACAAATTAGCAAAGTAAAGGCAAACCAACAGGATCCATCACAGGAGAACAACAATGCTCGCCAAAAGCAATTCAATTTTACATAACTCGTAACCCCATCAAAACAGCAACGAATAGTTCAGCTTCTAGCCCATAAACAACCAAAATATTTTTTTTAATTAAACGTCGAGTTAGAAGCCTAAAAACTTCCTATAAACAGGAACAAGAGCATCAGCACATGCCAAGTCGACAAATAGAATTACAAAATACTGTCATACAAATTATTAGCACCAATTTATAACCAAAAATCCATTAAAACAATCGGTATATCACCAAAGAAATCCTCCCCCCCCCCCCCCCCCCCCCCCCACAACAAAACCCTTTATCCCCATAAACCTCCAAAAACCATAAATTTCAAAATTTTCAAATAGGCACATATCTCTTGACAGCCTGTTTCGCAGCAACCGCACCAGCCGCAGCAATCCCACCAATAGCACCAGCAATAGCAGCAGACCTAGGCCCTTTCGCAGCGCGATAAATAGCACCAGTACTAAGACCAGCAAGCACAGTATTAACCAAATCATCAGTATCTCTCCAATGAATCAAGCCACTCTCAATCCCTGCAAACATTAACCCCAAAACACCCAAATTGTTTCCAAACTTTCTACCCGCGTGACCACCAGAATTCAAAACACGATTAACCCTCAACTTTAACGTCTCTCCATGCTCCGCAGCACGGATTCCTTCAATAGAACCTTTAGCACCACCTAATATAGCTCCAGCTAAGTAACCTGTGCCTGTGTAGTATTGAAGATTTTCACTCCAAGAACGGCGTTGGTGTAAAGATTCTTCATGGAAGAGAAATTCAGGGGCAGTTGGAAGGTTGTAGAGGTTTTGAGCTGGAACATTGTAGAGGTCTTGATATGGGTGGTATTTTCTGAACTTGTGATCATTTGGGTCATTCATGTTATGATCAAAGTTTTGATCTTTTTGAAAGAAATATCAGATTTTTATGGAGTTTTTGAGAGAAAGATTGGATTTTTATAGGTTTTCTTGGGAGAAAAAGATCAGATTTTTGCGGGTTGTTGTGGGTTTCCAGGGAGGGAGAGGGATTTTTGTTGATCGAGGAAAGGAGAGTCTAGGGTTTTTATTGATTGGAGAAATGACTTTCCTTTTGTCGAAGGAAAGGTTCATAGGAAGCAGGGAGAAGAGGGTGACTCCCTTAGAGTCTTCTAGGGTTTAACAAGAAAGAAGGGTTTTCTAGGTTTTTAAGGCTGACTTGGCCAGCGAAACATGGTTTTGGAGAATTGGACTGCGGTGGAGAGATTTTTAGGAATTTTGTAAATTCCATGTTTTATTATTATTATTATTTTCTCTTTTTTGGGTATCGAAAACCAGATTCTATGGTATATTTACTATTTTGAACGGTACAACTAATATGGCCTTTTTTGATATATATATATATATATAGAGAGAGAGAGAGAGAGAGAGAGAGAGAGTTTTCTTTTCGTTTATCGCTCAACAATAGTAATTCCAATTTTATTTTTTTAACAAAAACAAAACAATTATCCTTGATGCCACTAAAAGTCTGAAACTAATTTTTAAAGCAAAGTCACAAACAATTCCAAATTCTCCCAATAAAAAAACAATGCTTAATTTATGATATTTAATATTTATAAATTTAATATAAAAATGAAAAAAATTATCTATCATAATTTTATAGAATGAAAACTAACAATTGAAAAGGTGGGAATAATGCCACCTTAAATTGATATTTTAATTTACCTAAATTACTTTCTATTGAAGTTATTATGCTAGGTTTTTTTCTTTTTCTTTTTCTTTTTTTAAATAATCTGCACTTCTCCCAAAACAAATATGAAATTGTGAAAATTCGGGATAGCTGCGGCTCCCTCAAAATATTTCAAAACAACCCTTAACTTTTAATAGCTGTTTCAATAAAATCCTAAGATGTATATATAAAATAGTCCTCTTTAAATATAAACATGTTTGTTTTGGTCTCTAATTTATAACTTTTAATTCCATTTTTATATGCGTGGACGATTTTTTCATCTCCATTCTCCTTATTTTCATTGACTCTTAATTCTAACATAAAATTTCTAGCTTTTTCATTGATCACTTGTTATCAAACAAGGGAAACGTTACATTTTTTTTTTTTTTTTTTTTTACAAAAGTGAATGATTTCTCCAGATACAAAAGGAGAATTGTTTTTCTTTGATTTCTTATATTGATTCTATTTTATCAGTAGCTTATTGATTATATTCTCAATCAAACTTCCATCCAAAATTCCTCTTTTTTACTTATCAATTAAATATTTTAAAAGTCTAAATAATTTGATTATTAACAGTTTGAGAAAAGTGCTGCTTGTATCAAAGTCTAGCTCGTGTCTAGGCATGGAATTTTTTTTTTTTTTTCCGTATTTATAGAAACTTTCTATTGGTGCCTGATAGGCAGTTTCTAGAAAGAGCAGATTCTTGCACTGCTGTAACCATAGAAAAAGAATATTCCCAAACCAGTAGATAGGTTACACGTGGAATATTTGAGAAAAGCACTAGATCAAAGAATCCTAATCTTCATTTTGGACTTTACTTGGTGAAAGCTCCGTCGTTGCCACCCCATCACCCATGTAAATCCTTCTTTACAGTAGACAATGCAGATGAACTTGTTAATTTGATAAAGTTGTTTATGCTGATCGCCAATCTAGGAAGATCATCAAGGGGAAGCCCATAAATATATTAAGATTCAAAAAATCATTCAGGTGTAACAAAAAAAAAAAAAAAAAGTTACAAATCAAAACTGAAGACATAGATTTGTAAGTGAAGAGGCAGAATTGATGTTGATTTTTTGCTTTGATTTCAATTCTTCCTTAACTAATACGAGGACAAAAAAAATATTGATTAATTGATGCTATATACATTAAAAAGAAAAAAGAAAGAAAAAATATTGTGGTTTTCTCCATTCAATACACGGTTCATTCTTTGTATACTGTGTTTGCTTTTACTGCATCTTCACTGTGCATTGTGCGTGCATTCTCTGTTCATTCACCATGCTTTTCAAGTTTGCCCAATATTTTGAACTTTGGTCCCTTTAAAAAAATATTTTTTAAAATATGATTAAGATGTATAAAAAAAACTATTGAATCATCGATTTTATTAAAAATTAACTATATATTTTCACATATAATACTAATTATTTGTTATGGATATTTTTTTAACACGATAGAACCAATTTCTTTAAATAAAATAATTAAAATAATCTTTTTAACGAAACCACCTAATTATTCAAATCTAGTTTTTTATACTAACATTGTTGATTATTTTGTAAATAAATATATGTAGATCAAATGCATATACTTTTAAAAAATAATTAATATTCTCATCAGCATTAAATAAGAGTAAAAAAATATTTTTTTTATTAGTTAATTTTTATACAAGTCTATACATTAATTGTAATTTTATTTTTTGGATATATTTTTATGAAAAAAATATATATATTTTTAAAGTATCTTTTAAAATTCATGACTAACATTTTAGTTTAAATTATTACAATTTTTTATTTAAGAATCAATGCATAAAAAAGCATAAAACATATTTTTTTAAGTAGAAAATTTATGAAAAATCTATTTAAAAAATTATAAAATTATAAAATAATTTTGTTATGCTTGACCCGAAGCATAGCGTGGGTAACCTACTAGTTTGCATTCTAAAACAAAACAAAAAAAGGAAGCATAAGTTTATTGAGTAAATTATAAATTAGTCCCTTTTATTTAAAAAATGAGATTATTATATATTTGTTGTGCAATTTTTCAATATTTTGTATTCGAGTGTCCGAACTTTGATTTTTTCTATTCAAGTGTGTGAACTTTCAAGTGTTTTTGTTAAATTCGTATTAACGTGGTCATTAAATTGACATTCCAAGCATGTTGATGCGTCCACCACATGAATTTGAATATTTTATTTTTTATTTTCTTGCTTAATTAGTTACAGTCAATACAAATTTCATTTGTTTTTATTTTTTTTTACATATTTTATGATTATGTTCTTTGAAATTGAATAGATTGTTATTGTTGTTTGTTGTTTTAATTTTTTAACATTGTTTAACTTGGTCAAAATATGGCTTATATAAGATTGCAAAGTAGATATTCATTAGATTTCAAAATTTATAGCAATCATTGATAAATTTTTAAAGATACATACACTGGAATAGAAAAAATATATATACATTAAAAAAATAAAAACATTTGATTAGAAATAAAATGAAATATTCATGCTCAAGTAACGAGATATGACGAGTATGGTGACATGTCAATTTAATAATCATGTTAACACGAATCTAACATAAACACTTTATTAGAAAAAAAATGTTTGTACACTAAAATAGAAAAAATTGAAAAGTTTGTTCACCAAATATATAATAATCTCTTTCAAAAACTAATTATCTAGTCAGTTGGCTAATGTTGACCATGCTTGACTTAATATTATTTTATTTCAAAAAATGTCTTAGTTTCTCATCGATATTTCTTTAGTATCTATTTTATTTTTCTTTTTTGATTTTTTTAAAAACAAATTAGAAAAAAACATAAAATGGATAAAAGAAAAAATAATTAGTTTTTAAAATAAAAAAATTTATTTTTTTATTTCTCAAAATTGAATAAACTACTATATTTACTCTAATTTTGAACGAGGACCGAGCAACTATTTATTAACAAAAAACACTCAAACATAATAAATATTTGTTGTAATGTTATTACGTTACTATTCAATGTATTGTTCACCTACACTCAATGCATTGTGAACTTAGACGCAATTGTATTATGGGTTTTAATGTGTTGTGGTATTATTGTGATTTTCAAGCTATCTTCAAGCATTTGATGTGTAAGTTTTTACAGATATTATACTTTGATCCCTAATTTTTTCAAACAATCTTATTTTGAATCCTAACTAATTCATGCATGTTGCGGTTTGGTTTTTGAATATTATGAAAAGAGAGAGACGAAAGCCGAGAAGGAAAGTGAGAGAGTTACAAAGAGACCCATTATGTCAATTTCAATCATGATGTTATCTTCAAGTTGTTCCTTTTGGAGAGAAGGGTTTGATCATGTGGCATCAAGTCATAAAATGATTAGAAGAATAGATTGATATCCTAAAGTATTTTGTATTTTGAGTTTTATTTGGATTTTTTTTTTGTCTTTATGTACCATTTTTTTTTAATAAAAAGGTTGGCATGTGTGGGCCTAGTTTTCTAGGCCCAAGGATGAAGGCCTAGCTTGGTTCTTTCTTTAATTTCTTTGTTTTTTTCTTTTTTCAATAATTTTTTTATTATTTCTGAATTTTTTTCAAAAATCATGGAAGATCAATCATTATTTTTTTTCCACGCAGTTTGGCAAGGAATAGATATATATATATATATATATATTACTCTTATTATTTAAAATTAATTCCTCTAATTTGCCACTTCTTATCAAAATTCTCATACAATTACTTTTAATTTTATTTGTTTATAAAATTTATTTACTGATAAATATGATTTACTTTTCTCTACATATGGATTTTGGAATAATTTTTTAGTGCACGATAATTTTCTCTTTTTTAAAAAAATTAATTAATATAATTTATATGATTGGTTATTATAATTTTTAAATGAGCGTAGCATCATTCTATGTGTATGTATGTAATCTAAAGGTTAAAAGTATATTTTAGATTTTTTATACAAAACATTTTCAAAATAATTTATTAATAATTAAAAATCAAATGTGAAAAAAAAAAATGATTGCTCTATGTGCAAGGCTTATGCACGAGGCTTATTTGTTTCTTCTTTATGTAATTAAGATTTATCAAAAATAATCTTTAGTGGTTTTTATAAAGTCTATCAATTTTGAATTTATTCAATACATTCATTATAAGTGAAGTACTTTTTGTAATGATTTTAAATTTATATTGCGGACTTTAAACCCATTAAGTGTAATTATGATAAATGAAAAAATAATATTGAATTATTATTTTATTGGAAATTCATTATGCATACACACACAGAGCACCAACTATTTGCTATTTATTGATTTATTTTTGGATATTTTAAAATTAATTTCTTTCGAATAAAATAATTGAAATTATATTTTAGAAAAACCATCCAATGATTTAAATATAGTTTTTTAGACTAATATGATTGATTATTTTAAGAATAAATATATATAAATCAAGTACACATACTTTGAATATATCATCTTCTCATTAGCATTAAATAAGAATAAAACATATTTTTTTTTCATTTATTTATTTTTATACAATTTTTTACATTAATTGTTACTTTATTTTTTTGACATCTTGAAACCAAGCCACTTTTGAAGCAGTTTTGTGATAATAAAATCAACCAAGTAAAAAACATTTAAGGCCGCAAAGACCAATGCACTAATTGTTGTACAATATAGCTGTAATTCACTAGTCATTTGAAATGCTCTCCAAATCTAGGGGGTAAAAAAAAAAGCCAAGGTTATTTGTATTCCTCAACAACCCCCACCTACATCACCATCTTTTCTTTCTTTCGTATTGTATTATAATTAACGAGTTTTGAAAGAATTTATAAGTGGAAGAAACTCTTTATTAAATTAAAATTATGAAATTCGAGATATAAGATAAGAATAAGATAATGTAAAGAAGAATAACAAACTAAGTGATGGAAAAAAAATATGAATAAAAGATCTCAATGGATTGAATTGTGTCCATCAATCTAAAAAATAATGAGAATTCTTGATCTCTCTCAATTTCAGGATTTGAGTTCATTAATTCTTTTCAAATTTAAATTTTGATTAAATTTTCTATTTAGAGTATTAGAAATTTTTATTTAAGAATCCATGGATAATAGAAGAACTAATCATGTTTTCTTGAAAAAATATGAAAAACATAAGAGAGAATTAGTTAAATACAAGATTTTGATTAAAAAATAAAAAATTGATTGATTTTTTTTTTTACACTTTTTGTTAGATCCATTTTGATAAACTCATTATATAATACGAACCACCAAATTAAAATAATTTTATTTTTTCCGTGAACCTATAGTATAAGACGATAACAAACTAGTATTGAGCTAATTGAAAATAGCTGATTGAGCCTTGAAGGCATGTTCTAAAGAATGGTAAAGTCTTAGTCAACTTCCGCTCTGTCTTGTATTGAAGTTTTTATTTAGACCTTTCAGGTTAAAATCCTAAAAGCTAGATGGGATTTAACTACTGAAAAACAAAATAACAAAAAAAAAGACCACGACCCATCCAATAATCCAAAAAATATAGGAAAAGAGGAAAGCCGAGGACCAATAGTCATGCTTGCACTCTTATAACACACAACACAAGCCACACCACTGAGCCGTCATGCCAGGGGCGAGTGATACCGATACACACTTTTAGCCAAAGCATACTTTTTTCAGAAAGATTCAAAAAGGGGAGGAAAGAATATGCACATAATTATGGAAGGATTAGATTTTTTTGTTGCGTTCATATTAAGAGTAAAAAAAAAAAAAAAAGACTGAGATCAAGCTAACAACATATTTGCCGGTCAAGTCTGTTGGATGGTAACCCAAGCAGATTAGCGGAGGCCCAAATTTACATTCTTTCAACGCTAAAGCAGCAGCCAGCAAGCCCAGTTCAGGGTAAGAGCAAGTTGAGTGTGGACACGGTTTGCACTCTGGACCAAAGTCTGAAACCAAGCTGGCTGCTGGCCTACTGCTTTTATTTCTGGGACTTGTAAGACTTCTTAAACCTCAGCTGCTTTTGTCCTGAAAAGACCACTTGCTTTTTATTGTTTTCAGAGACATAAATGTGTCGAGAAGAGAAATAATGAGCTTAGGTAATTAAAATCATTCAGCCTCACCATATAGAAGTGCTCATCTTCTAACACTATTAAGGGTACTATTAACAGAACATTTTAAGACCCAAAAAGAATCTTGGTCATCTTTCAACAGATTTTCCTTTAAATCACTCGAAAAGCACGCATGTCTAAGAATTCATGAAATTACGCAGCAGTTTTCAAACTGTAGAGAGTATTTAGAACAACCATACACAGTTTTTCCTCAAAAATAGAAGGGCTGGCCTGGCCTTGCTAAAGTTATGCAAATGCATGCTGTAGCCCTCGGTACCATGTGAAAATACACCATAGCTTCCTTCGTTAAATAATTTGGTCCCAGTCTCTGCATGTTTTCACGTGTCCTGCCATCCCTTTGCCGTTAATTACACCATCATGAGCATCAGCTACTGCATAGGATTCTAACAGACCCAAAAATACAATAATAAGCATCATTTTCTAGCCTACCACGCCCATTCTCAACTATGGATATGTATTACACTTTCCAAGTCAAACACAATGTGCCAGTTTTCTTTCATAGGATAGTGAGTTCACTTTCCTCCAAAAGGGTGTGGTGGGCTATCTTCAGCCTTCCTGACAGGACAAAAGTCCTTGATAAATGAGAGAGAGAAAAATGTTTTTGTAGTGTTGCGAGTATCATTTTCTCTTTCGCCAATTTACTGTGAGAGAGGTAAGTAAAGAAAGTAGAGAGAACACAAACACAAAGCACACAAAATGTTTGAAGGAGTAGCAGACCAACTCCACCAATTCATAGCTTCAAGAACAACATCACTTCCTCTACCTAGTCTATCTTTCCCTCCTCTTCATGGGTCCTCTAATACCACCAACTTCCCTAGTTTTTATCCTTACACTACCACTACTACTTCTCATCAAGTACCAGTACTACAGCCAAACTTTCTGCACCCGTTACACCAAGGTGCTCCCACCAACAAAGATATTGATGAGAAACAAGAGAATACCTTGGGGGCTATTAATTTTGATCAGTTTGAAAGAGAAAGATCAGTACCGGAATTGGTCAATCCATGGTCTAATGATGAAGTGCTTGCACTGTTGAGGATCAGATCTAGCTTGGAGAATTGGTTTCCTGAATTCACTTGGGAACATGTATCAAGGTAAAAACAACATATATGCATCAAGATTATATTGCTTTTGCTTTTGCTTCTTCTATTTTCTTTTTCTTTTACTTTTGAGTCCCAAATTAATTAAATATGGACGACTCGGTTTTACTAGAAGTACTCTCTTATTGAATAAGTTAAGAGATTTTGTTAAAGTACTGAATTTAGCGAGAGTACTTGAAGATATCATCATGATTAATCAAAGTAGTTCCATAGCTAAGTTCTTTATTCATGTCATCAAGTATCCTGTGCAGGGATTTCGAATCACACACACACACACACGCACTTAATTATTGAGAGATGGAGAGAGCTAAGGTGGGCAGTATTTAAAGAAGCACTTGTTTGTATGTTATACAATTCAGAGTAATAACGAATGGAATAGAGAAATTAAATGCTAATGATATACAGGTTGATTTGGTTTTACACATTTATGATGGCACAGGAAGCTTGGAGAGGTTGGTTTCAAAAGGAGTGCTGAGAAGTGCAAGGAGAAATTTGAAGAAGAAAGCAGATACTTCAATAGCAACCTTAATTACAACAAGAATTACAGGGCTAGTAGCTTTAGTGAGTTTGAAGAGATTTATCATGGAGATCAAAACCCTCATCAAGAAGTTACAGCTGGAGAAAAGAACAAAAAGATAGACAAGCCAAGTACTGATCAAGATGAAGAACAAGACAAGATAGGACAGAACTTGGAAGACGAAACAAGAATTGATCAAACGGTAGGAAACCAAACTGATCAAGAGGATAATGGGAAATTAGCACAGGCTGAAAAATCAAAGAGCAAGAAAAGAAAAAGAGAGAAGAAGAAGAAGTTTGAGATGTACTTCAAGGGTCTTTGTGAAGATGTTGTGAACAAAATGATGGCTCAACAAGAAAAGATGCATAGTAAACTTCTTGAAGATATGGTGAAGAGAGATGAAGAGAAGGTTGCAAGAGAAGAAGCAAGGAAGAAGCAAGAAATGGATAGGATCAACAAGGAACTTGAACTTAGGGCACATGAACAAGCTCTTGCAGGTGACAGACAGGCTACATTAATCAAGTTCTTGAAGAAATTCACATCAAGTGATTCTTCTGTGGTGATTGATCTTGGAGAGAGAAGTGCACCAGATCTTGTTAACCTACCAAACTGTTCGAATGCTTCCAGTTCATCTTCCTTAGTGCTAGCACAAAACCCTAATCCTGTTAGGCAGACCAGTAACGAAAGCCAACTTAAAGCACCTACATCATCTACCATAGCTCTAGACCATCAAAAGCCTACCTCCACGCCAGCTAAAACCAATACCTCATCGACAGAAAATCAAGCACCTCAAAACCCTAGTCCAACTCTTGCCCCAAACATTCCACATGTCCCTACGACTTCATCTGCACTAGCACTAGCTCCCCAAAACCCTAATTCTCTTAATTCCCGCAACAGCCCATCAGGACCACCAAGCACATTGCCGAATTATAATAAAGTGCAAGCAAAGTCTACATCAAATGATAAGGATGACATTGGCAAGAGATGGCCAAGAGATGAGGTGTTAGCTTTGATAAACACAAGGTGCAGTCTCTATAACACTAACAATGAAGACAAAGAAGGATCAGCAAAGGCTCCACTATGGGAAAGAATCTCACAAGGGATGTTGGAGTTGGGTTACAAGAGGAGTGCAAAGAGATGCAAAGAAAAATGGGAGAACATAAACAAGTACTTCAGAAAAACTAAGGATGTTAGCAAGAAGAGGTCCATCGATTCAAGGACATGCCCTTACTTTCACCAATTAAGCACTTTTTACTCTCAAGGAACACTTGTAGCGCCGGATAACCGCTCGACTTTCCCGGAAAACCGGTCAAATTCACCAGAAACCACGTATAGTAGTTCATCACAAAATGGGACTAGTAATTCAACAATGCATGTTGCTGAAGGTGAGAAAAATGTGGTTCAAGCACCACCTTTTGATTTTGATCTCTAATTTTGCATTTTGATGTGTTAATGATATTAATAATAATAGCAATAAAATATAGGACTATAATAATTAATAAAGCGGGTATGTTTTTAATTTTGTAAAACAATCGATAGTGCCTTGTATTTGACATTGTTTCGATATATATATCATGAAGGAGAGACGTGTACGATTTGTATTTTAGTGGGCACCGACAATTTGAGGGGAAAAAAAAGGGACTAATTTTCTTGGTTCAGATTTGAAAATAATTTTCATATATAATTGCTATTTTCTGCATTAATTTTCCCTTTTGGAAGTTTGGTTTCCTTATGTGGGATTCGTCCTTGTCTTGTCAATATTCTTGCCAAATAAACCCAAACAATATTTTGCAAAGCTTTGGTCAGTCGAAAAGGAGAGGACACATCATCGCTTTTCGAACCCAACAAGAATAAACATGCATGAATATGCTTACAATTTTTATTTTCACCTGTAATATATATATATATATATATATTGAATGAAAAAACTCAAATTTTATAGTTTTTAATAATATTAGTACGTTTTTTCAATATTAAATAGAAAATACATAAATTAAACTTTTGTCAATCATATTAGCACCTTGAATTTTTTAGATAAAACTTTATTTTTTAATACGTCTTTTCTCGCTCGTCACGTCAGCAGATAACAAAATTTTGATAACAAAAATCATGTGTGCTGATATGTTAATATAAACTTATTTTATATATTTTTTACATAATATTAAAAGAATGTGCTAATATAATTAAAAAAATATAAATTTTGTATTTTTTTGGTCAATAAGTAAAAAAAAGAAAACATTGAAATGGCTTCATTCAATTTAATTTCATTTTACAAGTCATAATTCAAAGGACAATCTTATATCTTCTCTAGCTCGAGTACTTAATACTAATTACACACACCACTTGATCTTGTAAATTGGCATATAGTTAAATCCAATATTATTGTTTTCATAAGGTGTAAGGGCACAAATATCACCAAAAATAAAAAATAAAAAAATTGCATCAAGATGTAGGGGTGTGGTGCCAATTTCATATCCATGGAGCACTAATATCCGATCATCTTTATGTGTTTGGAGCAGTATTTAGATTTACATAGAATGAATATATAGGATACCGATGTATTATATATTATTATTAGGAGTAAATTATTCTTTCATGCTTCAATTTTCAACGCAATTACAACTTAGTTCTTCAATTTTAATTAACTTGCAGTTATATACGTACTTTATTTTAATTATATGTTTATAATTTAGTTTATTTTTACAGTATATATCTAATTTTTTGTAATTATTGACCAAAAATCTCTTTAAAAAATTTAATTTTTTATATTTTGAGAGATTTTAAAGGTAACTATTTCTTATCTATTAATTAATTATTTTTTTCATGCAAAGAATTTCCATTTTTTTCAAAAGAAAAATCTCTAGTTAAATGGTCTAATTAATAACCAATTAAGCGCCATTGAAACGACAACTCTAGAATATTTTTTTATCTTTAAAATCCAACCTAGTTAGAAATTATGGCAGTGTATTGCATCCTTTACGTGGAATCACAATTACATTGGAGTTAAATTTTATTCATTAATAGAGTTATTCAAATATAAATATATTGAAATGTTAGATATATATTATTAATCTAACAATGGGTAACAAACAATTTTTTGGTTTAGTAATAATCAACCTTTTGTACTTACAAAAAATTACGGATTTAAATCCATTATTTTCATGTCTTATCAACTAGTAACGCTAATTCAAATTTTTTGCTTTTATGTTCTGCTAACTACTAACATTAACCCTTACAAAAGATCACAAGTTTGAATTCTTCGTTTCTCTATCTTACTAACTAAAGTTAATCCTTACAAAAAATCAAAGGTTCAAATCCTTTATTTTTATGCCTGACTAATCTTCTAATAAAAAAAAAAAATCAAGTTCAAATCTCTCGTTTTCTGCTAACTACTAATGTTAATCCTTACAAAAGATCATGAATTCGAATATTTTATTTATTTGTCCTGCTACTCCTCTAATGAAAAAACCTCAAGTTGAAATCCCTTATGTCTCTATCCCGATAATTTCTAACATTAACCCTTACAAAAAATCATAAATTCGAATATTTTATTTTTTTGTTTCGTTAATTAATAACGTTAACCCTGATAAAAAAAACTATAGGTTCAAATCCTTTATTTCTCTATCTACAAATCCTATTATGAAAAATGTTTTTTACTAACTATTAGTTAATGCTAACCCTCTAAAAAAAATAGCTTCTTTCACATGATAACATTTCAAAAATAAACATCTAATTAAAATTATAGAAATAATAATTAATTGATTAAATTTTGAGCAATAGGAAGTCAAATTATCGTTCAGATCTCAGCATTTATGGAATCCAAGTGAGATCCCAAGTTGTTAACAATGTTTTAAAATAATGTTTTTCAATAATAGTGATTAAATTAATAAACACATCTTCATCAATTTCAACATATAGAGTGGCAGTAGCACTATAAATATTTCTTTGTAGAGTTTTTTTTTTTTCCTTTATACACGATGCACATACAGCTGCTACTAAACAACAAAAAACCTTACAGCGACAACACATAAACATGACACAACGATTCTGTTGAGGTAATGGGGCCTACCACATGACCATCTTATCAGAGGAGACATTTATAGAGATGTAGATGTATGCGGTGAATGTCTCCAAAAACTTCCAAAATTTTAAATAAATAAAAGGACCCACCGACCAGTGAGCCTTTCTTATAAATAATACATGAAATTATTATCCAGTTTTTCGATTCGATTTTGATTTATTCTTTAATTTTTAATTAATTAAAATAAAAATTGAAATCGAATCGAATTGGGATTCGATTTTTCGATTAAAAACTGATTTTTTTTTCTTTTCTTCTAAATTTTGAATTTTTTTTAACCAAATTGAAATACTATTTTTTTATATTATTTTTTTTTCGATTTTCAAAAAGTGCTGATAACTTGAATTAAAATTTTAGCAAAGAAAATGATATGAAAATGATATGAGCCTTAGGTGTGTGTGTGTTAAAAAAAATACTAATTCGATTTTCGATGGAAATTGAACTTTAAAAAAAAAAAAACCGAATCGAAATAATTTTGATTTCAGTTATTTTGTTTTCAATTTTTTTGTACAAAATTACTAATTCAGTTCGATTCGATTCTATTTTTCAATTTTAACCAAATATTACTCATTCCTGCACACATGCATCTAGATATTGTTAGATGCTTCAATATTGAAATTTAAACCAAGGTTTTTCCTATTAAAATTTAAAATAAAAATTATAGTTATTAAGTTCGCAAATAACACTTCTTATTAATTAATTTAACAATTTGATATCATTATAAAAATAATATACTTAATACCAATAGTTTGATACGAATTTTTGATTTTTTGAATTTAAACTCTGAGTCTAGAATTTAGCAATATTTATTAAGTTTTTTTTAGATACATTAGATGGATATTTAGATAAAATTTTAAAATCATTTGGACAAAAAAAAATAATCTAAAAATGCCTTTTACAATAATATGAAAAAAAAAAAAAAACATGTGATGGTGGTGGTGTACTGCATGTATGTTCTGTATCCAGCCATGAAAATGCAGTGAGATAGAGCTGTTGCCTGTTACACACACACACACTACTACCGTACAGACTGAGTTTGGACCAGTTTGGTGGTACGGTGCAGTGAATCATGTTTGTGGGACTCCGCTAGATCGGACGGTTCATAGTTCTTGAAGTCAACATGATAAGGTGGTCTCATCTCTGGTTGACTCATGCGTGCTTGTGTGTGCACTTTTTAAGCTCGTAAGAGTGATAACAAAGATTTGACTTTTGTTTTCTTTTTGTTAAAGAAGGTTTTGACTCATACACAATTGGGTGGTTTTATTTTAAGGCAGGCAGGCTGGCACGGGTGTTGTGGGTAAATTGAATTCCTCTTTTTACTAGGTACTGAATTTGGTCTTCATAAGTTGAGGCAAACGAGCATAATTTGTTTAAAAAGTACATATTAGTCCTTTAACTATCATGTGATTCTTAACCAAGTCCATCTAATAAGAAAATCTCATTTGAATCCCCATTTATCAAAACATTACCCAATCAATCCTCATCGTTACGATTTATTAAAAAAACGGGGGGGGGGGGGGGGGGGGGGGGTGTGGAGGGAAATCTAAAATATTTTTGAGTAGCATCATGTAGAGAATTGCGTTGGGCTCAACTCTCAACGTCATGTCATCAAAGGAAATAAAAACCTTTAAGAGTTTGAGACTGTAGCCCACCTTGACGCAGGTTCGGTATATCTAGGAAGAAGAAAGGACTAAACAGAGCCCTTTTCGTGGTTTCGGGCTGTGGCTGAATTTGGATTTGTTAAATGAATGGGCCGCCCAAATTTAACAAGGATAGTTGGTCCATTGTTTTCTTTTTAGGTAAATTTTATAAGAATTTCATTCCTAATTCCACAAGTTATAGGAATTTCCAATACAATCAAAGAGAATTACACCATAAAAAAAGGGGATTTTCCTTTCCATAATGATTATTTGTAAGTTTTGTTTACATAAATTCTCTTAGTAAAGAGAATCCACACAAAGAAAAACCTTTTTTTTTTTTTGGCTATTAAAGGTAATTTTGGACCAGCATTCGTATATCTAAAATAAATTATCTTTCTAAGAGCTGATATTATCATAAGATGCAAGTCTATCTTAACAGATTCCCATTCATTTTTTTAATCTATACAAAAGTAAATTATGTACGTCGAAAATAGAAGGTTTATAAGAATTTTATTTCTCACAGCATAGTTTATGGTTTGAATTCTGATTATCAAGAAGGAGCACGTTACCAAGACTTGAACCTTGGCCATCAAGCCAGCCACTCGTTTTCTTTGTAATAATTCAAAACAAAGTTTAGGAAACCAAAAGTTAGGATAAAAATATATATGTACATTATAATCTCTTTACTTCATGGATGAGCTATGGGTGAACTTTGGTGGTGAAGTTTTCGATGCTTGTGAGTTGTGAATGGTCCATCCGTTCTATTTAAAGCTGGCACTGCTGTAGGTCGAAGTTTGGCCCTCTTTGTAATATCCCTTCAATTTTGAGTCTTGCAAGATTTCGTCATGTGGCTCAAACTACTCTTTTTCAAGGTGACCAAAATGGGTGATGTTATTTGATGTAATTTGAATTTTTTACTGAGACGTTAATATATTTTTTTTAATTTAAGAGTTTTATTTTTATGTTATTATTGTTTCAAATTTTAATGTATCACGTAAATATACATGACAAGTTTTAGTCAACGATAAATTACCGTGTGTCATGATGAGTCTAAATTGGATGATTAAATTGATGATGTTATTGGTTAGAACTTATCATATGTGCTTATGTGATATATTAGGATTTAAAACAACAACAATAATATAAGAATAGAACTGTTAAATTAAACAGAAAAAAAAACTTAGTATCTAGATTAAAAAAATCGAATTGTATAAGATATCGATATGCATAAAACCTAATTAAAATACAACATATAAAGGAGAAGGAGAAACACATATATCTTGTTAGTTAGCGTTGGGTAATGAAGCTGTACATATTTTCACTGAACAGATAATATTGTCCACTTGGAACTAACTTTTTGAAATTAATTAAAGGATCCAATGTGCGAAAACAGCTATGAGAATCTTTTTCTGATAGTTTTTGATATATGTCCAAGTCAGGTTTTCACATGAAATCTGTATTTGTAGGTTTCTTGTCTGAAATTGTAATTGCATATTTGCATTGCCTCTGTACCGCAATGAAAGCGAAACACCGCAACCAGTTTTATAATTCATTTTTCTAAACTTATGGCCTAATTACAAATTAAGCATAGGAAAAATCAAGTGTTGATTAATTGGACAAAATTAACAAAGCTACTGCCCTATAACGTCATCAACTAACTTAGATAAATGCAACTATAACTATAATCAAAATTGATAAAATAAAGTTGAAAATTTCGAACAAGTAAGGATTTTGTTGTTGATGGTGGGCTTGATCTTAAAAGAGATTATAATTTTGACCTAGTTTTTTCAAATTGGATCTTATATATAAAGGTAGTATAGTATACTTGGATGAGCTTGATCGACTAAAACTAAATTTATTACTTTTTAAGTTAAGACAGTGTCAAAACATATTTAATTTTTAGTTCATTATTAAATTCCTTCTTAGATCTAATGAACTCAAGTATGATTTTATTAAAAAATAATTATGAATAATTATCTATGGATAATGAAAATTAAATTTTAGTCTTGACTAAATTAAGATCATTATTTTATCATTAGATCACATCCTTTGATTTTTTAAATGGACTTACGGGTACTAATTAGAGGTTTGGATTAGAAGTGAATGAACATTTAAAGTTTGACTGCTTATTTACCTTTACAATTTACAAAACTTCCTGAATTGCTTTTATCTGCCTTATTGATCCATGTAACCTGTAGCCTATCTAATGTGTCGCCATGCAAGGTTCCATTGCTTCATCGTTAGGCTATACACCTCTCCTTAACTAGGTTAGACCAATCTGAGGAATGGTCTTGTCGAGTTGCATAAGAATGATAATGAGGTTTCACAATTAGGTCCAGGGGCACCTTTTCTTTATTCCTACTTTGGGCCGGGTACATTCGTTATCAGCAGAAAGAGTCTATGCATCTTCAATATTCATGCAAAATTCAGCTTGCACAGATCAAAGATATATACTACCGTCCTTGCAACAACTTTGAGTCCTTCACAACAGTTGTCTGGGTTAGGTTTAAACCTCGGATTCACTTCCAATTTTGTTAGGTCCAAATGGTTTATGATCAGAGCACCACCGCAAATTTTGGTTGGAGGTTTACCAAATATATTTTGACAAGGATCAAATAAAGAATAATGATTACCCTAATATATATTTTTTTCTTTCTTATTGTCTCATGGGCTGCCACAGAGGCATCAAGAATTAGCCCAAGATATCAATTATAATTTTAAATAACGATCACTATATTATATAATAATATAATAATTTTAAAATATCTCGTTATCATTATTTTATTATTATAATAAATCATGATATGTGATAATTATCACCAATGTTTTTTTTAATCATTTGCTGTGATGTCAACCATATGCATCAAAGTCCTGCTATCCATTTGATGTCCTGCCTCTCATGACGTACTTAACATGTGAGTCATGTCTATGTATATGCCATCAAAAATTTAAGTTTTGACCAGGTAAGTTGAAAACAGCGACCCTAATAAACTTAGCTATATTGGTTGGCATTAATGAAAATAAAGTTGTTCTAAGGCCACTAAATACATATATTTGTGCTATTCTGTACAGAGAATTTCCTCTCTTTTTTTCCCCTAGTCTTTGACAATTGGAAGGCACCCATGTTTACTTTATGAGTAGAAAAGTTTAGTAGATTTTCTTTTGATACCGTTCTTATCCAAACTTTGCTTTATAGCCACAGTCAGTTAAATTGACTGTCTATATGTCTGGTATAGCTATCACTGAATGTTTGTTAGGCTACCAAGCTAGCATTTACTTTTCATCAACTAGCTCTCAATTCTCTTATCTTGTAGGTTTAAGACCGTTTAGAGCAGTAATATCCTATTGAAGGTGAAACATATCACATTCATTTTTTTTGTCAAAAGTCTTGGACATTTCACTTTCAATTATGCAACCCTTTTTTTTTTTTCAAAAAATAAAAAAATAAAAAAACCTTTTTATTTTATGAGCCAGCTGCTATATTAAGGACATCAACTTGACAAGTTGAGTGGTGTAAAGACGGAGTCATGTGAGTTTGGACTTTGGTTGTTGGTGGCACCCTCTGAATCTTCCATATCCCTTTTATTTTTATATCTCTATCTGATTTTAGACATTTTGTGTACCATTCCACCATGCTGACACAGACGCTTCCTCATAATAATGTGGCTATCATCAATAATTTTTTGTCCCAGTTGAAACAACGAGAATGCTCACCTCCCAGCCTTTTTCTTAGCATCTGGCCCCCCTCCATCGTTAAAAAGGTTATTATTGAGAGGTTTTCTGCTGTTGCGTAACCCAAATTTGTGAAAGAAAAATAATTCACGCTTTCGTAAAAACGAAATTGCAGAAGTTTGAAAATGTAATCCTGCCATTTCACCTTTCAACACTCTTTTTCAATGGGACTTGTTTTCAGTGGATGAAATTGAAATCCACGTTTGACGTGTGCCCAACTCATGGTGCTAGCTAGAGCATGCCCTAAAACCATAATCGTGCTTGCCAATACATTGAAAAGCCACTACCATCCTTTCTTTAATTAATTAGGTTTGGAAAATCACACCTTCGAATATCTAAGTTAGACTCTTCCAACAATTCTTTTTCATGCTTCACTTCAAACATACAAAGCTTCATTTTTTATTGCTCCAAATTAGATGTGGCTTGCCTTTTGGATTGCCTCAAAGTCAAAGGAGGCTTGTATGATAATCACCATAGTTTGTTGAGATAACAATCCATTGAGTAAGATCACATAAAGTTTGGATTTTTATTTTTTTTATCACACTTCATGGGTAACCCATCACTTTTTATGTTAGCTGAACTTGAACATTTTCTTTGGTAGAAGAAGATTTGACTTTCTTTTTCCTAGTTACGTAAGGAAGCCACCCATCCCAATCAATGGCCAGGCTACTTTTACATGCTATTGAACAATAATGAAAAAGTTTATTTTGGGGTGCGCTAGCTTGATCAGCTTTTCTCTAGTAGTTATATCTTCAATCAAAAAGGGCAAAAGTCCAACCCCAACGAGCTTAATGTGAGGTCAAAGTTGCTGCCCACAAATGTAGTTCCACTTCATTATTAATTGGGATAAGGTTTCAGATTTTAGCTGTATTGATTCTTAGAAATATCGCCAATCAACCAATATTGGAGATTCTTGTCCTCTAGAGAAAAGGAAAATTAGAATAAGAATATGTCAAAGAAATTTAAAAAAGTTAGGACTTAATTACATCATTATGCATTCGTTAATCAATAACAAGAACAGACGAGAAGTTGCATTTGCCTTGCTCAGTTGGTAATTGGGCTTTCCCTTCGTATTTTAACGAGTTCTCCATCTTCGATTTTTTTTTTTTTTTTGGACAGATTGTAAAAGAAATCCTCAATTAATTAATTACTTGGTCTTTCACCTTAATTACTGCAGACGAAGATAGTTGTGATCACTTTTTTTTTTATGCATTGATCAATCTATATTAAAAGCCCAATTGAATGCAGATCGACTATAGTGATTAATTGATAGCATACAATTAGTTGAAGATTTATAATAATTATAATTAAGTAACATCAAACCAAACCAACTATTAAAAGCAATAGTGACCTGTAATGCACGGGATAAATGGTGATAAATGACCCATCAATGAATACTAATCTGTGTCAACTAACATATGGTTGGTGATGGTACATGGGTCATAGATGTACTTGTTTGGTGGGATGCATGCAAGCACATTTATTTCTTATTTTTCTTTCTAATTTATTAGTGGGCTCTCGTTGAATTTTGGGGAAAAAAAACTTTCATAATACGGACAACACTCTTTTCTTTTCTTTTTCTTTTTCTATATTTTTTAATTAACCTCCACTTTAGTATACTAACTAATATATCTATTATGACATGGGGATTTTTCTATTCCACTCAAACATCCCCTAAATAAGGTTTTGTTATAAATTACTGAACAATCCCAATCAATTATCAAAGAGCATCATAATTAGGTTATTCAAAGGATCAATGTGATTATATATGTGTTGTAAGATAATGACATTTGCTTAAATAAATTTTAAAATTTCATATGAATGTCAGAGAATTGTTGATTATAAAGAAAGAAATTAACTACTATCTTCTTCGCATAAGTTGATTACACTTCAATGTACAAAGGTTAACACAACAAAATGTTACAAGTTCTACTTTCTAAACTCAAAATACATGTAAGATTACATATTTTTTTCATACAAAAGCTAAAATACCTTAAAACCTACTCAGGTCATATGTTTTTCTTCATAAGTTAATTTTGCCATTGTAAACTCCAATTATATGTATTTGTCTATTGATCCAATTATATGATCAATTTAAATTCAAAATTATCTAATCAATCAACTTAAATCCGAATATCACCACCACATAACTAATTTTGAGTAAAAATCTCACATTTTAATCTTTTGACTGCTTCCTTGATCAAAGGAAATTTTTATCATTGATTTTGATTCATGCATGGCATGAGGTTACTATATACAAATTGGCCTTTTTAGGTTGATGGGCACGAGTCAAATTGGATATGAAGTTAGTGTAGATGGCAGCATTTGTATCCGTGGACCATGCTGTTGCATGTGATCTCGACTTAAAAGTTGGGCATATTGGTTACATTTCGGTTCAACCATCTGCTCGAAGAAGAGTACTACTTGAAGACGATTTCTTTTAAGACGGAATTCAATTACTATTTTAAGTGATCAATACAATTTTATTCTTTTGGTGATAACAAAAACGTCACTATATTATTAATTAAGTCAGTTATGCCTCGATCATATCATTTTTTTTTATAGGAAGAAGATTTTTTTACTTGTGTTGAAGAAGATCAGGTACATGTCATTCCATTTTCTGTAAATTCATTCAAGAATTTCATGTAAACTTAGCCTAAAGATTGAAGAAATCACATACGTGGGAAGGAGAGCTAGTCAACTTTTATGTTTCCTCTGCAGCTCCAAGCTGGAAATATATATATATATATATATATTTGGTTGACAATCAGCAAATTCTCAATTCAGGTCTCACATATTTTTTTCGAGTTAGGTTTTGAGTAGATTATTGGTGTTTGAACGTGTTGGATACTTTTGTCTAGCAAAAAAAAATTTGAGCGTTCATGATTGGACGTAGTTCCATTGTGTTATGATATAGAAATAAGAGAAATGATTTGTTAAATTATTTTATAAGAGTTGACAAATAACATAAAGAATTAAATATTATTTAAAAACATTATAAATATAATTTGAGATGATTTAAAATATTAATTATATAAAAATATATTGAATTATTTATACTAAATTCATACAAAACAAGGATGCAAATTTACCTTGAAATGGATAGCTTTGAAACCTCTAATCCTTAATGAATATTATTATTCTTAACAATCCATAACTACATAAAATTACCTATTTTTCAAAAACCTTTTGGTTAAATATTTTTTTTCTTAAATAACACTAGCATTACAACGTATTATAATACTTAGGCGTACTTGAATTGAACTTTATCTCCGATTAAGAAAAAAGAAAGACTAAAACAGTAATATAATGAATAAAAAAGTATATAGATCTTGTTTTTCCATTATGTGATTGACTATAGATTACATAAAATATATTACCCGTATAATACCTTATTAGTTATTAACAATTTATTTTGACCATCAAAATCCTAAAAATGCTTAAAAATAAGTAAATTAAAATCCAAAAAATAATAAAACTGCATTCAAATTATTAAATGGAATACTCAATCTCTCCAATAAATATATATAAGCTTAGTATTTTCTTACTATTAATTACTGAATATTAAACAATTCATCCAAGTAAGTAATAATCACAGCCAGTAAACCCCTGGCAGTCTCAATCTTCAACAAGTTTCTGACTTTCAGAGAGAAAAATTATCCATTTCCATGTAAGTAATAGCCCGAACCATGATAGGCGGTGCCGTTTTACACTTTTACCAATCCGGTGGGCAGAACGTGGAATTTCAAGAAGCGTGGGAGGGTAGTTTAGTCATACAAGGTGAATAAAAAGCGCCGGATAATTAGCCTCGTGATTGCAGATCCAGGGGGAAGGAGCTGTGGGACCCAGTCTTGGTCCCTTTGGTCGTTCTTCTTCCTCTCACGAATCAATCTCAAGAGCTTGCCAACAAAAAATAATTAAATTAAATTATTAATTATAAAAAGAAAATAAAAATAAAAATCAGTAATTATGAAAAGAACCCATGAAAGCTGACAAATTCACTGACAGTCCCTGACCTTAAGTCTCATTTTTTTTTTCAGTCTTTTCTTTTGACTCATTATGTTTTAGCCATGACTGCTTCTCACTGCTTACTTCACTCCTTTTCACAAAACACCACCAAAAAGCAAGAAAATAACCCTCATGCATCATTCTCATTTTGACCCATCATTCCTCACTTTCTTTCCTACTTCTCTGTAAAATTAAGATTCGAATTTCTATATTAATATTCCTAACTTTGTCTCTCTCTCTCTCTCTTTTCTCTTCATGAATTGTATTATATATATATATATATATATATATAAGAACAATGCCATTTGGTAAGCAATTTAACGTTTTTCGTCAAATGTTTTAACAAAAATCTTTAATTGAAAAATCAAAATATTGACAGTAAAAATTAATAAAAAAATAATTTGAATTTAAAGTTGATATTATTGATGGTATATTCGAGGTTTGTTAAAAAAAAAAAAAGTTACCTATCAAAATAAATTCTCTCTCTTTCTAAACAAATTTTTGTAAATTGAACATTTGTCAAGTATCTACGGAAAAACTTGATTTGATTAACATATTTATGATAGTCACATAACAAGTTGAAATAGGGCCCCTATGTTTAGCTTCCTCTAAATCTTCCATTAGTGCTACAAGCAAAAACATCTTAGTGCTATTTCTCTTTGAGTTTCACGTGATTTGTAACTCTACTTTGTCTCTTCCTCACCTACAAGAAGATGCACAGGCACTCTCAGTCTACTTTGTTTCTTCCTTTAGGACTAGGCTATCTTTGTTTGTAGTCTTTAAGACTGCTTTTGTTGCTTTTTTGGCTTAATATAAACCGACAGTTAGCGCTACTAATCTCCTTCCTAATGCCTTTCACCATTTTATGAATCTGTAAGACTTGTGGTCCAATAACATTTTCTTCCTTTCTTTTATATATATATATACCAAAATTTGTCATTTTCTCTGACTCCAAAAAACACACACACATCCATCAATGTCTCAAGAACCACTGTTGCTGCTAATGCTGCAACTTCCTCTTCAACTTCAGCTTCTCCTTCTTCTTGTACTTCTGTCATCTAAACCCTCAAGTTTCTTTCTTTCCATTAAAATGTCCAACCCCACATTCTTGTTTCCCTCTCTTTCACTCACATTGTGATCTCTCTTTCTCCTTTGATCTACTACTTGTTTACATAATTCAGGTACTGCCCTTTCTTTTCTTTTTCTTCCTGGAATCTGTAGATTTGATTCACTTTCTTTTTCTCAGTGTAAAAACTGTTTCTGTTTTTAGTTTACTGTGCATTTCTTGGAGCTGCATTTGTCTTTTTAAGACCTTTTGGGCTTATAATTCTTTTAATTGTTAAATCTTGAAGTTCTTGATTTGTAATGTGGAGAGGTTAGTTGATAAATTTGTGGTCTTTGTTTGTGCTACTGTTAGGTGGATTTTTTTTCTGCAGTCTTTCGTTCTCTTCCTCTGTCTTCTCTTTGTTGTTTCCTTTTTTTTTCTTTGGGTAATGACAGTGCTTGGTTGCTGAGAAAATGAAGGAAAAGACAGGAAATTACAGTTCTTAGGATGCTTAATTAAGCACCTATGAGGGGTTGGTAAGAAATTGATAGTTTCATAAATAGTTGAGCTTGATACATTTAAATAGCTTACTTGATCTGCTCATAGCAAAATTAAGCATTTTGCCACTAGAAACAAAACCCACAAATATTCATCATTTCATTTCCCTTCTTTTGCTCTGTTTTTTCTTGGCTAATAAACAGACAATTAACAAAACAACCACACCCCCCACATTTGTGCAATTATTGGATGATTTTCTTACTTATGTTTACCTAAAAACTTGAGTTGTTTTGCTATCATCCCTCTCTAAATCTGGCATCAGTCCATTGAATTGCTGTAATTTTTTAATGTATATCTTCTATTTGAGTTTTTGAGTGTTGTATTCCATGCAATGTGGGTTCCAAGTTACCATAAAGTAGTTTTCTTTATAATTGAGGACCTTTTCTTTTATTTGAATACTTATGATTTCATTTTGAAATGGTAGTTGCCTATTTTCTCCTATTTTGGTGAGAGAAAATGCTCTCATAATTCTTGTATTTCTTGGCTTTCAAGGGCCTCCCTAGTTATTTTATTTTAATAGTCCTTGAATTGACATAATTTCATTTTCCTGCTGTTCCTTTCTTAGTTACTGAAGAAGTATTTGCTAGCTTATAGTATATGTATTTATTGAGTAACTTTACAGATAGTGTAGCTTCTTTTTGTTATTACCTCAGTGCATTTTCTTGATGGCATTGATAATTTCTTTTTGTCTACATCCAGAGAAGCAAGTAATTCCAATCTCTCAGATGGAGCAGTATGAAGTGTTGGAGCAAATAGGGAAGGGTTCTTTTGGTTCAGCTCTTCTCGTGAGGCATAAACATGAAAAAAAGAAGTGAGAATGAAACTCTACTCTTCCTACATTTCTTCACTTGCTGTTGAAGCCTATTATTAGAACAATATATTGTATGCAATATCATATACTCTGGTGATTGGTTTCGTCTTCAATTCTGATAATTTTGTTATGTCAATATAAGGTATGTGTTGAAAAAGATCAGGCTTGCCAGGCAGACTGACAGGTCACGTCGATCTGCACATCAAGAGGTCAATATTTTTATTTTTGACTGTGGAAGCATGATTCATCTCCAACATCTAACCTCATATCTGACATTGCCTCTGTTTATCTTAGAAATGCTCCTATGCTTCTCTTTTGCTGATGTTCTGTTATGCTTTGTACATGGTTCTGCAATATAAAATATTTCTTTGAGAAAAAAAAAAAAAAAAGAATGTTTCAGCTGGCTTTGTTGCATATCTAAAGAACATCAATACCACACTGTTAATCAAGGGCCCGAATTCTCCAGCTTTGAATGTTAATACCCTTCAAAGTTCAGGATACTTGAACCTATAGATCAGAAATGCTGACAGTACCTATAATTTAGCCAAGAGTAATGTTTTATGCATGCGTAGTTGATTGTGCCACAGCTTGCACCTTTGATAGATTTTACTGATCTGCAGGCCTAACCCTTTTCTGTTTTATGCAGAAAGAGCTTATTTCTAGGATACGAAATCCATTTATTGTAGAGTACAAAGACTCCTGGGTAGAAAAGGTATATTGCACCTGCTATTATCTTCTAGTAAATGTCTTTGCCTTGGCTGTTCCTTGATCTCTAATGGTTTTACATGGTTGGATGTTCATTTTTTGATTCGGAGATACTTGGTGTTTAATTTTCCATATTTAACACGTGAAATTTAGCCTCTTGGGGTGCTTTATATCATTAACGAATGCCATTGACATCACCTGAAACTTGGCATAATGATTGCCCCCTTTTTTAGTCAACTCTCCATATAAATTACATTTTATATCTCTGAGCTCGAATATGACTTATTTAATTTAGGAAAAGCTTCGTTTATTTCAACTGTATTGCAAAAGGATGTACTACTTTTGGATAATACTGTTTTGTGCCACTTTCAATAGTCAAAGCGTTTTCCTCATAATTGGGATAAGGTCATGTTTAGTTGAGTTAAGATAGGGTTTCTGAATGATTCGGTGAGGACGAGGAAAAAATAATAATAATTATCTAGGGATATGAGTAAAAACACAAGTAGTTGAAAATTTTGTATAAATAGCCTAATACTGGTTCATTTTGATGCTTTTGAGTCAGGGTTGCTACGTATGCATTATTATAGGTTACTGTGAAGGAGGAGACATGTAAGTTTCCACTCTTGCTGGAACCGTGTGTTAATATGCTTTTAGTTGAAGCCTAGAATAATGCTTGGCGTTCTTTCTTCTTTTCCTTATGTTACAGGGCAGAAGCTATAAAGAAAGCTAATGGTGTGCTATTCTCAGAAGAGGTTGGTTTTTCTTGATCTTTTCTTTCATTTTGTGTGAGAGGCCCTTCACCTTTCCAGAAATGAAAATTTGATTTTACAAGCTTAACATCTGAATCATTTTTACGAATTCAAAATTTCAATTCAGAGGATCCTTTTGCAAATGAATAACTAATTCTTAGTTATTGAATGCTTCAGAAGCTCTGCAAGTGGCTTGTTCAGCTTCTCATGGCACTTGACTACTTGCACATGAACCACATTCTTCATCGTGATGTCAAGGTTAGTGGCATGTATTTTGTGTACTCAGATTCAAAACTGTGGCATTCCCAGAAACTGCATTTTACTGATAAGGCCTCGTGATTTGTTCAGTGCTCCAATATCTTCTTGACAAAAGAGCAAGATATTCGTCTTGGTAAGTGATATGATTGTTACCTTCTGATTTTAATGAAAGGGAATGTACTTTTTCCTGAATAACTGATAATCCACCCTAGTACAGGTGATTTTGGACTCGCTAAAATATTAACTTCAGATGACCTTGCTTCCTCTGTAAGTAATGCAGCCCATAAGCTGAGCCAATCTTCCAATTTTAACTATGTTTCCTTGAATGTGATTTATCATTGGTGAGAATTGCTTTTATATGTTCAGGTCGTGGGAACACCCAGCTATATGTGTCCTGAGCTTCTTGCTGACATACCTTATGGTGCTAAGTCAGATATTTGGTCCTTAGGTAAGTTGTGTAATGTAGTAACGTGTTTGCAGAAGTTACGTACTCTTGATTACTCTTTCAGCTATTTATTGGCATAACTATTTATGCTTCTCAAAATTTGTCTCCCAGGTTGCTGTACATACGAAATGACCTCTCTTAGGCCTGCGTTTAAAGCATTTGTAAGTTTCTTGATCCTGTTTTCATACTTGGCATAAAATTAAGATAAACATGTCATGCTTTCATGCATCATTGAACTAGGACTCCAAGGGATACCCAGCATCATGATTATGTCATTTTCCTGCCCAAAGTCATTTATGTCGATATATAACTACAATCTTAAGGTTTGCTGCATTATGTTTTCTGTCAAAGTTGAAAAAAATCATTTTGGAGTATTTTATACTTTAGTTTAAGTTTCATTAAGACTTTTTGGTAGCAGGATTTACCTTCCCACCCCCCAACCCCCTCCCCTGCCTTCCCACTAAAAAGAAAAAAAAAGATGAGAAAGAAGGAACTATGCACGATTATAGTGTCATGCTAACCATGATAACTATATCAAATGGAGACTATATAATTCCCACTGCACTTGTCATTCTGGCCTGCAGTTTGATTAGTATGATTAACATTAGGAAAATTTGTGCTATGATTTATCCTACATTTTATGCTATGATTTTTGTTCATTTCTGATTTTATTTTCCATCTCTTGAGCAGGATATGCAAGCACTGATTAACAAAATAAACAAGTCAATAGTTGCTCCACTTCCAACTAAATATTCTGGTGCCTTGTAAGTATTCGTCATTTGTTTCCCCAATGTTGTCACTGTTTGCATTTGAGATGCTGGATTTTATTATTATCCCTCTAACTATGTCCCTGTTTATGTTTCTAGCCGAGGACTTGTTAAAAGCATGCTGCGAAAGAATCCAGAGCTTAGACCTGGTGTACGTGTGATCTTTTTAATCTGCATCTTACATTATATGTGAATCTGGTACAATGCATCATTATAGGCCACCAAAAAGATAATTCATAAAATTCACTTCATAATCTTCTTTTTTTCCGTCTTTGAATTTACTTTGCACATAGAAACAATTTCCAAAGAGTTGCAAACTGTTTCAAGGTCTTCTGTCGAAGCAAAATTTGTTGTCCCATTTTGAACTTCTAAAGGCAAGTGTTGCGAGAGAATTGAAAGTAAATCTCTATGTAAAGTTCTAAAATTCACCGAAGTATTTTCTCTTGGCAAGTGGACAGATAATTAGTTTCTCCTAAACTCTCATCTCCAACAGTAAATCACTCTGTAAAGTTATAAAATTCACCATAGTTTTTTCTCCAGGCAAGTGGACAGATAATTAGTTTCTCCTAAACTCTCATCTCCAACACCTAAAAAAACTGCAAGCTTTGGTAGCCTTTGTTGATTGGGCAATTGCTATACCACAAAACTACTGCAATCACCGTAAAGCTTTGTAGCAATTCTTGACCACCAACTAGGCTGCATAAGCACAGCTGTAATCATTGATCTCCTTGTGCATTACATATACTTTCTTGGTTAATCAACAAACACTAATATAGATGAGAGATTTTTTTCCTTCTAATAAGGAAAATAATATTACTGGGACTTTTTGAATATGTTTTTGCTCTTACATTGTGCAGTAAACCAGAGTGAATAACTTTTTCTGATTGCTACTCTCAAATACTTTCAGAAAGCTTGTAGAAATGAAGCCAATAGAAGGCTTGCCAGTTTGTTACATTTTGTGTTACAATTTGACGTCTTCTGCCAATAGAAGGAAATTTGAGCATTTGCATTTGTGTTGGCATATTAACGTGTTCTGTTCTTACTCAAAGTATCCACCATTCCAGGCTGCAGAGCTGCTCAGGCATCCGCATCTTCAGCCTTTCGTCCTTAAGATTCATCTTAAGATGAACAGTCCTAGACAGAATGCCTTACCTTTCCAATGGCCTGAACCCCATTACATGAAGAAAACAAGATTTTTAGTGCCAGGAGGTAATCCTCTCAAAACTCACAGGGAGAAGAGGTATTCACTTGGTAATGATAGGGCATTGAATCCAAGTATATCTGTAGCAGAGCAAGATTCTGTGTGTTCCACTGAAGGAATACACGATACACTAATTTATTTGAATCGAAGGCTATCAGATTCATCCGTTGAGAGCAGCCATGAAGGAACAGTCATTTGTAGATCAATTGCTTCAAAACCTGCAAATGTTGCCAAGACTCCAAAAGTTGCACCTGCCAAAGCCTCTGTCACTTCTAGGAGACGGACAGAGCCTGTAAGAAAACGTGAATCTGTAAGCATATGAATCTCTCTCTCTCTCTCTCTCTCTCCACTCCCTCTCTCTTTCCCTCCCTCCCTCCCTCTCCATCTCTCTCCCTCCCTCTCTCCCTCCTCTCCTTCCTCTCTCTCCCTCTCCCGGATGCACTAACACTCACACACACACACACAAATGCAGAACTTTTGAACGACTTTCGGTAGTTTAACAATTTGGATCTCACGCATCCTTTTATTATCTTTTCAGCTTCCTGTTACTCGAACGCCAACTAAAAAATCCAACCCAACAACCCGCAGAGCATCTTTACCACTGCCATCGAGAGCCACGAAACAAAATTCCCCTTGCAGGACAAATACTAGCATCCTTCACCATATAAAATCTCCAGATGTTTCTGTCAATGCTCCTCGAATTGACAGGATGGCTGAATTCCCATTGGCTTCATATGATGAAACATTTCTCCCTATCTGGAAAACTTCATCGACCTCAGCTCAAGGGTCATCCAACTCCTTGCATCATGGCGACCGCTCAATCACAAAGGATAAATGCACAGTTCAGTTTAGAGATAGAACCTCTGCCAAGCCCAATTTCACTGAGGCATGGCAAGGAATCGAACTTGGCATGCTTCAGGTAGATGAAGAGAATGGAAGCAACTCCTCCAATCAAAATGCAACTGTTGGGGCATCGAGCCGCACCTCATCAGACACAAGGCGACGCAGGTTTGACACCTCATCGTTCCAGCAGCGTGCTGAAGCTCTGGAAGGTTTGTTAGAATTCAGTGCAAGATTACTGCAAGATGCAAGGTACGATGAGCTTGGGGTGCTACTAAAACCATTTGGACCTGGAAAGGTTTCCCCCAGGGAAACTGCCATATGGTTGACAAAGAGCTTCAAGGAGAATACTACCAAACCGGAAGATTGACAGTGACCAGTTCTATGTGTACTATATTTGTAACTGCAACTATTTTTAGAGTTTAGTCTATTGGCGTTTTGCCAAAGTTTTATGGGCGAGGCACTAGATATTTAGTCAAACTATTTTATAGGCTGTAAAATTTTTGAGCCATTTGAGATGCCTCATTAACATTACATACTATAATTAGAGACATGAGTTTCTTATTTTTTGCAAATGAACTAAAGTAACAAGGCTGTGTTCCTGTGTTCAGTATTCGATAGATCCATGGCTAAACTGTGGTGAAGTAGATGTGTTTATCTTAATCACTTCCCTACATTCTCTTTCAAATTTCCAATAGTTATTTTGATCTACTGCGTCTTAATAGCAGTACCATATCATTTTCTCTCTATCCTGGGAAAATTTTGTTACGCTGCTGTGGGTGATAGGGCGGGTGTTCTAGGAAATGTATGGAAGCAATTGCTGTAAACTGAAGTTTCTTGGGGATACAGTTCCATTCATGAGATTGTTTTCTTGTTATTAGAGCAAGGGCACATTTCTAACTTGACATCTATCTTCAATTGTGCCACTGGGTTACATGTTATTAGTCAAATCAGATGGTTAACATCATCTTCAGTATATCGATACACGTTTGAGAATGAAATACGGATGCTTTGTTAATGATCACTTGCTTTTGTTGTACTTTCTCGACTTCCCTCAAAAACAGAGAGAAACTTAGATTCAAGGGAAAATAAAAGAACAAAGAAGATAAAATAAAATGCAAGATTCTACTTGCCTATTACCTGATTTCTGCAGCATCAGCAAAGATCAGTGTCCAATTAAGTATACCCTAGAGAAATTATTAGGTAGGTCAGGAGATGTATTCTACTCTCACAAAAATATGGGATCCGCCATGAAAATACTTCATGGATCCTATATTTTTGTGAGAGGAAGGACTACAGTTTTAGGTATACAATATTTCCTCTTTAACCCCAACCCACCCCACAACCATTCCCATTTTGCGTGGAGTGGAGTTAAAACTCTATATCTTAGTAAGTTAGAGTAAGACCAAAGACTTGGTCAACGAAGGTATTTTACATCCACAATACAATGTTGATTTGCGTTGTCGTAGCATGGTGCCGAGTAATAAATTTAGAAACAAACCAAAAAGTAGAAATAGAAAAGCTTGATTGTAGAGGAAAAGGTTGCCCCAGAAGAGACAGAAGCTTGAGGCTTTGAGCAGGTGTGAAGGCTCCATCAAGAAAGAAGAATATTTACCGTTAACCTTCAGGAGTGTGGCAAATGGCTTGATCAGGAAAAATTCTGCAGGCCTTGGCCAATAGACTATGACCACTAGAGTACAAATCCACTTGACCGGAGTCAGGACGAAGAAGATACATACTACTTAAACACAACATGCATGCATGAATCGAACATAGATCAACATCCTTATAATTGGGTATTATAAATAAGAAGATGGCCTACGTCTTTTTCCTCAGGTAGCTGGAAAGAGATACAGATTCAAGTTCAACCCTCTACTTTGCAACCATACGGTCGTTCATCATCTTCTCCATTAATTGTTAGATATGGTTTGAAGTAGGATCTTGGAAGGAATGATGCAAAACGATGGGAAAGGCAAGCAGGTGGATGATAAACTTCTTGCTAGGAAAAAGGGAGGAGAAAGGCAAGAAGAAGGATATTTCTTTCCACGCAGAGAGAGATACAACACCGACTGCAATTGTACCTTCAACTCCAACTTATAAGAGAAGATGGAGCTTTGGAAAATCTGCAAAGAAAGAGAGAGTTTGCAAGGGTCGTAGATCGCTTGACTCGATCATCACCGCCCCATACTCAGCAAATAGATCATCATTTGCATTGCCTACCACTGAAGCTATTAAAATAATTGTCACACCAACACATGGATCATATAGAATAAGAAAGGCGGTTAAAGATGCGGCAGCCACCAGGATTCAAGCTGTCTTTCGGTCTTACCTGGTATTTGTACAAACTTCCTTTTTACTTTATTTTTAACCATTTTTCATGGATGAGATATGTATATCCATTGCTTCATTTTACAGGCCAGGAAAGCTTTGTGCGCCTTAAAGGGATTAGTCAAGTTACAAGCACTAGTAAGGGGTCACCAGGTGAGGAAACAAACAACTGCTACCCTTCGGCGAATGCATACTCTTATGACAATACAAGCGAGAGCTCGTTGTCATAGGGTTCAGATGGCTGGGGAATCGCAACTTGCCGTGAAAAGCAAATCATCAAGACATACAGTAAGTATCCCATTTTTATCTGCACGCAGTACCTTCCAAATCACAGTATCTTTTCAAGAATGGACTATAGGTACCAGCTAATTTCAAAATGAGATAATTGTCCACACTCAAGTACTGTCAGCATTAGCATAATACAATTACCTTGCTGTACCATCACAGCTGATGAAAAACATGCAATCTAATCCTTCAACAGCTAATTTGTGGTGCTAAGTTGCTAACTCGAATTCATACATAGGAGGCATTTGGTATTAATCTTCATGAAGTTCGAGGAGTTGCAAAGAACACAAGTGGCTACATGAATTATCCATTAATAGACAGAGTACAGAGAGAGATTCCCAGATTCTACTCTGGGGAACAACATGTCTCTAGGCGCGAACATCAATACAAAGAGTTTTCCTTCACAGCACAGAACAGTCCCACAATCAGTTCTCCACCCTCCAAAACAACCCCAGGAAGATCTTCCTTCACTTACGAACGGCCAGACTATGTAGACACTCTATCTAATCAATTTCAATTCCAACCAAACTACATGGCCGACACAGAATCTTCCAAGGCTAAAGTCCGGTCACAGAGTGAACCAAAACAGCGACCTAAAGAAAGCCCCAGAGATAAAAACAAGCAAACAATGAATGGACTGAATGCCCACCAAGATGCTAGGTCACAATGCTCATCTTCACATTCAAAACACATGGCTCATGAAAACCAAGACCCATGGTTTATAAAACTCTATAGACCAACAAAGTCAAAGGACAGTGACTATGATGCCAACATCACAACTAGCACTCAATATTCCAACTACAGCAAAGTTCTTGTCACATATGAGGTGAGTTAGCAGTCAAATTTCATCTCAATATTTGCTTATCTTCCAAAATTTTGTTGGTTCTCTAAGTCCTTCATTCTTCTGATTGTAGCCCCATCTGAATCTCTACTAAAAGTTCATCCGATGGCCCTTGATACCAACTGAAGAAATTTTGGAACCATCAGACCAGTTAGTTGCTAAGATGCTACCATAGCAAAAGCCAAAAGCACCCATTATTGTAAATTCATGCATTCAGTATCTACGAGAGCTTTTTGGCTCAGCCATGAAAACTTGACAAGATGTATATTGACTTAGCTTTTTCTTCAAGTAAAAAACAATTTATATTATCTTTAATAGTAGAGGAACCATCATTTCATTACTATTATTAAGCTACAAATAAAAATAACCAGAAAAGGTAAAATATTAAAATCTTGCTCGTCATATTTCCTGTTCCAACAATGAATTACAGCTTTTCCCCTAGGAAAATAAACATTACTAGCAATGAGCTTGATAGTTTCTGACATAGTGTGGGAAAAGCACTGTCTGCTAACTAACCTGTGTGAGGGTTGAATTCAAAGACAAAGTTTAAGCATGCCATGGTGACTTGACAAGAGACATAAAAGGATACATGGGCTGTTTGTCACTTAAACCTGTGCTGTTCCAAGAATAAGTTGAAATCCCATCTGATACTTGTTTGCTTTATAAATAAGTATATTCAGTTTCCCAGAAAGTAAATTCCCAGTCCTCAACACTGCATATCTTTTGAGCCGTGACTTACTCACTGGTTCAGTGTTTTGTGGTATGCAACCTGCAAATATAGCAAATAATTAGTAAGATGGCTTGCAAATACTTGCCACTTGAAAAACAGAAGGAAAGTTTGAGAACTAGAAGCATATGATTGGTCAGATAAAGGACTTTCAGGCCCTTGCTTGGGTACAAAAGTTCACTCCATTTATGAAAACTTTTGAAATTTCAGTTTAAGTTAGAGAAAACATATCCAGCTATTTTTTGGGTCAAAAGAAAACTTCTGAAGGAATACATACAGATGTTGATGTTTTAAGCAGCTCTCTTATGGCCATTGTTGCATAGCATGAAGATGGAAGTGTGAGGCTTAACTTGAGAGCCATCTGGGTTTCAACTTCTCTCTCACCCTCCAACCCATTGGTGTCTGCTGGTAGACCTATACCATTATAAGAGCTCACTGATCGTTTTGTGCAATCAGATGAAATTTTGTCCTCGTCTCCCTTGCATTGTTCCTCTTGTTTGATTATGTTCATTGATCTAACCTTGGAAATTTTATCCAGATCTGTCTCTGCCAATGGTTTATTACTGTCATTATATGTAAGTAATTCCCTGAAAGAAAAAGAACAGCAAATGATTGATTTGCAGTATCATCCAGCTATCTAGAGTCTGGACTCTAGACCAAAGAGCTCTATTATTCAAAAAGAAGAATGCATACCATTCAAAGTCCAGTGCCTTCTGAAAAACACGCCTATAACTTCCAGTCATACTGGTTATGGAAAATTCCCTGCAAAGAACACCAGCACACATAACTCACATAACTCCAATCAGAATAGAGAGAGAGAGAGAGAGAGAGAGAGAGTTGGGGGGGGGGGGGGGGGTGGTTACGTAACTTACTTGACACCATGAACGCTTTCAGTCAAATTGATACCATCCTGATCAAAACAAATAAGAATTATTAAAAGCAACATTGTCTACTCCCCAAACTTGGAGGAAAAACAGTGATATATTCAGATGTCTGTTTGTATTGAGAGGGCTTGCGGTGCATTGCCTATCTGCTGAGAACTGAAAATTTAAGACCGTGAAAGGAGAATTGTAACCTGACATAGGCCTTTTAACAACATTCAAGGCCTTGCCATGGGTTCATTCTAAGCCAAACCAGACAGAGACCTGGAATATGCATGCTTATCTTTCTGATATTTTTAAATACCACTTACACTCACAAGCACCAAGATATCCAGAAACCAATTATGTCATGAAGAAGTAGATAAGATGTAGTAAGGTAATAACAACCTTCTTTGCCAAATCATGATAAACTTTGGCAATTTCATTTGTTGGAAAGATAACCCTAGATCTGCCAGAAGAACAGAATTACAGTGTTAAATAAGAAAGAAAAGACAATTTCATAATCAATTTGTGCATAATAATTCATGATTAAGACACTGGTGGAACTCCCTTACCCAGGCATAGGAAGGACAACATCATCAACAGTATAGTTTCCAGTTGAGATATCTTCTGTGGTTACTACCTGCCAGAAGATAGAAAGGCATCTAAAACTCTGCTTACATCATCAAACATAATTGGATAAAGGTTTACCAGTGGCTTATACATCAGATGAACTGCAGAAAGCACTACCAGAAAAATAAATTTCAATGTTCACATATATGGTGCAGAACTATGGATGATACAGTAGAAATGTTCCTAACGACATACAATGCCATGTGTTTGCTAAAAATAACAGACAGATTCATAAAACAGCTATAATATAAGACCTGACCTTCACAAGGGTATTTTTCTTTTCAGGAAGATCAATTCCAGAGGCTTCATCTAAATGACTACAATCATATGTATCGTCACCGTTGTTGTTGTCACATTCAGAATTAACTCCAGCTGTCTCCTTTTCAGTATTATCTCCTTTACAATACACCAAGTCCCCCAAAACAACTTGGTCAGTTCCTGCCACATGCAAATCATATGCTTTATTCACTATGCACACAAGAGAACACAGAAAAATAACATCAGAAAATACAACAGCATACCATATTTTTGCACTCTCTCGCTTGATGCATGGTTCCACAAGTAGCTTTGGTAACTGTGCACATACCTGAACAATAATAAATGACAGGACTGTAAATCTTAAGATGCAAAAACATAAAAAAGGTCACAGCACTTTCCTCCAACAAGACATGTTTCTCTATTACCTCTTTTTATTAAGACTCAAAGAAAACACGGTTAAGCCCTTCAAAGACAATATTCTGTTAAACACTGATGTTACATTTAACATTACCTCATTAGGTCCTAAGCACAAGCATGCAGCATGCATATAAGGTACTGATTTGGGTAGGCAGTGTGCTGCCTTTCTGCAGACTAGATAATGTGTTTTTCAGGCAACATTGCATCAACTATAGAATAATCTCCATGTTATGGTGCATTCATTAGTTAAAAGATTGTGTGTGTAAATTGATCCGTGGGTTTATCGGATGCGATATACAGTAGTGATGTAGGCACCCATGTGTGATGTGCCCAAGATGCTTTCAGAAAGTAATTACATAAATGTGGCACCCCCAGCTCCCTTGCCGATTATCTAAAAGGCGTGATCGGGTGCACCACGGTTTAAAGACCGAAGTCTCAAATTTAATCTCATACACATACACAAGGTACTGAATATCATTACAAAATACAATTTACAAGCAAAGGTAGATCCTATAATTGTCGTGTCACACATGAGCCTTTTTCCGGAAGGAACCGATAGCTTCATTATCAGCATTAGTATCACCTTTACCTGTCATAGCATGAAATAAACACAGAGTGAGCCGAAACTCGATAAGTAGGGTAATGCACGTGATATGCAATAATGATCTCCCGCCTTCCCCACCTTGACTCATCAAATTTTAATTTCGGGTACCTCGAGTATTAGCAAGTCTACTCTATTTTTAATCCGGGTGAACCATAGCTCACCTTCTGCTACAACGGAATTATCCCTCGTTGTAGCCACCGTTAGCGGGAATCCATCGTCTAACGGTGTAGGCACACAACTTAGAGTACGCACACAACTGGAACACTAATACTCCTTTTATCCAGTCTCGTAGTTACACAAACCTCATCGTTTTCGACTCAATGGTTTTTTTCAATTTAATCCATTCTCATATGCATATGATGCACATGATGTATCATGAATCACATTCCACCAAGTCATGAATACTAAACTCGTCGATTCCGCACTATTGAGTTCACATAAGGAATTCAAAACTCGTCTAATAGGGTTACTCTATTTCATGTATCATGAACCACATTCCATATCTCATAGACACCAAACTATTTATGTCCATACCATTTTAGAAATTCAATACACACTTGGGTCTTCGTCAATATTCTCATGGTATGATCCAACTTGACCATTTTAATACCAAGGTCTACTAAGTGTTCTTAGGATGTCCAAGTCCATTTATTTTAATTTAATTCTATTTTATTTTAATTCAAGACCACTCTATTTTAGTCCAAGCTCATTTATTTTTAATCCAAGCCTAAGTCCATTTTGTTTTAATTCAAACCCATTTTTATTCTAACTCAAGTCCATTAATTGTAATCTAAACTCCTTTTTATTTTAGTCTAAGCCCACTTTGTTTTAGACCAAGTCCATCTGTTTTATTCCAAGTCCAATATATTTTAAATCCAAACCCAATCATACATATCTTCCAAACCCATATAGTTATATTAGGGTGGCTTAGGTGTTTAACTAAATACTTAGGCTAACTAAACACCTTAACTAATCAAGTTTAAGTACCTAAACTCATTTCTTTCCATTACATTTCGAAAATACCTCTCCTTAAAGTCAAAATTTTTCTCTGTACCAAATTGGTCATAACTCTTTATATATAGATCTAAAAATCACGAAATTTTACAGAGAGCTAGTAGACACATAGAGGAACAACTTTTATTCTTTGAGTTTTATCCATAAATCACTCTAATATCCCTAAATAAATCACACAAAGTTCGAAACTAAAAATTTTAAACATATGATACATCCAAACGATCTATACCAAATCGGCCATAACTCTTTATATATAGATCTAAAAATCACAAAATTTTACAGAGAGTTAATAGACACATAAATGAACAACTTTTGTTCTTTGAGTTTTACCAAAAATCACTCTAAGATCCCTAAATAAATCACGCAAAGTTCAAAATTTTTCACCTCTAAAATTCGAAAAATTCTCTTTTAAAATTTTTAAAACACATTTCTAATCACATAAAGTTATCACCAAACCAACCCATCACACATGTATAACTATCCATCATCATACATATACATGACATACTTACACATTCTAACCTAAAGTTTACCATGAAATACACATCCAACATTTAAAGTAAATTCATCATCAAAGCATCAAAAATCCATCACCAAACATCAAATTTTTAATATCAACACAAACTACCATAACCACATATTACATGGCTTAAAACAAAAATCCACAAATCAAACATGTAAAAGAGAACTTAAAGCATAAATAAAACTAAAATGAAACCAAAAGAAACCTACTTACAATAATATGTGTTTGGTTAAGATTTCTTAGCGTTTTTCTTCTCTATCTCCTTCCTTTCTTTCCTTTCCTTTTCTCCTTTCTTTCTCGCTCTTTCTTTTTCTTCTTTCTTTCCCTCAAACTCACATTTTTCTCTCCTCTTTTTGAAGGGCACGAATTTTTGGGTAAAAAGAATGACAATGTTTCATCTTTTCATCCAATTTTGATACTACACTTTTCCTTTTTATTTCTTTTACGTTTAATATGCCAAATGTCTAATTTTTGTGATAAGAGAGGTCAATTGATGGAGACAAAAAGAGAGACAAGTTAGAGTGTTTAACCTTTCAAAATTAAGTAAGAAAGTACAAATAAAAGTATGATGTAAGATTTTATGTCACATCACTAACTAAAAAGAGAAACTAAAAGGTAACTAAACTAACCAATTTCCTAACCTTATTTGGTTCATAAAATTCGACCATGACTCTTAAGTGGGATATATTTTTCACTTGCATGGTCATTTTAAATATACATTATGAAAAAATAAATAATAATTAATTAATTTTCAAAGAAAAGTATTCCATGAACAATTTCATACAAAGCCTTATAAGGAAAGAAAGGAAGGAGAGAAAAACGTTAAAAATTTGATGTTTGGTGATGGATTTAGTTTGAATGTTGGATGTGTATTTCATAGTAAAATTTAAGTTAAAATGTGTAAGTATGCCATGTTTATGTATGATGATGAATGGTTATACATGTGTGATGGGTTGGTTTGATAATAACTATATATATGATGAGAGATGTATTTTAAAAATTTTAAAAGAGAATTTTTCGAATTTTAGGAGTGAAAAATTTCAAACTTTGTGATTTATTTAGAGATATTAGAGTGATTTCTAGATAACACCCAAAGAACAAAAGTTGTTCATCTATGTGTCTACTAGTTCTCCGTAAAATTTCATGATTTTTAGATCTATATATAAAGAGTTATGACCGATTTGGTACAGATCATTTGAATGTACCACATGCTTAAAATTTTTAGTTCCAAAATTTGTGTGATTTATTTAGTGATCTTAGAATGATTTCGAATAAAACTCAAATAATAAAAGTTGTTCATCTATGTGTCTACTAGCTCCTCGTAAAATTTTATGATTTTTAGGTCTATATATAAAGAGTTATGGCCGATTTGATATAGAAAAAAATTTTGAGTTTAGGAAGAGGGATTTTCGAAATTTAATGAAAAAAATGAGTTTAGTTACTTAAACTTAGTTAGTTAAGGTATTTAGTTAGCCTAATTATTTAGTTAGACACCTATGTCGTACTAATATAACCAAATGGGTTTGGAAGATATATATGATTAGGCTTCGATTTAAAATAAAGTGAACTTGAAATATAAACAAATGGACTTAGTCTAAAATAAAATGAGCTTGGACTAAAATAAAAAAGAATTTGGATTACAATTAATGGACTTGAGTTAGAATAAAAATGGGCTTGGATTAAAACAAAATAGACTTAGGCTTGGATTAAAAATAAATAGACTTGAACTAAAATAGAGTGATCTTGGATTAAAATAAAATGTAATTAAATTAAAATAAATGAACTTGGATATCCTAAGAACAATCAGTGGACCTTGGTACTAAAATGATCAAGTTGGATCATACCATGAAAATATTGATGAAGACCTAAGTATGGATTGAATTTCTAAAATAATATGGACATAAATAGTTTGGTGCCTATGAGATATGGAATGTGGTTCATGATACATGAAATGGAGTAACCTTACTAGATGGCTCTTGAATTCCTTGTGTGAACTCAATAGTACGAAATCAACGGATTTAGTATTCATAACTTGGTGGAATGTGGTTCATGATACATCACGTGCATAATATGCATATGGGAATAGATTAAATTGAGAAAAACCATTGAGTCGAAAACAATGAGGTTTAACAAGCCGAATCGAATGGAAATTGGATAGGTTTGATAACCTACTCGGATAAAAAAGGTATTAGCGGTCTAGTCGTGTGTGTACTCTAAGTCTGTATGCTCGCACCGTTAGATGATGAATTCCCGCTAACGATAGCTACAACGAGGGATAATTCCGTTATAGCGAGAAAGTGAGCTACGGTTCACCTAGATTAAAAATAACATAGACTTGCTAATACCCGTGGTACCCGAAATTAAAATTTGATGAGTCAAGGTGGAGAAGTCGGGAGATCATTGCATATCACGTGCATCACCCTACTTACCGAACTTCAGCTCGGTGTTTATTTCATGCCATGACGAGTAAAGGTGATACTAATGCTGCTAATGAAGCTATCGGTTCCTCCCATAAAAAAGCTCATGTGTGACACGACAATAATAAAATCTAACTTTACTTGTAAATTATATTTTGTAACTTTTGTAATGATATTCAGTGCCTTGTATATGTGTATGAGATTAAATTTGAGACTTCGGTCTCTAAGCCGTGATGCACCCAGATCACACCTTTTAGGTAATCGGCAAAGGAGTCAGGGGCGTCATAATAAACATGAAGCATAGACTTCTTTCGATAATTCTTTCCAGAGAATAGTTCATCGGATGTGATATACAAGTTGTGATGTAGGCATACGTGTGATGTGCCTAGGATGCTTTCGGAAAACATAAGAGACTGCTTTCTGCTAATTCTTTCTAGAGAGCAGTTCATTTAGAAGTAAATAAGGAAATTATATTCTAATATTGGTTGAATAATCACTTACATCATTCTCGGGGTCCTAGGTATGGCTTTCAGGGCCTGCATGTAGTCCCCAGGACATTTCTTCAAACATTGAAGCTGCATGATATTAAAAAGAAGTACAATGTATAAGATGAAATTCGAGAAGTAAAGAAGTAATCATGCTTATATTGCATCTAGTACAAGTCTTATGGCTGATAGAAGGACATCAACAACATAGCTGGAAAATAAATGGTACAAACAAAGAGCGGAAAGAATCACATTTTGATATTAAAAATTTACTGCTCGAAATATTTTCCATGGAATCACGGATGCTACCAGGGTGTCAAATAAAGAAAGCTACTCAGGAGCAGGGACAGTGGACAACTCACTATGGCCCTTTCAGCAACCAGATGGCGAGGTAGTTGTCTTAGGGTCCCTTCAATATCATTACTTTCCTTATAATATTCTCGTGCCTTCCTTATCACATCTCTTTGTATTTAAAGGTCTGAATCAAGAAAAACAACAGCTAATATTCATCCAAATAATTTTTTTGGATTCCATTGAAAAAAGCCACAGGAGTTAATGGTCCAAACTCCAAACACAGAAATAATGAAAGGATATCTCCTTCTCTTGGATCAAGGATCATGCTTATAGCACTTTTCCACTCTCCTCGGAGCAATGCAGCTCCAATAAAATGCGTTGGCACCGAACCACTTCCGAAACGCTGAAAAATATACAACCTGATGTATAAGTCAAATCATTGGAACTAAAGTATGCACATAAGGTATACTAAGTATTGCAACTGTTGAAGATCAGCAACAACTGTCAGACAACAAATTGCAGGCTACCAAAGGAAATTATCAAGGAAGTACCTGTAAACCAAAGTAGTTAATAAAACCATGCCTTCCTAAGGAATCTGCAGAAGCCTTGATGGTGTCTTCAGAATCTGCAACAACTCCTCTAAGGAAATATGTAAAAGCTGTAAGTCCAAATCATGAGAGATTGGAGAGTGAATATAACCATGAATGATTTTTTGTTTTTTGTTTTTAATAATGAATCAAACAACATATTTAGCATCCAATAAAACAAAAATGTGGATTTCATGTGTGGAAAAGCACTCCCACCTTAGCGTGACTGTGAATCGATTTCCCAGGAGCTGCCCAAGAAGAAGTCCTTCTTTGACATGGCTGGAGAATAATGCAGGTCCAACTTATGAAAGGGTCACACAACATAATCGGAGGAAAAGACACAAACTCGATGTTAGAGCTTACCAGAAGTCACCCACTTTGATACCAATCAACCTGTCATTAAGAGCAGCTAATCTACTTGCATGTTGCTTGAAAACAGTAACCTGGAAGCAAAAAAAGATTTTCTCTTCTGAAACATCTTCTCCGCATGGACTCAAAAAATAAGGTAAATTATCTAATGCCCAAGAATATAACACCACATGCACACATGCGGATGAAGTAGATAGTCTGCACAAACATGCACACATACTAACTGTAAGCATATACTAAATACTCATCCCCACACATGCATCCTACTTTAGGAGAACTTACATTAAAATTGCATGGAATTCCATTTTGGTAACATCCAAAGTGAGCAATAGAGTACAGGTTGGAGCAAATGACTTTTGATAATAAGAAACGACCATAATGACATTAGCAGCAGATTTAGTGACAGAGAAATGACTTACTCTTTGAGTTGAGACAGCACGTTTATCCTTTGTACCCGCAAAACCAAATGATCGAGTCTGTCAAACAAAGCTATGGATCAAAAGGCAGAACATCATTAAATTATGATGAAAGCATAATATTGAGCACATTAACAATTTAGACAGGGAGAAATGGAAGCAGCATACAACTGAGATCATTCCCCAGAAACAAATTTTGAAAAGATAGATATGGGAATAAATTTTTATCCTCCAGAACTGCTACTTTAGCACTGCAGTGATCAGTTAACAAGAATCCAAGTGATGAGCCAAAAAGGCGAAATTAAGTCAATACTTTCACATATTACGGGTAATGTAGGAGACTTGCTCTATATCTTTTTATTGTTGCAACAAGAAGTGAACCAAAATAAACCGTTTTTCAGTAATTCAAACAAGCTGTACCTGAACGCCAAGCATCTTTCCTATAATTCCTAAGGCCTCCTGTGTATCCTTGTTCTCCTTGTAAAGATGAAACCTGAAATTTTTATTAACAGTGTCTTTCAGGAGTTATTCGATGCCAATTAAAAAGAACTCTATCCAAAAAAGAGAGAAAGCTACATTGAAAACTAGAAACCATTGATGAGCAAAGGAAAGTTGCAACTTTGAACAACCAATAATTTGTCACTTTTATCATAGAGGTACAAGTTACAGTTGTTGCTTTACATCCAATGGCATGTACTTTAATAAAAGATAAGTTGTATTGTCTCTGTTTCCATTGAATAATAACATAAAGGTTTAGGATAAAGTTTGGTAAATTTGTCACCTGCATGTGAAAAGTGCACATGTTGAGAGACAGGAGCACACAATTAAGAATGTCGCTTTGCATGTGAAAAATGCACATGTTGTGAGACAGGAATGCACAATTTAGATTTTGAGTGCACACCATTTTTCTAATAACTGATTCACATGTTCTAGTCTACGCTATACTCATTGGATGGTTCGGATTATGGAAATACATACAGGACCAAAACTCATAATCCCTATCGTACCCTTGTTTGTTAGTTACATCAATTAACAACAGCTTTCACTTTCTTATTTTACTAAAATATCCACCCTGATCTGATGACTCCTCTGTCATGAATAGATAAAATTAAGGTTTCTGTGATCAACTGGTATTAAAACAAGGATGGATTGTCTCCTCGATTGGTGAATGTTTGAAACCATTAAGGTTTTATAGGCATGATAACTAAAGGAATATAACAAGAAAGCATTGAACTTTGGGCTGTATAAATTGCATAGCAAGCCACCTCATACACCCACTACCTAAGAAACTTGCCGATATGCTCTGGCCAATTACTTGAACCTCTGCTATCAAAGGGCTTATCGCCTCTTTCTTTCCGTTTCCTAGAATTTCTGCCATTGTTCTTAAGTCCTCTAGAATCTAATCTCACACGAATACATTTTGATGAAGCATCTGGTCCGTCAGTGGTGTCAGTGACAAGGAACTTGAAGTTCTGCTTGAAGAAATTATGCACTGCCTGAAAAATTCAACATAGCAGTGAACTAATAATACAAAGGTATGAGACTTGGCTAAACCCTGTATCTTACTTTTGACATCTAAAACCAAATTAAGATTGAATTCATTTAGTTTGATTGAAAGCATTCAAAAAAACCAAAAAAATTCTCCCTTAACATAAAGATCTAATTCATTATAATTGTAAGGACCAAAACTAACTGCACATGCCAACTTTAAACCTTCAAACTTCACATTGAAGATACAAAATGTAACTTTTCAACTTGAGAACTAACCGTTCGATGTGCCTTATCTGAATCCGGAAAAAGCACAATATGTGAAACACTCTCTTCACTTCCATTCCCAGAATTAACTAGACTAATAAAACTTTTCAACTTCTCTGCATCAGAATCACCAGCAAGTGATCTAAACAATTCAATTTCAGCTTCATAACTCTTTCTTTCACTCATTTTCTCATCAGATACCTTTGCCTCACACTCCTTAGTCTCCTCCACCACCTGAACCAAAAAAAAAAAAAAAAAAAAACAATCTTCACCCTTTGAAAACATACCCAAAAAACACATGAAGTAACAAACTTTACAAAGAAATCCAATGAGGAGTAACAAACCCACCTGAGGAGGAGGCTCGAAACAGGTCAAGTGAACCACATTTCCATCAGTATCGACTTCATTAACAATAAAATCAGCATACCTGAAAGACACTCAAAATAATAACAAAAAGATTCAACCTTTAATGAACCCCATTTGAAATCAAGTGCACCATATGCTTGTGATTTTGGACATGTCCACTAATAGAGTGTTTATGGGGTTGTGGAATTTGAGGAATTACTTGCCTTTGTTTGAGGATGCCACGAAAACCAGGGAGTTGGGAGATGTAACAGAAGATGCCAACGTCGGATTCTTCCATGGTTTTCGATGTTGCCATTGTTAACAAGCAGCGATTCACAGAAGTTGAACTTGAACGTTGGTTGCTGTATTTTGTAGGGTTTTAGAACCTTTTGAAGCAGCTTTCACTGTGCCACGTTTGGGGTTTTACTGCTTCTCTAAAACTCGTGGGTAAAAAGCATAAGAAATAATTAAATTTAAATATAACTTTTTTATTTATTATTATAGCGAGAGCCTGAGAGGTCCGGCAGTGAGGATTATTTCTCCAAACAATTTTAAAGATGAAACTCTACTTTAACCTAATGCGATTTAAATTCATCAAATTAAGGAAGAAGGAAGCAATTTTAAATACAATCAATATAAATAAAAAATGCACACACTAGAACATTACTAGCAAAATTTTCAACAAAAAAAAAAAATCTACCAATAATCATTTATTATCCAATTTTTTTTAATAATTATCTTCTTTTTTGTAAGGATATGTTAAGTTTTTAGCCTTTTTTTTTTTTTTTTTTGGTCAAAGGTATCCGTGGAACATCCGTGACCCAATCAAATGTAGGCTATTTATGATGGGGTGAGAAGATTGGATTCATGAGAATTTTACTTGTCACGTACCTGATTTTTTAATTTATGGGCTAACAATTAAAAACATTATCTTAGTCATTAAATCAACTCTCGTTTTTCTTATTTATCATGTTCAGCCTCTTCGAATTTAGTACATTTGTATAGGGGTAATCATTTAGTTTTTTATTCAGTTTTTAATATCTTGATTCGATTTTTAATTAATCAAAGAAACAGAATTTCTATTCTGATTTTTAGTTTTTGGGCGTTTGTTTTTATGGTGGAAACCAATTTTTTTTTCAAATTTTCATCAATTTTTAAAAAATAATGTAATAGACAAAAAATTATATTATGCATTATAGAATCCTTCTTCTAGTCAAAATAGTTTAAATTAAAAAGATAATAAATGTTTGTTTAAGTAAACTATTACCTTCGTGATTCATGATGGAAATATATTCAATTTAGCAAAGAAAATAATATAGTTGATAGTATTAATAAAAAAGACATGATATTAATCATTAAGATGTTCCAACCATGATAGATATATGAGTTAATGATTCATTAACTTTCAAATTTTGCCATTCTCTATTAAAAAAACACCTATTAAGCCAAATAATAATCTATCTAAGTATTTAAGTTTGAAAAATTCATATATCAGACAACTAAAAATTGAAAATTTACCAATGTCACTCAAAATATCATTGATCCATGGTATAACTATAATAATATTAAAATATTAATTTATTGTTTATTTATATTATTTCAAAAAATAAAAAAATTAGAAAAAAAATTTAAAAATTGACTTTTGCTTTAAGCCGAATGCAACTTTCAAAAACCGAAATAAATTTGGTTTAGTTTCTTTTTTTATTTTTTAATTCAAAACCGAACCAAAATCGATATTTCGATTTGGTTCGATTTTTCAATTTAAGCTATATTTTGGCATGGCACCACTTATATATTTATCTCGTTTCACGTGCAATATTTAAGTCATTTTATATTTGGGTTGTATGACTTCAAAAATTGTTTCAAATTTTTGGCTTAAGATACTCTATTATCAAATAAGAAATTATTAAATAAACTTGGTTCATCATCTGGGATTATGAACCAACCAATTGTGAAAAATCATACATATCACCTTACAATAGCATTTGTTATGGGGGAGAAAAAAACAACAACAACAAAGATTTCATTTATTATAAGAGAAGAGAATACCAAGATTCATGCAAATCTTGATATATATCTATTTAGTTAATACTATTCTCTTATTTCCTTTATCTACGATGAAGGAAAAAAACAAAGAAGAAGAAGAAGAAAAACACTGGTTCTCTTTTGTATTATGATTAAATAAAATTATACATCTTTTCATAATTGATCGGTCTATAATCTCAAGTTATGAATTAAATTCACTTAATAATTTATCAATATCATAATTTGTATGCAATTTTTTTTTACTGACAAGAGGTATTGATAATTCCACTAAACATTTATTTATTTAAAGTTTTAAATAATGACTATTTATATTACATAAACAATGCATACAACAAACAATATGTCTTGTTTTATAATTTCAATAGCCAACTACTTTTAACGAGGTAGTGAAAAATTGAATGCTTGTCTTTATTTAAATTTTGCAATTATTTTTTTTATTTGAATGTCTGTATCTTTATTTTTATTTTTTAGAATGCTGCTAAATTCATCATTAAATTTGTTATTTCCACTGCTTGTTTTTATTTAAATTACTAACACATATTACCATCAATATTTGCTATTATGTCATATTATATTTCTTCGCTGCAGTACCCGTTGTTTATAAAATTGAAAAAAAAAAAAGGCAAAATGAAGGAATGAAGATGTAAATCATGTTATAGGATGGAACCCTTCTTTTGGTGAGTTATTAAGAAATCCTACAAAATAACGAAATAAAATAAAAACGAGAAATTCCTCAAAACATGATGCTACTTCCTTTATCTTTTTTATTGTTGTTTTTGGATTCAAGACATTAGAGTTTCTTAATAATTTTAAAACAAAATACCAAAAATAATAACATACGTATTTATACATCGAACATGTTATTAATAATTTAACAAATTCTAATGAAGACAATTAATTGAAAAAATAAAATAGAAGTATAGATATTTACATAAAAAAATAAAAATATCGACTCTTGATTGAAAAGAAAAAATATATATAGATATGCAACTGACAAAAAAATAGAGGTGCAAACACTCGAGTAAAAAAGAAAACTTCTATAAATACAGTCACATAACTTTTTCATTCCCATTCTCGAAAAAAAAAAACACAATCTCTTGTTTTTACTACAAATCTCTAACTTTTTCCATAACATTGGCCTTTTTTTTCCACCAAACTTCTTATTGAAAAATTATCAATATTCACATGAAACTAGGGTCTATGGACAACTATTCTAATGGATTTCAATTTTATGTTATTGGAAAAATATAATGCTCACAGAATACTGAAGTTTTTTTTTTTTTTTTTTTTTTTTGCTTTTCTCGATCCTTACTATTCTCGTACTGTAAATCGCCAAGTGAAGCTACATTATATGACTTGGGATTGATTGATCTAACGGCATTTTAATCCTTCTACAAAGCTTAACAGTGAAATCTAACGAAATAACTTTAAATGATTAGGAATAATATTTGTCCGAAACTTGGATTGAACAAATTTGGTAGTAGAAGGTTTAATGTGCCGAAACCTTAACAACAGGGACTAAAAATGCCATTACCTAATTTGTTTTTGTTTTTTGTTTTTCTTCCATATATATTTATTTATTACTCATCTGTTATCAAGGTTCCAAAAGGTCGAGGTATTTAACGACAACAGTCAGCAGATCCACAAAGAAAACCGGCCTAAGAACCAGAGTTAAGAGAGTCCACAGACGTAGAAACGCTCGAAGAGAAGGAGAGAGAAGCAGAGCAAATATGGTGACCAAAACAGAAGAGACGCAATTGAATAGATTGGAGAGTCAAGTGGACAATGGAGGAGGAGGGGCATGGGAGTATCTCTGCTTGGTTAGAAAGCTCAAAGTTAGGCGTTCTGACAAGGTGTTAAAGCATGGTTTGTCGATCTTGAATGATTCCAAGAAAAGATCCAGTCTTGGCCCTGAAGGTTTGTAATTTCTCTCTTTTGGTGGGTTCTTTTATTGGTTTTCTCATCTGGGTTTTGCTCAATTATGATAAGTTTCGAGTCTTTCGGATTGAGTTTTGTTTCTGGGTTTGAAAGTTTGGAGCTTAACTTGAATTGGGTTTGAGTAAGTATTACTGCGATTGTGTAATTTGGTTAGGTAGTTATAAACTTGTTTGTTTCTTTGTTGAATAATTGAGATTTGAGGTTTTTAAACTCGATTTTGATTGCTTATGGATTGCAAACACACATTTTGTGCTGTTTTTTTCAATGATTTAAAGCTCCCTTTTTAATGAATCACAATTACCCATTTGTTGGATGTATACTGATTCATTGGTACTTCTTTTTGATGTAGAATGGACTCTATACGAACAGGTTGCAATTGCAGCCATGGACTGCCACTCTCTTGATGTTGCAAAGGTATTAATCGTTTCATTTTTAGCTTAATGTTTTTTGGAATTTAGTTACAAATCCTTTTCACTTTAGGTGCTTTAGCAGATGTTTCTGCAGATCATGGAAGAACCAATTTCTGTAGATTGAGAATGGTTAATATATTCATTATCCATGGATTGTTCCATCTCGTGCTTGTTTCACTCCTTTGATTGTTCTTATAGTCAATAATCTAGCTTAGGCTTTCAGTAGGAGCTATTGCAAAATACACTGGTTGTGCATTTCTATGATACGTCCTCATGCCTTGAGATGTCATCGGTTCGAAGAAATCAAACTCATATCCATGTCCAATGTACTTCTTAGTTCTTCTGATGTTAAATATGGTATTAATCCTTGCATTCTGCTTGCTGGTGAAGCAATATTTTGCACAAATTATTGTTCTTCTGTGAGTTAGTTGATATTTACCCTGGTATTAGCTTTAGGTTTTGGTGATGGTTGATTTTCCGAAGGTCGGATGGCAGTTAGTACTTATTTGGTTCCAGGATGAGTGCCTTTTTTGTTATTTTAGAGTTTATCTTTGCTTCTATTCTTTGTTAACCCTTGGCCCATATCAAGGATGTGCTTAGAATGTCCATTTACATCACATTATTCACTAAATTATCTCGTTCCTTGGCCTTTTCTATTCAAATTGAAATTTCATGATAAATTTTTTAAATTTCCTGAACATTTTAATTGAGAAAATCAGGGTAAATTGAGAATAGAAAGATTTTTGGACTATTTGTCATTGAAACTTTATTCATATTTCCTTTTTTTTATGTCTTCTTTCCTCTCTCACTTGTGCAGTGCCTTTCAAGGTAAGTGCTATATACTTGAGTCTTGCATTCGTGTGTTTGTATTTGAGCTTGTCTGACTCAACTCATATGCTTTTTCTGGTTACTAATAGTTGGTTGGTAAGAGATTCTCTGTTTTGAAGTTGATGCAAATTTAAATCTGCAATCTTTTGCAGGACTGCGTAAATGTGTTGCAGAAGAAATTTCCAGAGAGCAAAAGAGTTGGTAAGTTAAAAAAAAAAAAAACGACGAACTATATAAGTGCACTTCAGTGGTTATGAGTCTGCATGGAAACTGATAACAATTTTTTCAGCTTTCTTTTTGTTTATGATTGTCCAACTGCATGTGATGCATAATCCTACATGGCCAAGTTTCCTCCAATTTAATAACTCTCCTGCATCAAGAAATTCTAAGATCACAGTTTCCTCATTTTAAATTGTTCTCCAAGGTGAGATGACTGTTTGATTTTTCTTGAGTGTTAGCGTGGATACCAAGGCTCTGGACTTCACATTGGAATATCTAAATGTTAATATTATGACCATACACATTCTTTCTTGTGGCTTTAGGTGTTTACTCAAGAGTTATAAGTGATGGAGTGGGCTGGATTTGGTCGTTGCTTCAAATCTTAGAGGTCCTTATAAGACTTGCGTAGTGTGGGAGTAGGAAGGGAAATGGAGATTTCTATGTTTTTTTTTTTTAATAAAATGATGCTTAATGTGCATCAGTTAAATTGGCCTGTAATGCTGATTAGGACCAAATGATCTAATATAAACGAGTTACGTATTTTTTCGAGGCTGTTATAAATTTTCATTGCTGGGCTCTGCCATGCTTGGCCGATTTAAATTTGAGAACATGAAGATTTCCTATTGCATCTTTTTCCAGCAGTAGTTTGAGTCTCCTTGTAGGGAGTATTATGGAGTATTGTTATTTGGATCTTAACATGTGTGGCATGGTTTTTTGTTTTGACACATATCACAGGCAGACTGGAGGCAATGTTGCTTGAAGCAAAGGGATCTTGGGGACAGGCAGAAAAGGCTTACTCAAGCCTTTTAGAGGACAATCCTTTTGATCAGGTAAATTTTTTAAACGAAGTTCTTTTGAAATGAAATTCCTTATAAAGCCCCTCATTGTGCTGTCTTTCTCAACTGTGAAATGTTCTTGGTGTTAATTAACAAGAACTGATATTCAAATCAGAATAATATTATTTTTTCATATGTAGGTAGTACACAAGAGAAGGGTAGCTTTGGCAAAGGCCCAAGGCAATTTGTCAGGAGCGATTGAATGGCTCAATAAATATCTTGAAACGTGAGACAGTTCTTGAAACCCTAATTTTGTCCCTGTTTTGGTGATCCTAGTTTAACACAGGACTGAAGTTTGGTCTTTTGTTTTTTTCCTCTTTGCCTTCATTAGATTTATGGCTGATCATGATGCTTGGAGAGAGCTTGCTGAGATATATGTCTCCTTGCAAATGTGAGGATTTTTCCTTTTTCACACACACAGATATATATATATATATATATATATAAGGAAAAATACTGTCCATCAAATTACTTCTCGTCTGTTTCTGTTGTATTCTTTATCAGCAGCTTGAGCCGTTTCTGCCTTGATAAATTAGGTACAAGCAAGCAGCATTCTGCTATGAGGAGCTGATATTATCTCAACCTACAGTTCCACTCTATCATTTATCCTATGCTGATGTGAGTAACTTCTTTATTTTGGTTATATCATCTCAACCTTCAGTTTCACTGGATCATCTAGCCTATGCCACTTTATCATCCTGCTTCTTTAAATGATTAACCACTGCTGAAGCTATTGTTTTGCATTAGTCTTATCTTAAACAAAGAGCTTGTAAATAAAAGTATTTAGAGAATAATTTTATCCTGGTAATTTTATCCTGGCTGCTTGATTTGAGGTACCACAACATATAATTCACCAGTATATTCAAATAAGATACTGCACTTTGACATCTCACTGAACCTTGCTGGGGGAGATGCTTAAAGAATTCAGTAAATTTATCCTTGCTTAGACTTTTATTTGGCACTTCAAACAATTGTAGGAATTTGGATAGAATGCCAATTTATGATCTGTAACACAGGCAATGAACACAGTTCATGATAACATATGCTAATATGTTATTAAGTGTGCACAGGAATAGCAACACAGATCAATTCATATATGACTCACTTTTTTTACAATTACTAAATTGCCTTTGCTTTCTTGAACCAACAGGTTCTTTACACTCTTGGTGGACTCGAAAACCTTATGACAGCAAAGAAATATTATTCTTCCACCATAGAGTTGACTGGGGGCAAGAATACCAGGGCGCTTTTTGGTATTTGTTTGGTGAGCTACCTCCTCCTCTGTGTCTGTGTGTGTGCAAATATTTTACATGTATTTGGGGTGATGCTGGCTGTAAAATTAGTTGTTTAGGTTCTCTTTTCACCTTCCTATGAAGTTCCCATCTAAGATTTGTATATAGTCCATTTATTAGCTTCATTATCCTTAGGAATTTGGAGCTTGCTTTTGTCCTACGCTGCGGCTTGGACATGGTTTCTGAACTGTGTTATTAACAAGGAAATTATGGTTCTTCTTTGCAGTGTACATCAGCCATTGCACAGCTTTCAAAAGGACGAAACAAAGAAGACAAGGACAGTCCAGATTTGCAATCGTTGGCAACAGCAGCTTTAGAGAAAGAGTACAAGCAGAGAGCTTCTGGCAAACTCTCTGTGCTCACTTCAGCTTTTAAAAGCTTGAAAGTTTCATCATAACTCATTCCTTTTTCTTGAAGATTTTCATTGTTGCCCCAGACTCTAAAAGCTGAAGTGGCCCAGACAAGCTAAAATTTATAAACATTGCAGATTCCATATAATTTAAATGAGTTATAGTATTGGTCTTTTTGTTGTTTATTTTTCCTTTGATATTTTCCTTTGCTGAGGTCCTTAATATGAGGATTTCATGCATGATTTGTAATGCTCAGTTTGCAGAGTAGGAAAGTTAACAAGGCTTTTTTCCTCTCTTGCACAAGTTTAGATTTTATCCACTCTCTGGTCCCTGCTTTCCTTGTTTCGAATTCTCTGTTTTACAATGCTAGATTTATGGAATATGAGTAGGCTGGATGTTGGATTGAATAAATAGATATGTAAAGTTGCTCTTGTGAGTTATTGCAACTAACTTATTCTTGTGAATTTGATGTGTGAATTCTTGGATGCTTATGATTCCAATGGTTTTCGTTTTACCATATAAAGTTTATATGATGCAATCATCCTCGAGATTCGTGAGAATGTAGTAGTATACTATTCCTGGTCGAGTGCAGAGAAGATAACTTTTGCTTTCGAGCAGTTAAAAACTTGGGATGTTTACCATTGAAGTGGGGATTTTGGAAATGGGAAATTGTTACCTTGCATTTTCCAACTCAAGTTTATCGAGTATCATGTTTCTGACAGTTCAGATAGCCTTTTGCCCTTTACAATCAAGGTTATGTTCCTCAAGCCACCTTATCATTCTTTGAAAAACTTAAAAAAATGTGTTAATTAATTTATATAATTTTAGTTTTTTTTTAAGACTGCGTGAAAATTTCAATTTTCAATTATGAGCTAAAATTTATGAATTAATATAAAAAAAAAAATCGAAGTTGTAGATCCTTAATTTTTGAAAAAAATAATTTCTTCCGCATGGACTATATATATTACTAATTACTAATAAAACTAAAACAAAATGCAAAAATCACTTCTTTTTTTTTACTGTCATGAACACTACTCTGTTCTTTCATTTTTTAAAAAACTTTTGCTTGGATCTCAAACTTTATTTATATTTTATTTTGGTCTTTGACTACATGAAAAAGAGAGGAACAAAGACAGAGAGAAGAGGACAACAAGATCCATTTTGGCCACTTCAATTGTTGAACCCCACCATAAATTTATTTATTTTGAAAAGTAGAATTTATCTGTACTAGTCACAAGTCATGCAATAGTTAGAGGAGGTAAATCAATATTTGAAAATATTTTAAGTTTTTTAATTTTAATTTAAACTTTTATGTGCATTAAAATATGTTCTAATGTATTAAAATAGTCGTGAGTTATGAAATAGTTGTAGCAGGTAAATCAATATTCGAAAATGTTTTGAGTGGGTCTACTTGGGCCCAGAACCAGATTCTAGTGGGCAAGCCTGCTCCTAGCTGTTTTGTTTTTCTTTTTTTTTTTCTTTTTTTTTTTTTTTTGCTTTCTTTTTCCGTAATTCTTTTTTATAATTTTTTGTTATTGATTTTTTGAAAACAAAATCATGAAAGATCAAATATTTATTATTTTTGGGTTTCTCATACAGTTTAGCGGTGATAAAATATATATAATATGTTTTAGATAATTTATCTTGGATTTTATTTTTATGTTTTTCGTTTTACACATTCTCAACCTATTAAATATAGTTATGATGTATAAAAAAAATTAAATCATCAATTTTATTGAAAATTAACTATACATTTATAAACATAACATTAACCATTTGCTATTATTTTTTATATTGTAAAAATAATTTATTTGAAATAAAAAGTTTAAAATAATTTTTTAAAAGAATTACCAAACGATTCAAAATCAATTTTTTATACTAATATTATTGATTATTTTGTGAATATATATATATATCAAATGCATATATTTTCAAAAAATAATTTCTCATCGACATTAAATAAGAATAAAAATTTATTTTTATCATTTATTATTTTTCATACAAGTCTATAAATTAATTATAATTTTTATTTTTTTATACTATGTTATGAAAAACATATTTATTTTTTGAAATTTTGGATTAATTTTTCATTTTAAAGTATTATAAGTTTTTATTTAAGAATCAAGGAACAAAAATTCGTTTTTTTAAATAAAAAATTATTAAATTTTAAAATAATTTTGTTTTACTTAACCCGCACAAGACAGCGAAGGCAACCGGCTAGTGTGTGTACCCAAACCCTATTGGGGCTTTATATATAATGGACCATCATTGGCTGTCAGTTTCCACTCCACGGCAGCAGCAGTAGAAGCAGTGGCAGCAATCGAACCCTAATACTGCTTGCTGCTCTGTAAACATGGCCGTCGGGTACACCATTCCTTCCCTTTCTAGAATCTTTTCAATCTCTTTCACTCTCTCTCTAGTTAATGACATGTTTTGTTTCGTTTCGTTTCGTTTCGCAGGAAGAACAAGAGGATTTCAAAGGGAAAGAAAGGAGGAAAGAAGAAAGCGTAAGTTTATCTACCAGAATTAAAATCCTTTTTTTTTTTTTTTTGTTATTATGCATACATTTAGAGATTTGATGGTGGGCTGTTTCTGATTTGATGGGGGAAAAAAATGAAACAGAGCCGACCCATTTTCAAAGAAGGATTGGTATGTTGTGAAGGCACCATCTGGCTTCACTAACAGAGATATTGGTAGAACCCTTGTCACCAGAACCCAAGGAACTAAGGTCTTTCTTCTTCTTTTTTCCCCTCTTATATTGTTAGCTATTGTTGTTTGCCTTAATTTTTCATCAAACGACATTGTTCCCGTTGCTATTACTTTCGGTTCAAAAGAGGGGATAATTCATATTTTCGTCGAAGTGTTCTACTTGTGGATCTATTTTAGTTTTTTTTTTAAATGTTGAGTTTGCTTTAATTTCTTCGAAAATATAAGGATAAATAAAAAGTAGAATTTTTTATCAACAGAAATTGTAATGCATTTACCTACGTGACTTGGATTTGGCTTTGATGTTAACAGATTGCTTCTGAGGCCTTGAAACATCGAGTTTTTGAAGTATCTCTTGCTGATCTTCAAAACGACGAGGATCATGCCTTCAGGAAGATCCGCCTCAGAGCTGAGGATGTGCAAGGGAAGAATGTGCTGACAAACTTTTGGGTAAGTACTTTTATGGCATTTTTTTTTAATATAATGGAACGAGGATCATTACAACTAGTGATTCTGCTTGTCAGTATTTGTTATATTGAAATTTTCTCGAAATTTTCTTTTCCTTCTATGTTTCAGGGGATGAGCTTCACAACCGACAAGCTGAGGTCTCTGGTACGCAAGTGGCAGACACTTATTGAAGCCCATGTGGATGTCAAGACCACTGATAATTATACCCTCAGGATGTTCTGCATTGCATTCACCAAGCGTCGTCCAAACCAGATCAAGCGAACATGCTATGCCCAGAGCAGTCAGATCCGTCAGGTTTACATTCCTCTACCTCAATTATGTTGTAAATTGATTATTCACTAGTTGCATCTGTTAAATGTTGGTTCATGTGCTGCTCCCATTGTCAGATTCGTAGGAAGATGATGGAAATTATGGTCAACCAGGCTTCATCTTGTGACTTGAAAGATTTGGTTCAGAAGTTCATCCCTGAGGTGATCGGCAAGGAGATTGAAAAGGCAACAACTAGCATATACCCATTACAAAATGTCTTCATCCGGAAAGTCAAGATCTTGAAGGCACCCAAATTCGATCTTGGAAAATTGATGGAGGTATATTTCACTTTTTTCATACTTTCATGTAAAAAAATTCAAATTGCACCATTCAACATGCTCATTGGAATGGCTTTTGAGTGCTGATGTGTTGATGCTGGTTGGGGTGTTCCTTTTTGGCTGTTCATGTGCAGGTTCATGGTGACTACTCACAGGATATTGGTGTGAAGGTGGAGAGGCCTGCTGATGAAACAATGGCGGAGGGGAGACTGAAGTCGTTGGAGCTTGATTGAGCATCATTTGCTTCAGTTTTCAAAATTGGCATTTAAACTGGAAATTTTACATACTAGAAGAAATTTTTTGTATTTCAATACTGTTATTTAGATATGGATCCCTTTCTTGTACCCTGGATTTGAGGTTTCTTAATTTATACTCAAATTTTGGGATGCAGTATGTTTAATTATCCAATGTTTTATTCATTTTAATGTTTCTTTAGAAACATTATATGGGATCTTCCGAAATTGCTTCCTTACAATCTCTTTGACTGACGCACTTGTGGGCTGCCCAAATCTAATGTGTAAAATCTAATGTGTAAGGCAGCTGGTCAACAAAATATTTTCTTTTATAAATAATGTAAAACAGATGGGTTAAACTGTAGCTAAAAGAAACCAAAACGTTGAGATTCTTACGTTGTTGTTTTCCAAAAAGAAAAAAGGTGATTTTTTTGTTATTTTATTCGCTTTTTAACATTTAGTCACTCAAGGTTTTATTATTACATAACAGTCCCTAAATTTAATTTTTGTTACAAAAACGTCTTTTCATTTTTTATGGCTGGTCTGTGCTTCTGGCCCAGTGGATGGATGGGCCTGTTGCGAACCCAGCCCAGCATTTGATTTTTTTCTTTTTTATGCTTTTATTTTTTTCATTATTTATTATTTACTTACAATATTTTTTTTATAATTAATGGTTTTTTTAGACTCATTAACTAAAATTAAAGACTTTTCTAATATAATTTACTCAGCCAATTTGGTTTTTTTAAAAAAATTAATAATTAATTGTATTTTTTTATTGATTAAAATCAAAAATATTACTAGGATATAATTAAAATTAGTTATCAAATAAATGCATTTTATTAAATATTGCGTAATATATATTAAATTAAAAAAATTCAACAATTTATGTTAATTAATTTTTACTTTTCCCTAGATTTTTTAACTATTTAAATATTAAAAAAATTACTGGTTATTTTTTCATTTTTTTTATAGACACATTAATTAAAATTAAAAATTCTTCTAATAGAAATTGATTTAGCATATTTTTCAATTTTAAAAAATTAATCAATTGCATTGTTTTTAATTAATCAAAATCAAAAAATTTGTAGAATATATTTGGTGTGTGGGTGGGTGGTGGTGGCGTGCGGGTTGTTGGGTAATCTAGGATGGTTAAAGTCCGAGTCCACCCATCGGGAGTCAAACCCTATCCGGACTGAAAGTTGCACTATACCTAGATCCTCGTTTTGAAGTCCTAAAGGACTTGTATCTCTAATTCCTATCATATAACAGCTTGGTTTTATGTCAACAGCACTTTTCTTTTAGTTGGAACTTGAGACTCGGTGGTCTCCAAGGCTGAAAGCGCTTTGGCAAACAAAGAGCCACCCAAAAAAAAAAAAAAAAATGAACAACTTGCAAAGACAGGCACAGGGTTCACATTCAACGAAGAAGACGGAGGTAAAAATAAGTCATTCCATGAGGTGCTGCGTATCACAACTAGCACACCACACAGTCTCTTTGATCTTCTGCAACGTCCCAGTCACTCTTCTACACCAGTGCAGGTATTTTTGCAAGTCCTGAAGAAAGATTCTTTTATGTATGCATAATTGAAGCACTGGGCTGTCCCTTTTTGTAGGGATACTCACCTTTGGTATTGGCTTCCTTTTGATGCATTTCTTAACGGATGCTTTTATTCCATTACAAAGGGTAGGCTAAATAGGAGTGTTTATTTATACTCATCAAATACGCTACTTTGATTTCGAAAATGAGCAATTTAGATCAATCTAATTGCCTAGTAGTGCTTCCACTCACTCAAAACATATGGGATTTTTGAAGACTCTTATCAATTTTCCTTACACCAAGAATAAGGAATTGCATGCATTGCTGATGAAAGAGTATGGCGTTGCCGAATCATAGGACCAAAATGCTTGTTGTGAAAGACAAAATCGAGCCGCCAAGGCTTTGGCAATATCCTGCAGTCATCAAGAACTCAGGAGAGTAGTTAGGCCTCATCGATCATCATGTGATTTGATTATTTGAAGCTCTAGATCTTTGAGCTCCCAAATTCATCTCAGAAAGTTGGAGTTATCCTTCAGCACTCTGATCCTTCAATGTTGTGTTTTATTGTCAAATATTGCCTAATAATGTACCGTTTACATAGAATAGTAGTGAAGTGCTTATCCAAAACATTTGTCCTCAAGGACCTGAACTTTGTAGTTCAAAACTTCAAATGGCAAGCAAAGGGATAAAAAAGACAGCAATTCTAACTTCTCACCGATTATACTGAGCTCACACAAAGACAACATAATACAAAAAATAAAAATAAACAAAATTGAAACTAAAATTTTACGACCAACTTATACAAGTGTATAGTTATACTACAGGCACGGATTTCATCTTGTACAACACATCTATTATTATAGATACAGGGCATAGATTTTCTTGGAATGAGTTCTATAAGGGATAACAAGCAAAGTCTTATTGTACTATTATACATTGAGAAACTTGATTGGTAGCTGAAACTCAAACAAGTAAACAGCATGCCGCATGAGTGGCTGAAATTCATTGCTCACATGGTGGGTTGAGAGAAGGGGACGGGGAGACAGATCTCAGAATCAACTTTCTACCCCTCTTCCAAGCAGCTGATGACCCAAAACCATGATGAGGAGGTGAAACCCTCTTGCAGTTTGGAGAGACTGACTTAACTCCCCTTGTAGGCGAGCAATTGCTGTTCAGAACCTCAGGGGTTCCATCTTCTGGAATGACCTGAAGATGCTTCTCATATTTAGGCTGGTGATAGAAAAAGTTTGTTCTGAACTTTTGGATGGTGCGTATTTTAGTTGATGGACCAACATCACAAAAGGAAGATCCTGGAGGCTGCCCACTAATGGGGATTTGTGGATGAACTGGAGACCTACATACATTTAAACCTTTAATATTTAAAACAGATAACATGACCAGTAAATGCTATGCTGAACCAATAACAAGCTAAAATATCATACCTGGAATTTTTAGAAGTTACCATAAGATCTGGATGCTCTTCACCAGGTATATCAAGTAAATTCAGGTCTGATGCGTCTTCATGGGTTTTAGATTCCTCCCATTTGAGGTCATTTTCTTCAACTCCTATAATTAGTTCAAAACAATTCAGATAAAAAAAAAAAAACTTTAACCCTTTTTATTAGTGAAAAAGCATGAGAATTATTAAAAACACTTCCATAATGAGATAATTTTGGAAACTAAGATAACTAACTTTGAATCAGTTAATTCAATTGCCAGGACCTGTATAGGAGCTTGGAGAATATGATAGCACTTACCACCCTTGCAACCAAAAGTGTTTTTACATCCTTCGCATCTACAGTAGGAAGAGCAACCAACACCACCCTTTATACACAAATAACATTTTATGCATTAGATGAGGTTAAAAAAGTTGCATATAGAAAGGGACAAGTGGTAAGTCTGGAAGCATTTGCAATATTAACCTGAAAGCATTCACAGTATTTCTTTAAGCAACTTGATTTTTTACAGTTACATCCTCTTTTATGCCTGGCTGAAGCCGGGGTTTTGTTAGTCTCCTCCTGCATGAACAAAAATTGATTACACTTGGTCCGAGAAAACTATAAACTGTCAAAGGCAAAATACATTTTGAGCATTTGCAATGGCACCACAACCTAGAGCATACAATGCTCTTCATGAATTTTTGCGAGGCTTTGCATCATTGTGGCTTTTTACCTCACAAATAAGACCATGTTCAAACAAAATAGAGCATTGAATGTGACTGCTGTGATGCCAGTCATCATCAAATAAAAGTATAATTAAGGAGAATTCCTTACCCCAATTTCAGAAACAGAATCCGAGCTTCTAATCACTTTGGGAGCAAATGCAAGAGGGTTGCGCGACTCAATCTGTCTGCGAGTTTCCAGAACAGTGTCTTCATGAGCAGGATTATTAAAACAATCCAGACACGAACAAGGTTCAATACAGTAGAGACCAGCAGCAAAGCATTCACAATAACTGTACCAAATAACACAATCTTGTAAACATACAATAACCACAATAAGTTCGTAATTGATCTGAATTATAGTGTGAAACTTGATATCTATTTTACACCATCTAGAAAGTGAGCTGTTAAGTATGACTAGGAGATGAAAATCAAAGGCATACTGTTTAAATCCACTGCAATCAAGATTCTGGCCCCTGATTTCAAAGGCCAATTTAGAATCATCAAGCTCTGGATCAAAGAGGTTAACTAGCCTTCAGGTTCTGCCTAGTTTCATATTTATTACTGTTACAGCATTCACCATGCTACAGAAAATGAAGGAATTAACGTGATGAATTTTGAGAAATTAGGTCCTCCGAAAATCAGAAACATGAATACTAGAAGTAAATGGAAACTGCTTAACTTACAGCTTTAGGCATTTCGATCTCTTACAATTGCAGCGCTTGCATGATGCTCCAAGGTATTCCAATTTTTGCCTGAAATTTAAAACAATTCAAAAATTTTGCCTGGGCAATTTGATCTCAGAGATTAGAATGTATTAATTTCTACACGTACCTCTTCATTTTGGGACTGCTTATGCCAAACTCTTCATTCAAGACTATTGATGTGCGCGGAGCATCTTCCATGACCTTATTTTTGTCATCGAAAGGAACAAAATCTGTTTCCACAGCGGTCAGAGCTAAGGATTTAATAATAGGATCATGACCAGATGTCATGTTCGCAGCAGGGGAAGGAGGTTGGCTAATTTCTTGCTTTCCAGAAGCTAGAGTCTCAATCTTGACAGCTTTACCATTGCTTGCAGCAGTAAGAGCATTCAAGTGCAAACCAATACCCCTTCCAGATAATGCAGATAATGTCTTTCCCTTATCTGTCCTCCTAGGAGTTGCATGCTTTTCCACACAGGCACCATTATGATCTGGTTGTGACGAGGTTGAACTACTATTAGATTCAAATGCTAATTTCTTTTTATGAGCTCCCATCTCAAAAACCAGGCACCGCCTTCGTATTTTATGCTGCTGCTAAAAAATAAGTTAATGATAGTAAAAAAACAGTGATTCATATTTAACTGAATAAAGCATGCTTAGTCTCTGCAAAATATTGGATTTCATGTAGTCACAATTAATAACAGAACAAAAAATCTACTTGGCTGCTGATATCAGCATGATTAGCTAACACATAAATTGCTTTCAAGTCTGTGTTTGGTTTGGGGTTAAAAATTGGAGGTTAAGTGTTAAGGGATTAAACGTCGAGTGTATTAAAAAGTGGTTGAAGGGTAAAATGTTGATGATGTTTGGTAGATACGTAAAAATTGTGTAATGGGGAGACCCAATAAATTTATAATCAAATTTTGTATTAAATAGAATAAAAGATAATCCATAATATATATATATATATGTGCGTGTGCGTGTGGGACCCATTGATTAAATGTAGAGTAGAGAAGAAAAGAAATGGTTAGTTTGTAAAAAAACACAAATGCACAAGTCCCGAAAATTTCTGACTAACATAATTTGAAGCACATCTGCAATTGCTATCTTTCATTCAATCTTTCTGTATATAATCAAACCAGCCATTTGTGTCAATGTTTTGCGGGCATAAAAAGCCATGTGTGCTTCTAACAGTTGTGCCAGAGCAACAAACTTCGTACCAAAAACACTTATTGATCGCTGCAGCTTTTGATGAACATTTATATGACATAATAGACAAACTTGCTGCAATAAGAGTCCTCTAACAAGTAGCTTGTTGATTACAACAGAACATTTTGCAGGTTTACTGAAAATTGACTGGGGAGAAAATTTGAAGTTCTCAGAAAAATCATAAGCATCAACGCCTATGTATGTATTGTTACTCATTTATCACCAAATCAGAAAGGTACGCAATTCTCAACGAACAAAAAAACCCTAAGGTTTGCTTATGGTGACTACTTCTTCAAATGTAGACATACCAATGCAGCATGTCTTAACCTACTTATCTGTAACAACTAACAGCAACACTACCCTGAAACTGTAATCTTATGAGACAAAATACAATCATGATACACCGAGATTGGTGTGATTTGTAAGAGTGATGTTATAACAAGAGTACGTTGAAGTTGAGAGTCTATAGGTGTTTTGAAAAAGAAGGATGCACATTTATCAAGATAGCTGACACACACTTCAGGCACGAAAGCCTTTCGGGAAGCAAACAGAATCTTAACTCAATTATATTAGTCAATTTTTAGATTACTCGCAGAACTCAGCTAGAATATGTTTACATAGTATGGGGCAACAACCATCAGAATCTTGGTAACAAGAAAATAGTCTTAGTTCTTGAGTTTTTACCTTGCTGATAGACTGGCAGTTCTTCCCCCTAATTTCCACTTTTGCAGCCGCATCAGTAACTACTGGTTTATCTCGTAAAGTGCTAGGAAGTACAGATGGTGTCTGATCTGCTTCATTCTGTTCTCCAAATTCTACTGGCTGAATTCCTGGCTCTCCCATTTCACTTTTCTGGGAAGAACCTACACAATGGGAAGTTTCTGAATCGTTGCTGTTATCCTGTGGGATCTGTAGGACATTTGAGATAAAAGATATGATCCCAGGATCCACCATTTTTTGCTCCTCAGCAGATTCTTCATCAATGGACGGCTCGAAGGTCAAGATATCAGCTACATCAGAAATCAGAGCCACCCAATCACATCCTGCTTCGTCTTCATTTTGCCCAGTTCGACCAATTTTACGCAAATCCTTTTCCCTTTTAAATGAACGATATCTCTCATTTGAATTGCCTGCTGTCTCTGGCTCAGTAATTGCATTGAGAGGCACCATGATCATGTTATCATCCGGACTAGCACGATCATATTTCAAAGCTTTTGGCTCCTCAATTGGTAATTCCAAGTGCTTATCAGGTGGCTTAGTAATAACCCCTTTACCTGAATTCCCAGGAGTGAAGCATTCTGATTGTTCAACACTCAAACCAGTCAATTTAGCAGCCTCTAAAACCCCTTTGTTTGTGTTGTTTTCATCTTTACTTTGAAGGAGCTCAGCTTTTGAAGGCTCTGAGAACTGACCCCTGATAGAAGAAACAACACCAAGTTAAACTAGCGTTTTTAAAAACAATTGATATTCTTTTGATCCTGATTCAGTTGAACAAAGAAAGGCATTCCATTTTACCTTCTAATAAATGATCTAGTGTCGCTCTGAGAACTAAGCTGTGGTGAAGCGAATACAGAAAGAGGGGATGCAAATGATGGCAAGTTGAATGCTTGACCAGTGTGTATGGACTTGACTAACTCAATTGGTGAGAGATTGTTGATGTAATTAAACACAGGAGAATCCTGCAAGGTTACCAAATCATTACTTCTATGAAGTAGCAGCCTCAAAACCCAACTACAAACAAATGATCAAGCCAATAAAAGGAAATACAATTTTCAACTAATCAAAAGACAACAAGCCCAGAATCATAAACTTGCACACTTTCCAAATCTTGAAAAATATCTGCAAAGGGCAACCGTTCATTTTTCTTTTACCACTTATTTTCTTCTTTTAACTGAGTTGGAACCCACAACTGGATTCCATACTCATAAGTTTATAACAATCAATAGCCATATCCTTCAAATTAACATAGATAAACAAAAACTCCAAAACCCTATTAGGTTGACAGCTGAGAAAAAAAAAAAAAAAAACTCTAAAGGACCCAAACCCACTAAAATTCAAAGCAACTCAGACAAGTATACACGGACACAAAACAAAACATTATGTAAACCTCAAAAACAGCAAAAAGCAACCATAATCTCAACTTTTAAGCAAAATAACCCAGAACCCAACAAAAATCATAACCCATGGTTCTATCCTCGCTATGAGAAAGAACAAAGAGCCAAAAGACCAAAAATGAAAAATAAAAAGGATTTAGAGAAAGCAGACCTCGAATTGAGAGAGAGGGTTAGCAGAGGGGATTTGGTTCTTATTGGGTGTGTTTAGCTCCATTCGAACTTCACCACACTTCCCTTCTTCTACCTCCAAAGGATTCTTGCTTTCGAAGCTGAAAACACACACCTCCTGTTTGTGTGTGTCTCTCTCTCTAAAATGTCGCTATCTTTGTTTGTGTCTCTCTTTCTAGAGAGAGAGAGAGAAGATTTGAAGTGAGAGAAGGAAAGAGAGGAGGGAAGGCGGGAAGAAAGCAGATCTTTTATGTTTTGATTAATATTGGGCCAAAACCCTAAACCCAATTTTTGTTTGTTTGTTCGTAACCCTATCCATTATGGGCCCTCTTTTAAGACCATATTTTTTATCATTTTATTTTATTTGTGTTTTACACGGTACATGGAAATAATAATTTTGTACCAATCTCTCCTTTAGGTTTTAAACCTTTTTTTATAAACCAATATACTAAAATTATTATTCATCATTGTCATTCTTATTTTCCATATTCTTCAGTTCAATTAGAATTTATATTATATTATATTATATTCTTACGAAAACCTACAACGGGACCTCAAATCCAATAGCTCATTCGATTCAGTTTACAAAGCTCAATCATTTCTCAATTTAGTCCTTATAGTAAAAATAAATAAATAACTAACTTTGCTTAGGCTGATAAGTTGTATAATAAAATTGTAAATTTACTCCTATTTAAATTCATTGTTGAAAAAAAAATTAGATTAATTTTCACACATCACCTATTTACAAAACAAATCTAATTTTTCAAATATAACATAACAATATTTTTATCAAGTCACGTAACGGAGATCAAAATTAGTACAATTACTTACATGTATTAATAAAATTTGTAATAGTATGACCAACCATGATTTATTACCTAAATCACAAATCATGCTCCAACATTAATGCAAGTACTTGCATTTTATAGGAAAAGTTTCATTGAAAATAAAAAATAAACATGTATTGACTTTGATATATCAATTGAATATGATTGTGCAAGAACATAGACAAGCTCTTCAATTCTCACAAATCATGTATATCCAATTATCCATGCTCTTTTCATTGCTAAGGTATTGGAACACCTTTGAAATGGTTTTAAAAGTTTTCTAAACTTTTGGATATTATTTTTATTTAGATGGATTTTGATGGATAATTTTATAGATCAAAATTTAATATTTGATCGCACGTAAAAAATCATATTGAAAGAGAAAAAACAATGCGATCTTCCAGAGTTTTTCTTGAATAATTTTTGTTTATATTCTGAATTTTATTTGTTTTGCGTAAAAATTTATAAAACTCACATTGATTCCTTGGTGCACATGTGATTCCAATATCTCGTGTCATTAATCACAACAATAGATAACTCCTTTAAGAAACTGAAAGCAATTCCATCCATACTTTTATTTAGCCATACCTCCTTCACAAACAACAAATGATATAATATTTAGTACAGGATTAATAGTTACAAAGGTCTCCCTACTATTTCTTTTATTTTTATCAATCCTTCTATTTTTTTTTTTCATTTTAAATTCACACCTCTATATTAGATTTCTATTTTAATCTCATTCCTTCGTTAACTTTTACGATATTAACTTCTTCTTTTTTCATATCTTAATCTCATCTCTCTATTCTAATTCTTCATCTTAAACTTGTTTCTTTTTTTTTTCTTTTACTAACCTTAAATAAATAAATTTTGAATATTTTAAAAAAATTAAAAATAAAAAAGGCAAAGATAAAAAATATCTTTTATGAACTTAAATTTGTCATTATAACAATAAGCAAATTTTGAGTATAAAATAAAATATTTATAGTATTTTTTAAAAATATTTCTTCATAATAGTACGTAAATTTTGAGTACAAATAAAATATTTATAGCATTCTTTTTTAAATGTAAAGAGAATTTTAGTTAAAATTTTAAAATTAAGAAATTTATAAAATTAAAATAAGCAAATTATAGTAGACTCTTTTGAGATATTATAAAATTATAAATACCATTAAAATTAAAATATAACTAAAAATCTGTTCATATTTTAAAAAATAGCATAAATATTTTATTTTATACTTAAAATTTGTTTATCATCACAAATATAAATTTAAACACAAAAATGATATTTTAGATTCAACCTTTTTAGGTTTTTTTAATGATTTTTTAGAGAAAATGAATGGATATATTTTCACAGTTTTTCTAGTTTTTATTTTTTAAAATTTAATTATTTAAATGTGATTTAAAAAAATTAAGATGAAAAAATAGAGTAAAAGGATGAGATTAAGATATAAAAAATAAATTAACGCTGTTAGTATAAAAATTAATAGAAAACGAGATTGGGATATAAACTGAACTTAAAAAAATAAAGTTAAGATAAAAAGAAAAAACGTAAAAGAATACGATAAAGATGGAAAAACAGCTCTCCAATTATCAACTACTTTTGTTTAGTTTGTTTTAACAATTGTGGGCTGTGTTTTATTAAGTGTGGACTGTCTCTCATCAAAAGCTAGCTGGGTTTTCTCAGTGGTGGGCTGTAAGTTATCAAATGTGGGCTGGCTAGGACGTGCAGATGGGTTCTTATGGGCTGGACCCTTCAACACAGGTTGCTGCACTTGGTCAAAAGTGGGCTGCATAATGTCAAATGTGGGCTGGCTTGGGAGTCTTCTGCTCAGGTATGACTTGGATCGACAGCCTCCATCCGTCCAGTACTAAGAGGCATAGCACCAACTCCATTAGCTCTTGCACTCTCAGTTTTCTTGTCGGACAAAATAAGCTATTATGTATAAAAATTTCATGAAAAACTTTACAAATATGGTTCTTATCTTTATCACCATTCTAGAGAAATCTTCGCTGAACAGAAATAATCTTCTTAACTATTTTGACTAACATTTTAAATAAAAAGATAATAAACTAAAATAAAAGAAAAAAATGACTTGAGAAGATAAATACATCAAGGTAAAAAAAGTAATTTTCCTATTTCAAGATGGTTTCTAATTTTATAAATTACTTCCAAATTGGCTTATAAAGTAGGTTAAGATAAAGACATGTATAATTGTTCTCCAATAAACATCTATAGGCCATAGTAGATAAAGACATGTATAAAACAAAACATTAATTATAGAGGACCAAACAAATTAATGTGTCAAATTTATATGGTATGAGACAATTTGAGACTCTCTCTATTGAAAATATTTCCTACATAAAATCACACAAGGAATACCAAACATATCAAGAACATTTAATCAACAAAAACACACAAGAAAACCATATATTTTCAAGAGATTTTGTTATTAAAGTTTTTATGTTTTGAGATTTCTCTCTCTTCAAAGAGAGAGACACGGTCGGGAGAGAGAAAGAGAGACTAATTATATATATGATGGTGTTGTTGTCATTTTATACTTAATTTGCTTGAAAATTCATAGAAAAAATTTATGGCATAAAGTATAATTTAGGAAAAATTAGGATGCGAAGTGTTTCCATCATCAAACTATTAGATGTTTAGAGTAATTTATTCTATTGTTTGCCAACTAAATTGACCAAAGAATTGTATAGAAATTCCAAGCAACTCCGCAAATGTAGTTTTTATCTTCATTATTATTTGAGAGAAAACTTCGCTAGATATAAATAATTTTCTTAACTATTTCGACTAACAGTTTAAATAAAGAGAGATAATAAACTAAAATAAAAGAGAAAACCGACTTAAGAAGGCAATGCCAATTCGGAGAAATTAACTTTCCTTTGTAAGATGGTTTCGATTTCATCAATCACTTTCAAATTGACTTATAAAGCAAGTTAAGGTAAAGACATATATTATTTTTTCTAACGAACATCCATAAGCCATAGTAGATACAAACATGTATAAAACAAGACAACGTAGAGGGATGAATAGATTAATGTGTCACACTTATAGAGTGTGGAACAATTTGAGGTTGTTCCTATTGAAAATATTTCTTATAAAGCCACACGAGGAACACCAAACTCATCAAAAACAATAATGGATAGAGTTGCTTGATCATGGAATATTTTGCTACCACTTCCTTCACAATCCTATTAAGCTTCATAACTTTACTTATTGTTTTAGCAATCATCTTATTTCACTTCAAGATCAAATCCCATAAGATCGTCAAAAAGCACCCATTGCCTCCCGGTCCAAAACCATTGCCTATTGTTGGATGCCTCCTTACCATCTTCGCGAAGCAAGCCGATGCATCGATGGATACATAATCTCATGAAAGAAATGAATGCTGAAATAGCTTGTATCTATATAGGAAACATTCTTGTAATTCCCGTCACTTGTCCTAAGATCGCTTGTGAATTTTTGAAGGAAAAAGATGATAGCTTTTCATTTGGGCCTAATATCATTACCACCAAGCTCATATCAAGAGATTACTTGTCAACAATTCTCACTCGCATTGGAGACCAATGGAAGAAAATGCAGAAAGCGCCGATGACATAAGTGTTTTCTCATGTAAGACATCAATGGTTTTATAGTAAGAGAGTTGAAGAAGGTGATCACCTTATTTATTATGTGTATAACCAATGCAAGAAGTCTATAGATCAAGAAGGGATAATTAATTTATGAACGGCTTCACAACAGATCTTGTGCAAATTTGGTTAGGAAGATAATGTTTAATAAGAGGTTTTTTAGCAAGGGAATGGAGGATGGTGGACTCGGTTTGGAGGAAGAGGAGTATGCGGATGCAATTTTCAATATCCTTACTAATGTATTTTCATTTTGTATATCCGATGTTTTGCCATTTCTAAGAGGGTTTGACTTAGATGGTTATACGAAGGTGATGAAGGAGAATTATAGGATCACCAATAAACATCACGATCCTATAATTGACCGGAGGATTCAACAATGGAAGGATGGCACAAAAAAGGAAATGGAGGACTTGCTTGATGTTTTAATTAACCTAAAAGATGATAATGACAATCCTTTGTTGACAAAAGATGAGATCAAAGGTCAAATTGTAGTGAGTTTTATATGCATTTAAATTTTGAGTTCCAAATATATATTTTAAAGATGATTTTCAAACATCAAGACATTTCATTTTGCAGGAAATAGCATTGCCAATAGTGGATAATCCATCAAATGCTTATGAATCAGCATTTATAGAGATGCTAAACCAACCCGAGATATTTGACAAGGCTATTGAAGAACTGAATAAAGTGGTTGGAACTTGGAAAAGAGAGACTAGTCTAAGAATCGGACTTTGTGCGGCTCAATTACGTGAAGCCATGCGCTAGAGTAGCCTTTAGGCTTCACCCCATTACACCATTTAACGTCCCTCATGTGTCGGTCGTCGATATGAAAATGGCCAACCACTTCATCCCGAACGGTAGCTATATATTGCTCGGTCGGCCGGGGCTCGGCTCTAACCCTAAAGTATGGGATGAGCCACTCAAGCTTGCTTGCTAACAAAAAAATGATTTCATCGGGATGTTCAAAATTTTCAAATGGGTACGGTGAGCCTTCGGACAATCCGGATCCCCTCTTAATCTACTTAATTCATATTCTTATACAAAACAAATGGATCTTCAACGTGATTAAACAAACGCATGAAAGAAAATAACACTTGTTATAAATCATAAGAACTTATAAATTAGATCTAGAATTCAATTTTTATGATTAACAATCATAAAAATTTATTTTTAGAATATCTAAAATTGTGCATTGAGAGTACCGAGAGGTGTCCTTTAACGATGTCCAATAAATAATCGGTCTCAAAGTGTGTGAGAGCTAGCCGAAAAAATCCTTAATGCTGAAAAAAAAAAAACAACTTGTTATACCTCGTGCTATAAATTTGTTGGAAATGAAGGAGGAGGCATATCTAAACACAAAATATGAAATATTTGGCAAAGGGAGGTGTAAATGTATTAAATTTGCTCCTACCTCTGAAGATGCACAACAAATATGAGGCAGCATGGCATGAGTGAGTAAGTACAACAGCAATGGGCAAATTTAATTTATTCAACCAAGCATGTTTTGCAGTGCCCGTGATTGCCGTTCAAAAACGCGTTTTCTGACTGCAAATGACTGACCAATCCTGTCCCAAGTTTTTGAGTACTTTTGCCTTTGGGGATGGATGATGAGTGATTCTGATTCATCCTTTTTTTTTTTTTTGCATAATAATGACCCGTTAATCTTGGGAGTTTAGTTTAGGAAGCAAGTTTAAGCTTCCTTATTTTTATTTCACAACCATTTTTCTTAAGAATTTGCCCAAAAAAAAAAAAAATCCCTCCTTTACTTCCTTATTCCTTTTCATTTCATCCTTTGTTGAGATTTAATAGTGAAATAAAAAATTTTGTACGTACAAAGAATGCGTAATAAATGGTGAATTATGGATCTCGTGGATATCAAATGATTGGTTAATGATGAAAATAATAATCTCAAGTTCAAGGTTTTTAAGAGGTACCAAGTTGGTAGTTGAACTTAGTTCTACTGAGGTCGAGCAAATTGCTTATTTCTCATAAAATTAAGACAAAATAAACCTTAGAAAATCAATATTAGAGAATAAAACTTTATTCCAAAAACAATAATTATAATATATTTTTCAAAATCATTACCATTATTGATTGGAGTGGCTAATGAGGTATATAACAGTAAGCATGGACAATGATGAGCTGGCGCACTATGATAGATTAACCCCATGGGACCCTCGCCCTTTTCCAGCTTCCAGGTGGCATACAGCTGTTCTGATGCCTGTCTTTGAGATGACCCTAATCCCCAGAAAACGATGTCACTTTACACTGACCAAAATACCCTCAAACTGATTGTTTTACCCTTTTAAGCACATGCAACGGTCACTTTTTCAACCTAGAAGACCATAGTCACACCTTTGACAGTAGGGCAATTTTGGCATTTTGTACAAACAAACAGAGATTTTTATTGTAATTTCATTGTCTTGTTTAGGGTAGTTTCGTATTTTGGATGTTCTGAAAATGAAAGAAAACGAGAGAGAACCTATGGAGAGAATTCAGAGAGAAGAAACAGATACAAAGAAGAGATATCTATCATCATCTCAGCGAGTAGCTGTTTAGTTTTTGTATTGCTGCTGCATTGTGAGTGTTGAAAGAAGTGAGTCATGGGCGAGTCAAGTGACTCAGTGTCGGTGCATATTGACATGCTTTCTTTTGGAGGGAAGGTAATTAACTAACTCTAACTAACAAAAAAGAAAGAAAAAAAAATGCCATCTTTCTTGTTTTCTTGATTACACTATGTGGTTTACAAGTTTTAAGCTTTATTAATGGATTTTGGTGCTTTTGGTGCCATGTGTAATCCTAGCAGGAGCATTTGGTGAAAACAAGCAGAGGTTCAATCTCTGTGTATGTTTGTGGTGATCTAGAGAAGCCTGCTTTGATAACTTACCCTGATGTTGCTCTTAATTGTATGTTCCATTTTCCTGTAATATTTTGTAGGCTTTTTTTTTTCCTTTTCTTCTTTAATTTGCCTTAACTGGGTTTGCGTATTTAGTTACTGTGAAGTGAAATTCAATGACTTTGGGGTTAATTTGGTGCTTTTGTTTCGAAGTTTGTTATACATTCTGTGTTCTTGAAGAAAATTTGAATATACTGCAGTGTTTTATTTTACAAGAAATGGGGTGATTCAGACTGAATTCCATGAAAGCAGCTGTAATGGATGCTTTTAATTTAATCAAGCATTTTATAATAATTAAATTCTTGGTGTTTAGAATTTTTATGGTTTTTAATTGATTCTTGAGTTAAAAGTGAAGAAAGATTGACTGGGTATGCTTCAGTTGCTTTTGATTGAAAACATCTGAAACTGAATGTGTTTTTGATATGTTGGTTTTTTTGCTTTCTGGATACAGCTATGACTTGTTTCCAAGGCCTCTTGTTTAGCCCGGATGCAGCTTCTTTGTTGCTCCATAACTTCTGCATATATCACATTGATGCCCCAGGGCATGAGGTCAGTGTCGTTGTTCGTTCTTTAGCTTTGGCAGAGTTTAATTTTTTGATTTTGTTTGTTTATGCTTTCTTATCTCCTTATTTTCTTTTGAACGATGCTAATAAAGTCTCTCTCTCTCTCTCTCTCCAACCTTTGCTCAAGAGTTCTTCCAGTTGGGAGCTGATGTCATTTCTTCAGATGTTCCATTACTTAGTGTTGATGACTTAGCAGACCAAGTTGCTGAAGTACTCGATTTCTTCGGGTATTTAACTGCTTGCTGCACTTACTGGTTTATATGCTTTTCTGATTTGTTGCTACTGGAACAGAAAGGAATTATGTGATTCTAATTCCCCTTGTGTTGGGCATTTGAATGAATTTTATGTACCAATGAAGATTTGATCTGCTTCTTGTTGTTGTCAAGTTGGTTGTCTCTGGTCAGTTCTTATTTGTGCTTTCATGCTAAAGGTCTAGTTGATTCTGTTGTTCTGTTATCTGGATTACTTATGAATCATTGACCGCCATTTGTCTAATAGTCATATTGATTTTGATTGGCTCAACTATCTGGTATTTTGTTTTTCTTCTGCAACACCAGTTGCACAAAGTTCTTTCGTGCCCTGCATTCATTTTGTGTCTTATTCAAGGGAGCTCTGATAAGTGTTACTGTACTAGCTAATATTTCGAAACTGAGATTTTGGGAGTGGGAGCAAAAATCAATTAGGAAGGCCAGTTATCTAGTGCATTAATAAATGTCTTAAGAGTCATCAAATGTTTGCAGAGTCAAGCCAAAATAGGAGTCACTTTTTGCTAAATTGCTGTGATAGGGCCAGAATTCATTTTCCAATACCCAAGATTACTATCCAGAAATGTGAATTATCTATGTTTTTCTCATGTAAAGGTCCTAGGAGGAATCCTAAATCTAACCTATAAGTGAGACATCTCTGTCACGAAGACATGTTACAGTCTGTTTAAGGTTTAACTTGCTTTTCTAAATCAGGCTGAAACAGGTTATGTGCTTAGGCGTAATGGCTGGTGCTTACATCCTCACACTTTTTGCTGTAAGTTGGAAAAAGTCTACCCTTGTCAGTTGCCTCTTTTGTTATCCTAATGTTCTGGTACATGCTTATTTTTCTATGTGATACAGATGAAATATCAAGAACGGGTGCTGGGGCTAATTCTTGTTTCCCCTATTTGCAAAGCAACTTCCTGGACTGAATGGTTTTACAATAAGGTTTCACTCTCCATCTTCAAGTCAAGGCTACTTTTTAATGAGGGAAAAAATATAAATATGAAAGCGAACCAATCTCTAGGAAGTAGGGACAGCTAATAAAGTATAGGATAAAACTAAGATAAACATGGTCGCACACATCTTCACAGTAATCCAAGTTGCCTAGGGTTTTACTGGACTTGCTTTTTCAGGTGTTGATGAACTTGTTATACTTCTATGGAATGTGTGGAATATTGAAGGAATGCCTTCTCCAGCGTTACTTCAGTAAGGTACCATTCATGACCTTGTTTTTTGATCTTTTCCGATTTTGCAATGTGATGCATAATTATCAAACTCTGAATATAGGAAATTAGGTGCAGTGTGCAAGGCGCAGAATCAGACATCATTCAAGCTTGTAGAAGGGTAAGGATTCTTGGTTTCAATGTCTTATTTCCAGTTAAACTATTTTCCATTTGGGTTGTACAGTCTCAGAGTTGGCAACATAAGTGGGAGATGCCCTAATCCTTTTTGATATATTGTCAGAACAATCTGTCACTCTTATCAGTGTCTAGGAAGGGTACATCCTATATTGTTGCTTTTGTATGCCTTTTTGAGACAAATGATGTCAATCTAATTTGTCATTTGCTACAGTTGCTGGATGAAAGACAGAGTTTGAATGTAATGCGCTTTCTTCAAGCAATCAATGAGTGAGTTTTTGGAACTTCTTAAAGCATCTGTTTTGCCATACATCGTTAGCCCAAATTTCTTCTACTGAATGCTTTCTTATTGTGCCTATTTAAACTAGCATATCTGCATGGGACTCTGCAACTTAGCCTGTTGCTCAAAGTTTTGATACTAGTTGCATAACATATAGACTCTGTGTCTCATAAAGATGGCTATGATCAGCTAATTATTAAGGTGTTATTAAGCAGGAGATATGACCTTACAGAGGGCTTGAAGAATTTGCAGTGCAGGACGCTTATTTTTGTGGGTGAAAGTAGTCAATTTCATGATGAATCAGTATACATGAGTACCAAAATGGGCAAGAAAACCTGTGCTCTTGTTGAGGTAGGGTGGTTTCACATGTTCTGACTATCTTTTTCAATATGAGCAGTCATTTATTATATGCAACATCTAGTGATCATAATCCCTAATTAATCATCTTATTGGACCATAATGTGGACAAGGCATATATGTGCCTGCATGAAAGGACTATACTTGACTATTAACTAAAAATGAGATCATCTGCAGTATGTCTGCTTTTGCAAGCACGCCTGAAACTGTACTCTAAAAAATATATGGGCATATTAGTGAAGTGCACCTAGGTCACTTTCAAATTTAAGGTGCTTGTTTTGTGGCATTCCCTTCTTGCATCTTAATGTGCTTATCTTGTATCTCCAACAGGTTGAAGCATGTGGTTCATTGGTCACTGAAGAGCACCCATATGCCATGATAATTCCGATAGAGTTCTTTCTAATGGGATTTGGGTACTACAGACAACCATATTTTGCTTCCTCATCAAGCAATGGCTCCAACCCTACTAGTCCTTCAAGCCACAGCTGTATAGCGCCAGAACTCCTCTCCCCGAGAGTTTGGGTATCAAGCTCAAACCAATCAAAACCCATCGACATTGATGTTGAAGTATGATTTACTTGCACATCTCCAATTTAATAATTCAGGAGAGCAGTATATTGACTCTACAAATATCTGTATGACAACCATGATAAGTGTATAAGTATAACATCTACAAGGTAGGATACTCTGTATTCTTTGATTGAATTGGCAGGAAGAGATTTTTTATGGTTAGGGATGGATTCATTAATGGTCTTCTTGATTATTTTGTAGTGTAGATAAAACAGATATATGTAGATACGGGATACTCAGATGGTAGGATTATTATTTATTAAAGGAAGATCAGTTTCTAGCATTTGCCATGTTCTGCTGTACTTTTTGTAACTTCTCTAGTATGTAACTGCTTGAAAGTTTGAAACAATGGCCAAGAACCGCCATTGCTTTCCTTTTCGTTTCTTTTCTGTCATTTCTACTTGGTGTTGATTCAAGGCAGGTCAAAGAATGTTTAATTGCTAAGACTCAGTTGAATTCAAAGCTCAGATGGTTTGGTTTGTTCAATAAATGATGCCAAATTTTTAATAGGCTCAGTTGATGGTAGATTCCATTGGATGGGTTTTTTTTTTTTTTGACAGCTTAGATCAGAGTATGTTGTAGTTTCTGTATTGTTTTTTTTTTTTCGTTTTCTTTAGCCCTTCAACGGCAAAGAAGGTACTCTCATATAAGATAATAATGGATTTAACTTCGAGAAACAACAAGAAGAGGAAAACAGTATTGGATGCAACCAGCACAGCAGGACAATTTCTATCCAGCAGAAGAAACAAAAATTGGAAAGGTCATGGTGCTCCGACCTCCTGATGATTTCCTGACAAGGATTTTTTCCAAATTGTCTCTGGTAGATCACATTCAATTTGACGCTGTTTGCAAGAACTGGGAGCAACTAAGTAAACGTATTAGACCTGCGGACAAGTTACCATGGCGACTGCTTTATGATTGGAGAGAGTCTGATGAATGATGTAGTAAGCGTGTATGCAAGATCTTTGTGCCACCATAAGCTTGACACGGTTAAGGTTAAGAACAGTTTTAATGGAGAAGAGCGGAGGAATTTTGCAGGTGCAGATGACTGGTAAAAAACAAGCTCAAATTTCCAATCTTACGGCTGCTTTCTTCTTGGCATTCTGTCCTTTTACCAATGAGATTCTAATACAACCTGAATTGGAGGTAGGTAAATTTCATCCGGATCCAGGAAGGACAGGTTTCAGTTTCTGAAAAACTACCATCAGCACATATAATGTAGGAGATCCAACCGGGAAAACTAGTGAAATTACTGATATCGAGGGAGAAATCAAGGGTAGGGTCCGGCCCATTTTGATGGAATCCTTTATTGTCTCTTCGGGTGGGGAACTTTTGGAGCCTTGGACGTCACTAAACAACAATGGTTATTTAGGATGATATGATTATCACCAATTATACGAATAAAATTTATTCCTTGAAAACAGAGAAGCAGGGACGAGCCTTTGGAAACCTATAAGAAGGCCCCAAAGGCATTTCTTGGATGTGCTATTCAACCTTTTGATCTATTAATTTTTGATTAGCAGTTTTTAAAAAATCAATATACTCAAGCGAAAAATTAAAATTATGTACTGTATTGAAAGAATGTTAAAAATTGGTATAATTATAGTGCAATTATTTCCCATTAATCACAGGTCCTGAAGTTTTACTGCTTTTGCAATAACATCATGTTATAAAAAATGCACGATAGGAAGCCACTGAGTGCGCAATCGCCTGCTCTTGCAGGGATGGAGATTGATCAAATCTTATTACCTTACATGCTTTAATAATTCTTTAATGATGTAAGATTATAGAGGTTGGGTGGCGGAGGAAAAATGGAAGATTTGCAATAAAATTATCATAGGAATTTTAGAGATTCTGTTTTATTTTATAGTATATCTTAATTAGAAAATCTAATTATTTTAAGCTATTATCATCCTTATTTTAGGATTTCATTTTGTTTAATATTTTATTATCTAAAAAAAATACAAATCAAAGTAACTCGATACTCTCATGTATAAAGTATTATTTTTTTTTACTGAAAAAGGTTGATTTGAATGAAAAAAATTCTAATCGTTTAAACAAATAGTCTTGATTTTGAGTCTTTGTATACCAAAAAAACTTCTTAAATAGTCGTGCTCCCCTTGTGCGTCCGATTAAATAGCGAAAGAATAGTCCGGCTCTTTAAACTTGAGATACCTTAAAGATCTGAAAAAAATAAATAAATACTATTCTTTTCATCCCTCAAATATTGATTGTTTTGTAAATTTTATTTATCTTAATTTTTTTTAGCTACTTTGAAAGTCAATGTTTTATAAGAACTGAATTCTCTATTAATTTTTTTAGTATTTGGCCCCTCAAAAAAATATGATTTTTTTGTTTGAAAAATTAATTATTTAATTCCTATATTTTTATTTTTTTTGCAACTTCATGCTTTTTCGTTTTTTTTTCATTTTTTATTTAAAAAAAGTAAAAAAAATAATAATAATATATTGATGAGAAAATATGATATTTTTTAAAAGAAAGTAAAATTAAATTACGAGTGATATGAAAAAAAATAATTAATTTTTAAAACAAGAAAGATCAATTAAATCAGCTTTCAAACATTGAGGGACTAATTTATAATTTACTCAGTATTTGAACGGCAATCATGGGCACTACGGTTGAATAAATAAAAATTTCCACCAAGGTATGCTTCTTCACTGCCATGTTGCCTCGTATTTGTTGTGCATCTTCAGAAATAGGACCTGTGCAAACTGCAAATGAGACTAGATTTGAGCTTTCCTTTGGCAAATATTTCCTATTTTGTATTTTCATAAGCCTCGTCCTCTATAATAAGTGTTATGATCATTGCATCAAAGATCAATTTATTTTGCATTGGAATATGAATTAGCAAAGTTTTAAAGATTGGATCTGAATTGTGCAGATTCCCCATGTGTTACATAGTTGAAGATCTCCTTAATTAAACACCTTATCTTGTTCTTGGAGTTAACACAAAAGGATGTGAAGGGTCTAAATTTAGATTACAAACTATCATAAAAAAAACTAAAAAAAATCATTATTCATTAAAGTCATCTCACATTTTAGCAACTCATCATTTTTTATAGTAAATATTTGCAGTTTTAGGTTTTTAATTGTTCTTTTTTTTTTTTTGGTAAATTATAGTAATTTTTTAGAATTATCATAAAATTCTGTATAGTGATTATCTACAAATTTGAAAATATTATAAAAATTTCCCTCAAATTTAAGTAAATATTATAAAAATTATTTTTTTAATCCAAAATACACTTAATATCTTTGAGTCGTTCCTCTTAACTTTAAGGATGTTTTGGGTACAAAAAAAGTTTTTCATAATATCTCAAGATTTTGAATGATTATTTTAATTTTAAGATACTTCAAGAGAGTTATTGCAATTTACCTTCTTCGTCTTTTTTTTATAGGGAGCCATGAGTTATTTTAGCGTCTTTTTATAGCTAAAAGTCGTCGTAATAGTTTTTTTTTACCCTTTCGAGGAAGTCCCATTTTTCAGGACAGATATGTTAGTGACTAGTTGTTAGAAACCAGTTTAGACCATCACGAAAAAGTTGAGGGACTATTGTGTCACCTCAAAATATGGGCTCCAGACCGAATCTTCTTATGGACAATCAAACCGGTGGATTATATCTTTTTAAGCAAAGCATGTATCAAAAGCTTTGTGCTTTACGTTAGTGGAGCTTCTCCCTTTTTTTTTTTTTTTCCCTCAAAGTTAACCATGCTAACAAATACACATTAGAGGCTTTTAAATCATATTATTAGAAATAATAACAATAAAATGAGAAGCAAAAATATAAAAAAAATGTATTATTTTTACAAAATTATCTTACAGAATTCACTAAACAAAAAATTATAATTAAGATAAATAACTCATGCATTAAATAAATGAATTTTGTTAGTAATTCTCGTAAATCTAATTGTTGATATTTTTCATAAATAAATCGTATAAAAATAGTATTATTCATAAAAGAAACCAAAAACTACATCTCCATTAATTTGCATACATAACTTCAAGAAATATAATCTTATTTATATGAACACTTAACTCTATAATAGACAGTAATATCCAACAATTCTACATATCAAATCCCTTAGATTAAATCATAACTCAAGCCTGCACAATCCCATAAATCAAGTTTATATAATTATTTACACGTAATTATCTATTCACAAGATGTAAACATTGACTCGTAAGCTATGTTCAATATCGATTTTTGTAGCTAGTTTTTTTGAGAATTTATTTTCGGAATACTCGAGATTAAAGGATGTCCCTTGATCATATTCATAAAAAAATTAATCTCGAAATATATAAAAAATTATCCAAAAATAATTTACCGTTGAACCTAAAAAATAATCTAATCCTAACACACATTCTAATCATTCTCAACAACTTTCAATAACATGATTAATTAAAACTACAGATATTGCCTCTTTTTTTCCCCTCTTTTTCGATTGCTCTTGACAGTATTATTCATCATGCAAGGGCTTAAACATAGACTAATTGGTCTCTAAATCTTTTGTCACATGGTAAATTGAATTGTAGCATTTGGACCTTCCAAACACAATTTAGAATGAACTGTAGTTAACTTAAACCTGGCATCAATTGCTGTAACAAAGATACGCGAGTTTGTGGCGCAAGTAGATCACGCGCGGGCATGGTATTAAATGCCTGAAAGCGTTTGTTTTTTTGGGGGTTTGCTTAGATTTACGTGGGAATTCTGACAGCACAAACAAAGCTGTATCTACACTTCTTACGTTCCAGAGAATGCTTTCATTCAACCTCACAACAGAACAGTAGCTATCCACCAATTCTATTGCTTTTTCCTCACTCTTTTATATATATATATTATTTTACAGATATGGTTGAATGATTTGGATTGTTTTTATTACAATAAGGCGAAGATGGCATAAGTGGAGATAACTGTTAAAGATTTTCTGGTCTAGTCAAAGTATAATTAGACTTATTTGTGCTAACAAGCTGATTGGATGAATTGTAAAGAAGAATGGAGAGAGAAACATGGATGAGGACAGATTTGTGTGTTAATGATGTCTTCGTTTACCTCTATCTGGGGCGGTTTTGGCCACTTGCTTCAGAAAACAGTGTAGCAGCAGTAATTTGTGTTGGCCCTGTAACTTGAAGATAGATTTAAAAGTTTTGAATAGTTTGAAAAGATATCTGGTCTTACCGAAAAATTCTGATTGTCACTTCACAAGATGTGACCTATAATCCAGACAAAAATCTAGCTCTAGACAAAGAGCAATTGGAATAGGCTTTTCGTTTTTTGTCTGAAACAATTGGAGTAGAACTCATAGCAAGCAATCAACATGCCAGCCAGCCAGCCAGCCACCGCATTACTAGATTGGCTTCGTTTCATATAATTATGTATTTTGTCCTGTAGCTGGAAATTAAAGCGTGATGGATTATGTAGGGTACCTCTGAACACAGCACCAGCTCTAAACTTACATGTTATTTGACAGTTGTAGCTACTCATATACTCTGTCACGTATATGCACCGATTCATCAAACGAAAAATCATACCATGCAACAATTTTTATGAACAGTCAGCCTGAGCTTTCAAAATTTCAATCCCCAAATGATGAAATTAATGGAATTACAAAATCTTCCATGTCTTCAATGTCTAAATATGCCGACTAGAAACTCAAACTGATTTAGGACATGAAGAACAGTTGGACTATGAGCATGCATGTTTGATGATTCAACCAGTGTCACCTGAACTAAGACTGTCATGACAACCAGCTCCGATTCCAAACAATACGCAGTCTTCATCTTATGATACATTTGGTTTCCAGATTCTGCATATCAGTTTCCATAATCAAACAAACAGAAATAAACTAGACGACAACTGCCTTTGGGTGGCACAACCACCACCGCAGAGCACAATACGATGACAAAAACTACTGTCACGTTCAAGCATCTAATTTAGAAACTCTGAATAATTTGGTGGAAGAACTCACATCGTATTTCAAATCTAAACATGTTATAAACCTAAAACCAAAACATAGAAACGAAGGGCCAAAGAATCTCAATGTGTCGAAAGGTCGCCAGAAGCAAGATGCAAGAAAGAACAAATTTACAAAAGATCACTACACATTAATTGTACAACCCATAAAACAAGTCAACTAAGGTGAATATATGGTAGAAATATTGAAATAGTGATGAAGCACTGATACAATCTGCTGAAATTCTGCAGCGAATTGTCCTCCTGCAGATATTTGACATTATCAGTTATATTTGATCTTCATACATTAAAACAGAAAAAAGCAAAGAAGACAATCCAGCAGGATGGAGAGACGTGCATGTTATTTTGTCTCCAGTGGCTAAGAACCAACTATGAAAGGGCAAGGAAGGAAACTGGAACAGCAGTAAACACAATAATCAAGTTGCAAAGAACAAAAACACAGTAGCCCTACCAACTAGAGATACAAAAGCCCGCAGTCCAACCAAAAAGATGACAGGAATGATGCAGCTATGTCCCCAAATTGAGAAGCACAGAGGCTCCACACAGGGAGTTAATGATCAGTAACTCCATATGCTCAAACGGTGCATTCATAGAGAATCAAACCAGAATGCAAATTACTGGTCTCTCCCATCCAACGTTAATACTTCTCATTGTCTTGTGGCCAAACTTGAAACTTATCTGCTGAAGTTTTGTCCTTACTAGTGAAAATACAGATAAGTTGATGAAGGAGTAGCGCAATTAATTTTTCAGCAGAGTTTAGAACTTGAATTTTCACGTAAGAGAATTTCGATAGTCTCTCAAGTTTAACAATTATCCTCCTTTACCTTGTGCAGGCTTTCGATCCAGTATCCACTTCCATAGGTAGAATAGTCATTCAGAAGATTCACAATGGATTTTTCTGGCCAGGCCATGCAAGGTTTGAACTTTTGACATCCACAATCAAATATTCTGTGCTCACATTAACAAATTCCTAACCAAAACTATAAATAATGAGTAAGCTGTGCATTCATTAAAAGTAGGCATTTCTTTCTGAACAGATTGGCAGCCACCTTGTATGATCATCAATTTACATTGTTTCACTTGAGGTTTCACAAGCAACCACAACTACAGACTCAACAAAGGCAGGAAAGTATCAACTTTAAACACCATCCACCTCAACAGTACTGAGCATTAAAAAAAGAAGTGTCTGATACCGTTAGTGCCCCATAGCCAATGGGCCACTTTGCCACCATTAAAAGAAGAGAATAAGAAACAGCATCACTCAAGTTAAAACTCCCCTACGTTATAGCACAGTGCCCTCTTCGTCTTCTAGCGAACAAGCCAACTGAAATGAATACCAAACATGCACTAACCTTGAACTTTGACTCCTCTTGTTAGATGAAACAACCAGGACACCTGCATCGCAAGGAGATTGATTCCAACTAATGGCAAGTCACCCAGATATAACCTTGGCATCAGCTGGAGCAACTGTAGAAAAAGGGAGCACATACTCACAGTTCAGATATTCGATACCATGAATTCATGATGAATTCAATGTGAAAAGTCACCGAGGCAGGATATGCTAAAAGCTGCATGTGGTTTCAACAAATTCAAGCAAAAAAAAAAAAAATGGTACATTGAATTTTAGTGTTTTCTTGATATCGGATTTCCAATAAGAACCATATATGTATGAAATTGAGAAACAGATCATGAAGGATGCACAGCTAACTGAAAACAGAAAATTTTATATGATCCATTCAATTGCTGAAGTTCTCAACTGGAAAGAAAAGGAGAAGTAAACAAATGGACCTCGTCTAATAAAACTACGTGTAACCAATCACATAATTAATAAAAATCACAACTCACTAATGTTTTTGTTAGCTCTCAAATAAGTATTTCTGAGTCTCTCTATTCATGCTTCCAAGCGTACAAAATCAATGAAAAACCAAGATTTTGTGATTTGGAATCCAGAAATCTCTGGGAGAAGGACCGTGGCAACACATTTGGATCTGAAAGCGGTTGGCTAGCCCACAACTTCTCAGCTGACGAGCAAGTCTTGAACATAAAAACAGCATTTCCAATAGATGTACCAAAGAGCCAATTATGTACATCCCAAAACAATTCAATTGCTAGCCCATCTACCAATATGGTATGGTTCCCCCGGAACTTCCACCGGAGTCGCTTCACCTGCATCACAGTCTTACAGTCCACGCGAACCAAAAGACACGGATCATTGACACCAATCGTGTCACATTCAATCACGAGATCATGAATTTGACCATTGTCACAAAACTGAGCCTTGGTACAGAACACCTTCTTGCCAAAAACATGCTCTCTCTTAGCAACAAAAACAGCATTGGACGGAGTAGGAGTGGCACCAGTTTTCTTGAAAGCTTCTTTTTTCATATCCCCAAGAAGGAGGACCATTTGCCTATCCACAACAACAGCAACATAAAACCCTTCTAGTGGTTCAGGCCCAGATCCAAATTTAGCTGATGAAAGGTCCCAATATATATCAATTTTACAAGAATATGCTTCTAAACTCCTGGACCCTTTTCTTTTTGAGAACAACCACGGTTTAATATCAACCTTACATAAACACTGATTTGCAGAATCATCAATCCCTACGCTCAGGCCTTGACCCATCAAATTCTTACTCCATGTAACGGTGACCAAGCAATACCGGCCTCGAATTCGACATTGATACACACAAGTAACCAAATTCTGTGCATTTTTACTAGTATTTGAAGATGAAGAATCAGCTACTTGTACCCCATTTTCACCAAAGCAAGATGGAAAATCTCTCATTTTGACACTGAAGAACTCAACTTTACTGCTCCAAAACTCTCTCTAAGACTTTTCACAAAAACTTGCTCCCAAAATTTTGCAGCTAAAAGCAACACAACAGAAAAAGACTAAGAGAGAGAACAAACAGTAAATAAAAAAACAAAACTAGAATTTAACAAAAGAAAAGGCTCTTACCTCAAAACCCATATCAGAAATGCTTCAAAAACAGCAAATCATGACTTGATTTTGATCTGGGTACAGCATAGTTTGATGCATTTCTGCAAGAAGCCATCAAGGAAAAAAGCTTAAAGAAAGCCAGAGAAAACTGCTAGCACATCTAAATTGAAGACAAAAATGAGGAATGCAGGTGAGTACTGGTCGTAAAGTAACCGATGAAAGAAGCAGACAAAAAATAGACTTGTTTCACTGTCAATGCCATCTCTAACAATTTAAAATCGAAATTAAAATTTTTATTACTAAAAAAAAAGAATAGTAAGATTAACAAACATGTATACCTCAAGAAAGTGACAGCTGAAATGACCAAGGGAACAAAAAAAAGGCAAACTGTTACTGATATGGCAACTGTGTATGGCTGGAAAGGCTGGTCTTTGAAGTGTACTCTACACTGAGAAAATTAAAAAAAAAAAAAAAAGCATCTTTCTTTTCTTTTTCTCTCTATCAATGAATGTCTCTCTCAAAATTTCTCTTACTCTCTCTCTCTAGACCTTTCTTTTTACCCTGACATATTCACATGTAAGTAAGAGAGAGAAAGAGATAGACCAATACATTTGTGCAGGACAGAGAAAGGACTGAGTTGAAACCTTCTGTTTCATGGAAGGGACTATAAATATGCAAGTTTTTTTTTTTTTTTTTTAGGCTTCAATTTTGCATGTATTTAAGGATTTTTAAGGAAGAGAATGAGAGGGCAAGAAACATTTGAAGGAGAGAAGAAACGGCATCAACGTGGGGTCTCAACTTCTTAAAACGTTAATGCAAGCACGATGTCACATTTAATTGAGTTTTCCTTTAGAAAACACTCATAGTTCGTTAGGAAATAAAGACTTAACAAATTCATTTTCTCTCTCGCTTTTTTTTTTTTTTTTTTTTAATCCTTTGTGTTTTTTTGGTGATCCATGCTGTTTAATCTTGAATTCCATGATGAACCCTAGAATATTTTGTTGATAAAACTCACTCAATGTGGAACAAGCAATAGTTTTAGCATGCCAATACTTAATTTATTTGCTTATATTGTTTGGAAAAAAAACAAAAACAAAACATGGGAGGTGCAAGTTACTTTTTTTATAATGCAATTTGCCGGCCAATCAATCTCTTAATTAATAATACTAAAAAATAAAACATAAATTAAAATAATAATAATAATCAACGATATGTGTTTATGTGATATACGATGTTACGATACAAACTCAAATTATGTAAATATATTTATATTAATAAATTTATTGATGTGACAGTTAACATATTAATATATTAATTATCATGTTAATAAATATGTTAACATGACGACTTATATATCAACTTAATGATCATAAATTCATAATACAAATAGGGTTGTTGAAAAAAAAATTGTTAAAAATGTCTTGCATCCACACTCTATCAACATGGCTCCCCGATATGCAATCGTGTGGTTGGAATAAATCTTCTCCTTAATGGGAATTATCCTTAATTTTCTTTAATTTCAGGCACGAATAATGTAGATTGATGAGCAAAAATAATGTTTTTGAGGACCTAAAAATACGAGAATATAAAGAATAGATGTACAATCTGGTTAGCATGTTAAGGTTGTTCGAACGGTACTGCTATCTTGAAAGCCAGAAGTGGCTTCACAACCAGAAATTCTTAGTTTTTTTTTTCTTCGGTGCCCACCGAAGAGTCTTCTCACTCATGGGCATGCCAGCCTCGTCATGTATCTCACTACATGCTTCTTCTTCTTCTTCTTCTTTTTTCACTTTCTCTCACTAAATCTCTCTCTACATTTGCTGTTACTGTGCTGTGTATGTGTCCTGTCTGTAGAATCTATATGAGTTGGTGATTTGTAAACTGTAGGTGGATTCGATTCTAAAGAATGGGTAGGATTTCTTCTTTTTCCTTTAATTATTTGGTGTGAATATGAGAGATGGATGGCTAAATATTAGTCATATATCCTTGCCTTTCTTTTGTGCACGTCTTGTTTTATTCCTTTTTTTTTTTTAAAGCTTTTTCAACCACGGCTTCACATTTTATGTCATGATGCATGTAATGTAAGTATTGAGTATCCAATTGGAAAACAATTTCAAGAATGTAATTATTAAATGTTGTTGTAATTTTTTACATGCAGGAAAATTTTCATTTTATTAGCTATTTCTATATTTGTACTATTGCAGTTGTTACAAAAATATTTCATTCTTTTAGAAGTATTTGAATTGAAATAAATAAACTAGATTTTATTTTAATAAGGAAAAAAAAAAAACAATCCCTCACTCCCAAAGTAAGTACTTGTTGCCAAAAAAGAAAAAATGATAATTAAAATTTATGTTCAACTCATACAAAATTAGAAAACCTATACTTTGAAGGATAAATAGATCAATCTATTTTTATATAATACTAAAAAAATTTATATGTTTTTTATATTTTTAATTACATCTTATCTATTTTTAGATCAATTTTTTTTATCATTGAAAAATTCTTTTGACCGAAATGTCTCTAACTGAAATATATATATATTAAAAACTTTAAAAATAGAATATGCAAGTTAAATAACTTTATTTTTTTTTTAGCAAAAAGCATTTCGATTAAAAAAATTGTTTATACTCAAAAAGATAAATTAAACATTTCAAAAAACTTCAAGAATATATAAATGCAATCAAAAATTTAGGAAGTAATAAATTTTTTTGAATATTATATAAAAACCGATTGATTTATTTATCCTATTATGAAAGAAAAAAAAAACCTTTTTTAATTAAAAAACATTTTCCTGGAGATGAGCGAGTATTATTACTGTATGGCTATTGTAAATAGAAAAAAATAAAAAAATTACCTCGATTGTGCTTTGTTTAATTACAACTAGGCATATCTAATTTAAAACTTAAGTGATATATAATTTAGATTGACAAGCAACTTTGATTTGATTTGATTGTATTTTCCTCGCATCATGCCTAAGCCCTAATGGTCAATGAAAAGTAGAAATTTAATTACAAGTTATTCAAGAGTATGAACATTTAGTTTGGACTCTAATCATCATAAATTGAAAGTTGATGGTTACATATCTTTATTTATATTAGGAGAAAACGTTGAACACCTACTATGATTGGGGTTAAAATTATTTAATTTGTCAAGGATTTGAAAGATTTTATTATAAAATTGTTGATAAAAAAATTAAGAATCAAGTGTCTTTTTTAAAAAATCATAGTTTTATAAATATGGATTATGGATAGAATGGACTATGGGAGTAATAAATTTTTACATTTTTCCTTTTAAGAAAAAAAATAACATAATTAAAATCATTTTAGCAATAACATTTTCCAAAATCATTATTTTAATTTTTATTAAAAAATTACCTTGGTGAATTTTGAAGGAATTGTGAATGAATGAATTTACCATAGATTCTTTTACCGTAGAGAATATGGGAGCGTGGGCCATGGAAGTGTAGAGTCCCACGTAAGGACAGGACTGCGCAAATTCGTGTTATTGATGTTGTTTGTTATTACTTTATGGACAGATAGAGACGTGGTCTTCACGTGCACATCCTATTCAATGGTCGGTTACGTGCACCATATTCGGCCCATTAACTTCTGGGCCTCAGAGTTTTTTTTTTAATAGCCTTAGTTTTTGTTCTGCTTAATTTTGGAGAAATTATTATATTATTTTTGTAAATATTTTGAGAAATTATTTAATGCTCTTTGTACGTAAACCCTCCCCTGCATAAAATTGAAAATGGAACTGTGTAAGTTTAATCATGGTAACGTGTGGATCTCACAAAAATTTTAAATAATTAATTCTTCCAATGTCATATTTGTTTGTATAAAAATTTCACATAAAAAAAATTTGTTTGCACAAAACTAATAAAAATACTTTACATCTTAATGCTAGAAACAAACAATTCTAAACTTATCATGGTTTCAAAAAAAAAGTTTTTAACAACTTTAGAACTTGCAAAATTGAATTTTTTTTAATTAAGATATTTTCATCTCGTAGTGAAAATAAGATTAATTTTATTTGAAACAAAAGCAATAAAATTTAACGTTTTCTAATAAATGTAACTTCAAATTCAAACCTTTTACATTGATAAAAAAATCGTTTAGAGATCGATCCATATACCATTAGACTAACAATTTATTAGACTAACAATTTATTGATAATACTCTTTTTGATATAATAATAAAAGAAAGAAACACCAATTAAAAACATCGATCCATCTGTTTTGTACACTAAGTACTCTGGAACCGCAGCTAAAATTTCATGCCATTGATGATGAAACCAGACAGCTAGGCTAGCTATGTCACCTTTCGAATTCTGAGCGTATATAGGCAAACATGAAAGGGATTCCATATATGAATTGATATATGCTTGCCTAGCTTTAGGCCTGAATAAATAAAGAAGCAAGAAAGAGGCTACTCATCAGGCCCATGATCATGTGCTCATGCTTTAAGCAAACATAGCCAACACAGGCACATTGTGACCATAATGTTTCTGTATTTTTTAGTGTAAAGTTTAAATAGCTCAATTGGCATGGTATGGGGTTTGATTGGACCAACTCAACATTGGAGAAATCATAGGAATAATGTAATTAACTATTCAAATACTTTATGGATTCTTACACGCATCATTTAATAAATCGTACATCGATTATGCTTTACGTGTAATCTCCTCTTTGGAGTTATTGAGCCATGCTGCCCCAGCTGCAAGCTTGGGTCCATCCATGCATCTCTGCCATCCTTTGGCCTAAGTTACAAGCAAAAATCGACAATCTAAAAGTCATGATTTTGTAACATCAATAGGTTTGTAGAGATGCAACAGAAGACATAAATTTAGGAAGAAATACATGCATACACAGGTGATGAGTGAGTGAGACGGGCAGATGGAGATTAGGGCCCAAGAAAAGTTACAATATTGGCAGAAGAGAGACAACCATGCGAGACAATGGGAAAGAAAAGGAGTGATGAAGGACAGAGTGGTTTGTGAACTTTTTGCCCTTGGTGCTCGCTTTGGTACTTTTTATCATATCTTTGATCTTTTTGTTCCCATTCCTACTGAAGTTGCAATCATGGATACTTGCACATTTTGATGTGGATATTTATAGCTTTGACCTTCAACTTGTTAGTTCCCTACTTGTGTATGATTGCATGAATTCATGACATGGTTAATGGCCATTTGTGTTTGGCCCATCAAGAGAACAACTTCTTCTTTTAATGGATTGTTGAAGGATGCAGGAATAGTCGCTCCTCTGCAAAGGAAAAACAAATGAAACTTGACAAACACTGAGAAAATCTTGGGCCCATCTCCAACTCCATACAAGCCAGCCTGATCTCCTTGTCTAATGGAACTTAAACAACAAGACTGATGATGATGATGATGATACTTTTCTTGCTCGGTAGGTGAGCTTTGTGAAAAAATAGATTAAAAAAAAAATTAACATAGAGATTGGCAATTTGGCATTGTCCTAGCCATTTTTTGATCTTTTACTTTTAAACTCGATTACTATTTTCTGACCTGTAATCTTTGGACCACATTTCCTGGCTTGATACATGGGTTGGGACAAGCTTTGCCAATTGGAGCCCAATTTGACCCAATAGGGCAGAAGTCTTGCACAAGTTTGGGTTTAATTATCTTTTTCAACGTGCATTGGGTAGCAAGTTGGCCCATATTCCTCCACACCCCCACCAGAAAAAAAAAAAAAAAAAAAAAAAAAAAAAAAAAACAACATTTCTGTACAAGTTACATGGTCATTTCATTTTTCATATTAATTATTTTTTAGAAACATTTTTCTTAATATTGGTTTTTTGTATAACACTTATATATATATATATAAACAGACTCTCTCTTCTCATTTTCACACATGGATTAAGAAAGTTATTAATTATTATGCTATATTAGTATTTTTTTTATTCATGCTTTTCAAAATTATCCTTTATTTAGAATTGTATTTGAACAATTTTTTACTATAAAATAAAATTTAATTTGAAATATTTTAGTAAAGTATATCACTTATAGTTTTGATAAGATAAATATTGCGGATAGATACACATGAAAAGATTGACGATTTTTTTTTTCAGACAAAGAGAATATATTTTTAATAAAAATAATAATTCTTTTTATAATGAATAAAAGGAATAATTTTTATTTACGATATATAATTTCAACGAGAAATAGCCTCACTTTCTTGCATTATCTAACTTAAAATAAGAGAATAAAATGTTTAATAGTAAGTTATAGGGGTCACGTGGGACTAGATTATTTATGGATTCAGATATAACTATTGAAGTATTACATTTATTTTTATAATGTTATATAATGCTAACATTATAAAAATAAATGCAAAAAAAAAAAAAAAATTGATAACTCCAATGATTGAATACCACATGCACTTTCCATATATGTATAGTGTGACCAGAAAATGATGTTGATGAAAATCCTAATTCTGATCTTATCAGATCATAATCATGTTTTGGATTTGAATTAAACAATTACCATATTTATCAGTTTCATGAAAATGAAACACCAACTCTCTGTATCGCAGGTGTCTCAATGTCTATGATCTTCACAAAGATCATTTTCATCGTTCGGACTTTGGACAGTCTCAGCTGGACAACCATATCTTGATAAACTCCGTTGTTTGTCTTCATTAACAAATGTCACCATGGCAATGAGTCGATGACAAGCTAGATACCGTTTTCCATCTTGTTAATCTGTATTTTTGTTCTTTAAGAAGGGGGCTGGGTAGTATTGGTAGCGAGCTAGATTGACTGCTGTTTTATGATTCACTTTCTTGCTTAGTTCTTGCACTTTGGAAGAAAGAAAGATTGATTATTTTTGTTTCTTTATGCTGTTCGTTGCTTAGAGAGAGAGAGAGAGAGAGAGAGGGTTTTTTTTTTTTTTTTTGGTGTCTAGGGAGAGAGAGACGATGAATCGTGAGTATTCTCTAGTTACAGATGCATGGATGAGGGAAGCACAAGAGGCAACAAAGTTGGTGGAGGACATAGAAAGCAGAATAAAGAACAAAGACTTAGCTGAAGAAAGTACGCTTAGAGACCCTGCTCAAAAGAAGCTTATTGAAGCTGGAGTCAAGCTTGATCGCCTTGAATCACTCCTTCATAACCCACATTCAAAGCCTATCTTGTATGTTCCATCTCTTTCACATCTTGCCCCTACGAGTGTTTCTCCTTTTGCTATGTTAATTTCTTTGAAGTTTTTCTATTCTGTTTTCCTTCCACAATTTGATTGATTGGCATGTGTATGGTGCCAATTGAAGTAGTACTTTGTGATTTTTGACTTGTTAATTAGTTTATTTTGAAATACTTGTTAATTTCTGTTTCTGCTAGTTAATCGATCTTCAATTGCTCAAATGCTAATCTTCTAGTGTTTAATGCACTTACTGTATCTTTGAGTGATTAATCCTATTTTCTTGTGTCCATTTGTGATTTGGATTTCCATGAATCAAGGAAATCAGCAAATTATAGTTGGCTTGGACTCCTTTTCTCTAAATATAAATTGCTGTAATCTGCCTAACTCTTAAAAGCATTCGTCAATCTAGTACTCAATAAGCTTCCATAAGTAAATCTGTTGCAGAAGTGCTTTTACAGAACTAGAGAAGATTTGGAATTTCGATGGAAAATGCTATCCGATTTACAGCTAAGAACAAGAGCACTGGCTCTCAGTCTCTACACGTTAACAAAGAGGTGCAGTTGGTTTCGTGTCCTGATTCTTCTTGAATGTTAGCTGTAGAAATATAGGATAATCCTTAAATTGGTTTGATCTTTGTATGTGCATACAGGACAGGAGGTTTACTGGCTTCAACCAGTGGAACCAATGGAACAACCAACAGCCATCGTGATCAAGGTACAACATTAAAATCCAATGTAGGTGATGAAGCATATAAATCTCATGTCACAGCATTGCTATTTTGCAATCTGCTGTATTTTGCATCTTTAGCAAAAATAAGCAATCAGACAGCAAAAGATTTCATAACATCAACAGTCACTATGTGGTCAGTTCTTTTACTGTAAATGGTTGGTTAAACTTAGCCTTGGATTAACTGGGGTTACTACAAGGAAAAAGAAAAAGGAAAAAAGTACTCTATCTCTGATCAGATTAACGAGAAAAGAGTTGGCATGGTATTCTTTGGAGATTATGTAACCATATGATCCATTAAGCTTCCTTCAAACATTTTCTAATGTGCAATTGCAGCACTTACCGGTGACCCAAACTCAGATTTGGTAGGTATTTTGCAAGATCAAGCTTGAATAAAAACTCAGATATGTAGGTATTTTGCAAGATCAGGCTTGAATAACCATAAACTATTTAATCTTTTAGCATTAGATGTTTTCCTTCTCTTTGGTAGTTTTCAAGTTAAAAAACTCGCCTAGATACATCACAATAGCTTCCACTGTGCTATGTTAATTTTTAAAATTCCAAGAAAACACACATTACACAGTGGCTGGCATGCAGTTGCCGATTTTGATCCTTGAAAAGTTTTGACTTCCAATGCCTCAAGAAAAAAGAAAGCTAAAATGGCCGTATCTTGGTTAACTTTCCCATATTCTGATGCAGATCAGAGAAGGAAGTTGCTCTCCAACGTCGACCCAGAGCTTCTCATACCTCTATCTGTAAGTACTTAAATTCACAACTAAGATGATGCTCTTAATTTTCTTCTCATTACGCTTTTGACATTTTCATGTTGCTTCTGCTTCTTCATGCAGTCAGAGGATGCAACTCTAGATCAAGTGCAGGTACATTCTTTGAATATTTGCAAGTATTCTACCGCTCAAGTCTCCATTATTTTCATATTCCTATTACTCTCATCATTAATTCTTTTTCTTTAATTTTTGTGGATGATCTGTTCAAGAAATCTGGTTCTATTGTCTCAACAAGTTTAATCAAGAAGGTGTGCTGGACATTTTGTTTGATTCTTGGAGCAGCTGCACTGCTATTCATCTTGGTTATCCTTTGTGCAGTTATATAATCTACATACTCTGGCCAGTGGTTTGCTATTATACTTGCTTCTTTTGCAAGCTTTCTCATTCTATCAGAAAAGAGGTCCACGGTTCTGATAGCAATATTTGTTAATCATTTTACACTTTAGAATCGAGTGGCTCTTTTATGGGACATGGAATGTATAGTTACATCAATAGAAATAGGAAAGTTTGTGTCGTTTATTGAAACTTCAGTCTTTGTGAATGCTGTTAATCGTTCCTATGCCTTTGAGAAGCATGGTAGGCATATGTCAAAAGGAAATGCTGTGAAGACTAGTCTCGTAAGCGAGATTGTGAATTTGAGAAGGACCACGCCTTAAAGCAGAAAAGGAGTCGATTGGGGTAGACAGGGAGTGGTGGTGATTGAAGGAACTGCAGTTTTCCAGCAGCATTTATCAGTTGACTTATCAACCAAAAAGTATTCTGCTGTCTGCATATGTCTTCACAGAAAGCCAGCACCGACCTCCTGGCGAAAGCGTCTAGAAGATGCTCATTTTGATCAAATTACAGAAGAAATGTAATTCAAAAATCTGAAGAGGCTCTTGTGTATTTTGATTCATTGTTTTACCAGGTTGGTCATGATCAGCAAATTTGCCAGAAAAGTGTATTCTAAGAGACCTTTGTAGCCTTTGAGAAATGGCAGAAACTTGGAAACAAATTGTGACTTTTCTTTTGTTTTGCAGTTGAATCCCTAAAATAAAGAGCTTCTTGCACCCTTCTCTGCTTCTACTCTGTAAACATGAATGAAAATATCCTCATGATCAACTACTTTAGGTCCATTACATTTCTTGTCATGTACTTCTACTTCCAGGATCCTTTGCATCTACTAGTACATATATAATAGCTAGCTAGCTAGACACAGTATAAATATTCTACATTGACTCATGAAGATTCAAAGGCCAAGCTTCTGCATCAATCTGCAAACAATTGATGACTCTAATCTTTTATATGAAGTTATGAACAGTCTTGCCATGCACATAAACTGGAAAAAAAAAAGAGGATTTTTAGAATGGGGCAAAAATGAGAGGTAGGCAGGATATCAAGATATGGATAAGAAAGAATGATTAAGGGCAGCTTTGCAATAGGGCAATCTCACATAGTATTCAACTGTTCTTTTTTCTTATTGGTAAAAGAATTCAGCTGATCTTTGACTCAAGATAGTGATACATGTTTCCCATCCCCTTTGTATTAGTGTTATTAGTTGTAAAACAAGATCACCAAACATTGTAGTGAAAATTAACAAGGCCAAACTAATTAATTTGAGTTGTAGCACAAATCATTAGATTTTGGAAACAATTCTTGGTCTAGTATAATCATCAGATCAAACTAGTTACGCATACTTGGAGCTTTAGCTCAAATAATGAGGACTTTGATTTTTTTACCAGAATTCCACATAAGAATGAAAGAAGCAGTCCGACAATTTGGTGGCATCTTTTGACTATAAATGGTACCGACATTTTAAATGAATGGAGTACACGAGTAGGAAAGCTATACACAAGGATGGGGCTCTCTCCTCTTTGAAAGTTAAAAATTTGCTTTGATAAGACAGGGCAGCGACCAACTACAGGAAGGAAATGTATCATTTCTAGCTAGCCATGTAGAGTGGTAGCTGCAAGAGGATGTATATACGTGTTACGTATGTTGTTCTAAATTCACTTTTGTATAAGCAAAGACAAACATCTCTCTCTCTCTCTCTCTCTCTCGTTCTCTAAAATTTCTTCTCCTCTGTATGTTTCATTGCTTTTCATCTGCCATGAAACACTCAAATGGGGTGGCTGCAATTTCTCCTCTCTCCATTGAAGAAGCTGTGGTCTCGCAATCATTCAACAACTCATAAAAAGAGTACTTACTTAATTATCCTTCGCTACATACATACCTGATGCCTTTTCTCTATGCCTTGTTGTTCTGATTTTCTCATATTGTTTGCCACTTAATTATCCTTCGCTACATACATACCTGATGCCTTTTCTCTATGCCTTGTTTTCTGATTTTCTCATATTGTTTGCCATTTGTTTCCAATCTTTGCTAACATGTTATAGCTATACACTGCATCGTTGTTCTCTTTTGCTTTGATGCGTGGTATACTGTAATTAAACATATGATTAATCTTTTGCTTTGATGCATGGTATACTGTACTTAAACATATGTTTAATCTCTTACTTTTTCTAACTCATTTGACTTAATCAGCTCTTAATCAACTTTTAAGCAACATGAAGTACATGACTCATAAATGTCTTCCACTATCTCCTTTTCTCTTCAAGACAGATTAGCCATATGTATCTTATGTCACGGTGCATCACTTCTCCAAAATTTCTCATTTCAATGCCTATTTGCACTATCTACTAAATATGGAAGCACAGCCACAGAGAATGCATTAAACATTTTGAACCTACTGATCAACACATGTTAAAGACCTAGCAGGTCCACAGGATTTGTGTGGCTCCATTATTAAGCTGGTTTTGTAACCAAATAATTTGAGAACCTTCAAAAAAAAACAAAAAAACAAAAACAAATTGACACATAAGTGCTTAGAATGCCTCATTGATTGGTTGATTATCATGTGGTTAATTTTCTTTTTGTTGTGATCACTAAATATATATATATATATATATGTAGCCTAGTTAGCACTCAATCCTCCATATTTAATATTTTGTTTTTCAGGTGAAGATATATACATTTTGCACGAAGATGTCAAGTCCTGCCAGTATGAAGATGTTCATGTTCTGTGGTCTATATTAGTAGAGTCCCAGACAGCTCCTACCACATCCAAAGAATGAGGGTTATAATTGCCTTAAACTCCAACAAATTACTAAGGGATATTAAGAGGTCAACGGAAGACAAAACCTCTTTGCCACATATCCATGTATCTCCCTTGGTGTGATTTTCAATTACATGTTTAGCACGTGTGTCTCTTCTAGGAGGTTAATAATTAGCCTGGCCCTAAGTTGCTGTGTCCATTTTTGCGGAGTTGGAGTTGGGTTGCATACTCAATAATAATTTTTCATTCCATTGTGTGATGAGACATTTCGAGGTTCAAAAGGGGAGAATTATGGAATTGGAAGGAGAGCTTACATGCATGGTTCTTTATTTTCTTCAAAACAAGTATTATATTTAAATTATTGTCTAATAGTTTAAATGAGGATTTTTTTTCTTTACTATCATATGATATTTTATGATAAAATATATAAGTTATCCATGCCGAAAATAGAAAATTCGTGAGAAATCAAGACAGAATAACTTTTCGGCTTCAAATGTGATAAACCAATTTCTACGAAATTTTGGCTAAAAGGGTGTGACCACATATGAACTATAAGTCATTTGAAATTAAGTTTCGAAATTTGTTTTATTGGTTTTGAAGATCCATAAACTTTTAATTTTTTAAGATTAAACCCAAGTTTTAGTTTTTATCATTTATATTGAAAAAAGAACAATTAATCACATAAATAGTTTTATAATAAAAATTATTCAATAAGATTTATGTAGGATTTTCAAAAAGTTTGAGTTCATTGTGGGATTATTTTCAATTTTTAATATTTTTAATGTTTAAAAAATAAACAAATGTAGTTTTTTATTTTGAAAAAATATGAAATTTTTTTATAAAAAGAATTGAGTTTTTTTATAAAAAAATTTCATATTTTTTTCAACGTGTTTGAAAAATTTCAATTCAAAATATCAAGAATTAAATTTTTTATAAGTGAAAATTATAGCTGAAAAATTGGCTAGAGTTAATTTCAAAACTTATAAAGTTCATAATTCTCGCAACTAATAAAAAAGTTCTGAAATTTAATTTCAAATGACTCATAGCTCCGAGATAGTTAGGCTCTTTTAGGCCGGAGCTTTTTAAAGGTACTAATGTTAATAGTTGAGAACTCAAGGTAGAACGTTGAATCTAATGCCAAGTCGGGGACCCATATTCACCATATATAATGCTGTTTTAGAAGGGTGTAGATTATAAAATATACTTCTGAACTTGAGTAAAGAAAACAAATACTTCTTGAACTAATTTTTTTTTTTATTTCTTGAACAATATAATTTTTTAAATGATCTCTTTCTGTTTGATTCCGTTGAAAAATTGACAGGAAAATGTATAAAATTCCTCCCAATTTCTACTCTTTTTTGTACCAACTTAATCAATAAAACAGTTTACTGATAGGGAAAAAAATGAATTGAGAGGATTTTAAAGGATTTTTCCATCAATTTGTCAATAAATTCGTAATAGAATGAAAAAATTTTAAAAATCGTATTATTTAGAGAGGGAAAAAAATAGTACGGGGGAGTATCTGCCTTGATTTTCCGATCAATTTCAAAGAGGCATTTTAAAATTTCGCCTTTTAGAAAACATGCTTCAATTATTACAAACCTTGCACGGTGCGAACCGACGCTTTCTCAAAGTATGAACCCTAGAAAGCAACACATTCATATCCATGTCGGATATATTATTGGAGATATGACAGGATGCCTAATAAGATACGATCGAGAAATACATAATTAAGGGATACTATTTATGTTATTATTATTATTATTTTTGGAAAAAAAAGAGATCCAAATATGGTTTTAAGTTTTATGAGTTAAAAAACAAACATTTAATTAAACATAACCTTATTTCAACATTTTTAATTAATTATTCCTGATTTATAAATTTTAAAAACAATGAAAATTGATTATATGATCGTATTTTTGTACAAAATTTATTTGAAATAAAAACATGAGCATCATGTTTATTTTATATAAAATTTATAATTAGATATGACATCACATTTTTGGAGATTAATTTTTTTTTTCATACATGACAAAATAAAGAAAGATGGGTAGCATTGCTCTAAATTGAAAGTGAGGAAAAGAAATTGTGTTTGATCTTGTTGTAATTATCATTATAATTCTTTTTCAAGATAAATTAATTTTTAGAACTTCAAAATTTATGTATAATTATACAGAAAATATAAAATTATTACTATAATCTTATTTAAGATAAATTAATTTTTAGACATCCAAAATTTTATTTATAATTATATAAAAAAAAGAATAAGTAAAATGAAATCCAATTATACTTTCTTATGTTTTTATATATATATAATTCCATTTGGATTGATACCTCCCTTAATTTTGTCATCAGTAGCAACTCTTTCGTTTCCTTTTCTTTCCTCTCCTCTCTCTCTCTCTCTCTCTCTCTATTCTTTGTATTTGTGTGTGTGTGTTTTTTTAACGTTTTAACAATTTATATCTAGATTTTGACTTTTATTAGGGCCAATATGAAAAGAATTAAGGGTGGAAAAGAATAAGAATTTTGGCCCTTTATTGATTGCAGATAGTTAAATCTTCC